CTAGTGTTTATCTCTCAGTGTGATGTCTTTGTTAGGTAGAAAGTCAGTCAGAATAGAGGGACAGAGAACAGCATCCGTAAAAAGGACTTGTTATAGACTTGTTAAAGGCTTGTTATTAGCTTGTTATAGAGCCCGCCTTCACCGTTCAACTGCCCTTTTTCGCAAGACCTAACCTACCCATCGAATCGGTGACAGAATCAGGATTGTATTGATGCTGGGAATGCCCGCTCCATCCAATACGCCAGTATTCGGGGCGGTGTCGTGCCACTTAGTTAGTTTGTTAGTTAGTTGGGTTATCATCATTGCACCCCGGACATGTCCATAGGTACTCAGATCCTCCCCTCAGTATGAACCCCAACGTCCGATGGCTAATAGTATCAGTTCTATATTGATTAACAAGTCTTCTGGTGTATCTGGTGTGCGTCTAGTTTTTTTTTTTTTTTTTTGCTATGCCGATCTTAATTCCCAAGTCTGCCATTCTGGCGAGTGATGTGGATTCACTGCCACCAAAGTCCTCTAACCTTCCCATTTCTCTGAGGGCATTAATAATATCAGCATGTCTTGCCACTTAATGTCTAGTATCTTTCTGAGACAGACTGTAAGGAAGCCTAAAATATAAGGAGTCCCTGAAACATACACTGGGATCCATTATGTTATTCTGTTTGCAAGATCTCGCCATAACGGCATCTGTTTACCACTCTAGCCATGTAGGTGGCGGGAGTGGGTCGGGGGTGGGGGTGTCGCTACAGACAGTTCAGGTTATAATTTTTTTTGTGGCCTCCTTCCCCAGAAGAAAAAAAAAAAATTTATCCTCAACCTTATGGAGGATTCGAACACGAGCCTTCCATACGAGAGCTTAGCCTTCTAACAGTCTGGCTAGTCGTTAACTGCCTGTCTGGTAGTTGCTGTTTCGAAGGATCGCTGTAATTGTTTAATGTTATTTTGTGGTAATTAAGTTCTCAAATGCGTTCTCGGTATCGCCGCCCTTGATAACAAGCGCTGTATAAGCTGTGATAGATTGCGTGCTAAGTATAAAACGAGATGTTTTCCAGAGAAAAAGGTTACATTTATAAACGAGGAACGTAGAGAGTTCGTTGGAACCCTACATGTAAGTAAGACTAATAGTACATATTTCTTGTTATTTTCTTCTTTGTTCACTGGTTATAAGTAAGTAAAGGATTCTCTTCCACACCTTTGGGCTATACAGCATATAGGACTAGATCTATATTTTATAGACCAATAGAAAACGCCGCTGGAACTATGTCGGCCACGCCCTTAGAATGGATAAATCAAGACTTCCTTACCAAGCCCTCATTTGGACACCACAGGGGAAAAGATCTCGTGGAAGACCAAGGGAAACCCTACGTAGAACTATCATCAGGGAAGGCTCGCTCATGGGCCACTCAAACATCCAAGACCTACAACGGATTGCAACGGACCGCCGTGCATGGAGAGTCGCGACCTCTGCCCTATGTGCCGCACTCGACACAAGAGGAAAGACTAACTAACTAACTAACTAAATAGAAAAATAGACGGCAGCAAGCGAAGAGTTAAAATTCCGATGGTACCAGTAACTGTCTGACTGTATATCCGTCTCGCCTTTTCCCTGAGTGTCGAGCGTCGGCCACAATCTCTTGTAACTCCTCGCAGCGCCATTCTCCTCAGAGAGTAATGATCAGTCTGTGTCTCTGCACAGTTCACTCGCTCCCAAAGGGCCCTCAGAACTTCCAGCTTGTCATACAAAACACAGTGGTGCAGAGCCAGCCAGTCTTTCTGCTTGCTCTTTTCCCAACACACCGGCAAACCCTAAAGAATTCTTTTTTTTTCTTTTGCTTAAAATCCAAAGACAGTATATTTCTATCATCCCTATATTTAAAATGCGTATAATTTTAAAGTCTTCTGAGAATATCTGATGTCATTTAAAACAGTTGGGGCATCAGGGCCTTTTTAAAGCTGAGGGCCTCATCAAGTCTAAATCCGGGTCTGATGGGTTATCTAAGGTGTCGATTCTGTTACCCTGTGGCGAAGTGGTCAAATTGTTTGCTTTGCGTTCTGATGGTCATGGGTTTGTTTCACAGCTAAATCGTTAGGTTCTCAAGTGAAATTCTTACAGATATTTACAGAGACCCTGGAAGGTCGTCGCCGAATCTACGGTGTTCATGTTTTATGTGACGCCCTCGGTAGACGGCTAGTCGTTATGTGGAGAGAGACCGAGCCATTTAGGAGAAAACCCAGTGCAATGAAGTCGGCCTTCGTGATTGTATTTCAACCTTAAATTATATTATTATTGTTTATCATCAGCAGCAGCAATATCGACATTATCAGCATATTATCATCTTCATCATCGATCATCAGAATCATCATAATTATCATCATCAGAGTAATAATAATCATCAGCAATATAATAATAATCAGCAATATCATCAACAGCCATACATTATCATAATTATCACTATAATTTAATTATCATAATTATTACCCTCATTATAATTATCTTCATCATTATAATTATATAATTTATAATCCTCATAGGCATCATCGTCACTATCCTCGACATTATCATCAACACTATTATCGTCATCGTTGTCAGTACCTCGTCATCGATAAATGGTTAAACTATGGGGGTGACTGCAGTCAAGCTAATACAATGAATTCCAGAGAAATTTGACTAAAAAGCTCAACAAAATGGGAAAGAGGAAAACGTGCACAAAACAACAAAACGTAACGTTTCGGCTGGGCAGCCTTTTTCAAACACAAGTGAAAGACACAAACGAGGAATGGAGAGTATGTAGATCTCTAAGGGGTGACGTGAGCGCTTTAAAAAAATGTGATGCGGAAAAATGAAATAAAATAAAATAAACGATGGCTAAAAAAATATAGTCACAATACTGGGAATAAAAGAAATGCAAGTGGTAATGATACATAAATGATACTGATAAGAAATAGAATAAGGTAATAATATGAAATAAAATAAAAAAATTAACATTTAAAATGTGATAAGATTAGAACTATTTAGATGAAGGTATGTTGGATATTGATACCTCTTGGACTAAGAACGCCAAGGCTGTGGATAAGGCGATTTTCCAAAGCGAGGCGGGTAGTATGATCGCCAGAGCAAGATTTTAATGCTGTGACAGATATGTCATCTTTACCGCTGTGGTCAGGGCTATTAAAATGAAGAGGGATTGGTTTGAGTGTCTTCTTGTCGATATCGGAGAGGTGTTCCCGGAAACGATCAGCTAGCTTCCTGCCAGTCTCTCCAATGTATGCCTTGCTGCATCGTTTGCAGATAATTGCATAAATTACGTTGCGGGATTCGCAAGTAAAAGGTTCCCTAATTTGAAAAGAACCATTAGGGAAACTGACCGAAGAAGTCTGGACAACGAAAGGACTGTCTTGCAGGTGCTACGTGAGCACTGAGTAGTCCCAAAAGGAAGTGCTGTGTGGATCGGTGGGAGTCGGCTTCGGACAAGTATGTCTTTAAGGTTGCGATCTCGTCTGTAAACTAATCTAGGTTTCTCACTAAAGATAATTTTGGTGTCCGGATCAGAGCGGACATCCTCCGCTCTGATCCGGACACCAAAAATTATCTTTAGTGAGAAACCTAGATTAGTTTACAGACGAGATCGCAACCTTAAGACATACTTGTCCGAAGCCGACTCCCACCGATCCACACAGCACTTCCTTTTGGGACTACTCAGTGCTCACGTAGCACCTGCAAGACATGTCCTTTCGTTGTCCAGACTTCTTCGGTCAGTTTTCCCTAATGGTTCTTTTCAAATTAGGAACCTTTTACTTGCGAATCCCGCAACGTAATTTATGCAATTATCTGCAAACGATGCAGCAAGGCATACATTGGAGAGACTGGCAGGAAGCTAGCTGATCGTTTCCGGGAACACCTCTCCGATATCGACAAGAAGACACTCAAACCAATCCCTCTTCATTTTAATAGCCCTGACCACAGCGGTAAAGATGACATATCTGTCACAGCATTAAAATCTTGCTCTGGCGATCATACTACCCGCCTCGCTTTGGAAAATCGCCTTATCCACAGCCTTGGCGTTCTTAGTCCAAGAGGTATCAATATCCAACATACCTTCATCTAAATAGTTCTAATCTTATCACATTTTAAATGTTAATTTTTTTATTTTATTTCATATTATTACCTTATTCTATTTCTTATCAGTATCATTTATGTATCATTACCACTTGCATTTCTTTTATTCCCAGTATTGTGACTATATTTTTTAGCCATCGTTTATTTTATTTTATTTCATTTTTTCCGCATCACATTTTTTTAAAGCGCTCACGTCACCCCTTAGAGATCTACATACTCTCCATTCCTCGTTTGTGTCTTTCACTTGTGTTTGAAAAAGGCTGCCCAGCCGAAACGTTACGTTTTGTTGTTTTGTGCACGTTTTCCTCTTTCCCATTTTGTTGAGCTTTTTAGTCAAATTTCTCTCGTCATCGATACCACGATCTTTTTTTTTTTTTAGTATCCAGAAGCCATTAGGCTCGGTGTTGTGGATATCGCAACCTTTCGGCCTTGATTCCCTGCTAAATACGCTAGCGAGCCGGCCATACCACGATCGTAGTGACCGTTTTCAATCACCCGGAAACAGTCAATCAAAGACACTACGGACATGTCAATTCATGCCGTGACCCGCCACATTACCATATTTGTTTTCGTCGTCCTCTTCCTGTGTTCTCTTTTAACATTATCGAGGTACTTTTGTTTTAGTTCGTCTCCATATCGGGGACTCCGAGTGCCGGGGAATTCCCGGAATAGTAAAAAAAAAAAATAGTGGGTTAGAGTTGGTCGGTGTTTATTTCACACTGTAACAGCTCCGAACCATTGAACTTTCCCGGGAACTCTCGGAGTCCCCGAGATGGGATAAACTAAAATAATAATATCGTCTATTGTGGCCCCCAGCTACCAGCGGTTTTGATACTAAGTCCGATTCTTCTGTTGGTAAGAGTTGGGACATTTAGGACGAAAGATGCCTCTTATCTATCTGCATACCAATTTGGAGGCATCCGCACTCAAGGATGGGATTGAGTTGAGAATCGCCAAAACTGTTGGAGATATCATTGACAAACCAATTGAGGTAAAGTATGTGTTCTCATTTGTGTGGGTTCATTTCTGTTAACTTCTTTTTCTTCGCGTTCAAGATTGTAAACTCCAGCGGGAAGTTATATTGCATATAATGTTGTATTTAATATATTGAAGTTATTCTGGTTGTTTGTCCATCTCTAGGACTTAAGTCTTTTTTTAGAATCTAAGTGTTGCGTGCACATCCTTTTAACAGATCTGACTTAATTGTATTGTTGCTTCCTTGCCTCTTAGGCAGATGCACTCCGACTTCGAAGGAAGCCTCAAATTAGTAGGCTCTTACGACATGCTTGTTGGGGAGGCTGTGGGTCTATTCTTGTTGCGCCCCCCCCCCTCTCTACAGTGGGGCCCCGGAACCTACACGGGGAATGACGAGTTTACAGCCATGAACTCGAAAAAGAAAACGGCCAGTTCTGAGGCGATTAGGGCGCACCGTTCTCGAAAACCTCCTGTCAAACTATCTAAGGGCATGTATTTTTGTTTTGTTTTCACACAAGGATTTGTTTATCTTCTCCTTCTTTGATCCTTCTTTTCCGTATGGGTTCTAGGGCTTCATTGTGGGAAGAACAAGAAAAGCGTCACTGCCTTCACAACAAGCATGCTGTAAGAGTAGACCAACTGGGAACTTCCTTCGAAGTCGGAGTGCGTCTGACCAAGCGGCAAGGAACAACCAACTGCACACAAATAAGCCAGTAAAACGGATGTACACGCAAAACTCAGGCACTGGCACAAAGTCAAAGTCCGAATGGACGAACAACCAGGACTTTCCGCCGAAGCTTACAGATCTGTTAGAAAATTAATGCTAGGAGGTCTGTAGCCTTGATAAAAGCTATCGTGCAGTCCATATCTGCAAGTGTACCCAGTCCATATCTGCAAGTGTATCATACAGCTTTGCTTTCACTGAGCTTGAAACAGGCCAGATTGCTTCACTGTTAGCCAACATACAGTTTACAGTTTTGGAAAATACGCTGAGCATTTCCTGTGCAAGCTAGGGGACACAACTCAGACTGACGTTTTAACCCCACACCAAGCGATAAACACCCGGAGACACAAAGTGCCATCATTTGGATAAGGATCACCCGGGGACAGGTCCTAGAAACTATGTTCAACCCGTAGGGTAATAATTAGGGCCCCTGACCACAGCTAGGGTGGGACTTCAAATAACGAAAAATCGCGCCCTGCATAGGGACGGACTTAAAACACAACTCAGCATTTCTGGTGCCGAGTTGCGGGGACACAACGCAGCATTTCCTAAAAACCGGAACAGATATTGACCTCATTGCCCTGTTCTTAGTCTGAATATGACATACTGTCCCTCTGTAGAGAGACGATGAAGCAATTCTTGTGGACAAAATTTGGAGTAGGTATCCAGCCTCTTTTTTTTTTTTTTGATACTAGGTTTTACTAATGTGTTATTCTGTAAATAAATTTTGTTTATTACTTTAAACAATACTATAAACAGTTGAAATAAAGCTTGCTGGTACTGGAGGTGTACAGTAAAAAAAAAAAAAATGTGATCGTATGTAACTAGTCATCCCCATGTGGGATGCAATTTTTCGTTATTTTGAAGCCCCACCCTGGCTCTTGCCGGGGGCCGTAATATAGCTCGTCCATAAATATGGTCTAATGGCTGAACGCGGTTTTCGGGAACTCTCCACGGGTAATTCTCATCCACATGGTGGCACTTTTTGTCATCGGGTGTCTAACGCTTGTGTGATGTCCTAGTGGGGTAAAATATACTACTACTAAAAATGTGAAGGTTATATTCATTTGCTTGATTAAAGATATAACTTGTAGTTCGTGCGCATGTTTTGACCAGGCCTTGCTATGTAATTGTAGTCTGTTGTTGTTGTGTAACAGTTATTCACATATCCTTAGCCAGAGTTATGAGTATATTTTATGGCCCCTGCACAGAAGAATTTTTTTGTTTTTGCTTTACAGCGGGAAACTACTTATTGTCCTAACCAATTTTTTTACCTCATCTCCTTACTTTTTGTTTTCCCTCTTCCCGCTAGCACATTCTCGAGTACCAATCAGTACAATCTCCCCGTGTGGGGTTCGGTGCTTCATTGTGGGAATACAAATACACCCACCATCTCCCCTACAGGTATGTCGTAGCAGTCGACTAATTAAGGCCCTTCTTCAAAGACGGAATGCGTCTTCCAGAGAGGCAAGAAACCAACAGCCTGCAGACAAATGAGCCAGACCTGTAAAATGGATGTAAACACAACAACCAGGTTCTGGAACAAGACTAAAGTCCGACAAAAGAAGCAGAACTTTCCGCCGGAGTCACAGCCGGTGAACGCGAAGAAAAAGAAGAAGAAACAGAAGAAACAGAAAGATACAAGCCTGTTAAAAAAAAATATATATATATATTAAAACCATGTCAGAAAATTACATACAAAATGAACCGCCCATGCAAGGTCACTGACAACACAAGAAGAGACACGGTTACAAATACCAGCATTAGAAAGTGGGAATAAAACCATGTCTGGATTTATATTGACAGACAAAGAATGAAATGGTTCGGCCATCTAGTGAGAATGCAGCCAGGCCAAACTGCACACGAGACTTTTTACAGCAGAACATCTGGGAGGAAGGTGACAGGAAGACTAAGAAAGCGTTGGATAAATGGTATAGCCAAAACCTGCACACACAAAAGATGAACAAATCCACTACCCAAGCCACCTGAAAAGTGCAAGATAAATACAGAAAACTACGTCACAGGGCTACAACCTGGTATCAGCGAGATGACAAAACCACGACACTGGGCTACAACCTGGTATCAGCGAAATGACAAAACCAGGACACTGGGCTTCAACCTTATATCAGCGAGACGACAAAAACCATGACACTGGGCTACAACCTGGTATCAGCGAGATGACAAAACCACGACACTGGGCTACAACCTTATATCAGTGAGACGACAAAAACCCGACACTGGGCTATAACCTGGTATCAGTGAGACGACAATAGAAGGAAAACCATGTCAGATGATGATCGCAATGATTCTAAGCTTCTGTTTCTGTCTCTTTCCGCAGAATATGCTGACAATTATTGTCCCAGGAGTGCGTTTGTTGCGTCAAGAAACAACAGAACCTGCAGCAACACTGAATATTTATTCAGTAGGATCGTTTGATTCGACCAGAAATGCCACATACACACCGGCTGTGAAACAGCTGGTGAAGAGTGAACTTGGTATCCCTGAAGAAAGGTTTGCTTTTCTGCTCGTCTTTCTTCATCATCATCGTCAATTTCCACTTTTGCCATTAAGCGGCTGGGGGAGGAACAATTTGCGATCCACTGCTTGCTGGTAGTAATAGCTATTGTCATTCCATGTCGATCATAGAAGTTTTGACTATCATTTATCCATATTCTGGGGCGGCGACTTCTTGCGTTCACATGCTTTTTCCTGTGTAGCGCTGGTAGTTGTGGTAGCTGTGGCTGTAGTCTAAAGAGATGACCAAACCACCCACTGAGGTCGTCATCGGTTGTGGCAATGGTTAAACGTTTGGTTTTAATCTTGTAGTTCGTTCTTCTGGTGCTATATTAATATCCTACTACAAACAGGGGAAATCCACAGGTCACGGGACAGTCTATAATATTTCAGGGGCGGTAGATAGGCTGCATGTAGTCGTGGGACCTAGACTGCACTCTCACGTGGGATCTAGGTGGGTTGGGGTTCGGGCCTTTTTTAGATGTTTTGGGGTCGTTAATAGCACCAGAAAGCCGGGAAACCCAGTCTTACCAGCGTGTAAAATTTTGGACTGTCCTGTGACGTCACCTGGGGGTAGGATATTATTAAAGAACCATTTTTCTAGCCCCATAACACCGAGTGTGGTTGGATCTTTATGTTCTCCTGACAGTTTAATTTTTCTTCAGCGTGATGCTGACAAGATTGCCCATTGTGCGACGTCTGGTTTTTAAAACTTCCCAAAATGCCACTGGTTTCTTCTTCTTCTTGTGCTCGCTTTCACTGAGTTCTTGTGATAAACTTGACAGTTTTTTTTTTGAGTTCCCTTTTAGTTCCAAACAACTTCGAGTGCAGTATTGACTCACTGGGCCATATCCCTTTCTTAATGGGCTATACAAGAGACATTTTTGCCCAACATGTTGTGTAGTCTGTACACATAGTCCACAATAGCACAGTGGTAAGCCTGTGCATATGTTTGTTATGTCTTGTTCTGAGGGTAGAATAATGATCTGCCCATGCCGGTCAAGTAAGTGGTAGCCACCTGCTTCAAAAAGGGTCTCTAACTGTCACTATCCCTAGTCCTCTTGCACGGCATATCGTTAGGTCACCAGTTGCTATTGACTGTCTGATCGGCACCTAAAAGATTGATTTTCAGACAGTGGTACCGAGAGTCACACCGTGGAATAAATAGAAGCTTCATCACATTATATTTCCAGGGGACGTGGTTACAGGCAGCTTCTTCTTCTTCTTTTGTTCACTTGAAAAATATTATCTGAAATGTTGTCTCTAGTATGAACTTCACTGTCTTTTGTAATTCACTCAGCGACCTGTAAAGTTTGGCTTTCATTGCTGCCTCTCTTGGTCAAAAGTTTTGCCTTAATATGTTGTATTTAGAGGATGTGATCTATTGTCTCAGGTGTCAGTCCACATGGCTGATTTGCCAATCTTGAAATGTGTTCACATGTGGCTATGAAGTTGACTGTGTCCTGTTCTAAGGTGTAGCAAAATGACTTACTCTGGTCTGTCCATAAGTCAATCACCTTGTGCCAGATTCGATCATTTTCTTGTTGATTTATTGTTCGCTACTTCAGTTGATAAGGTTACTGGCATCATTTCAAAATTCTCGTCACATCAAGATTTTCTGGAAATTAATAAATAAGCCAAACTATTTCTTGAGGCCTCAGAGATGTGGTTTTACAGAAAAGTCCTTAAAATGTCTTGTAGTCTAAAAAAAGAGGAGTGCAGATGTTTTGAAAAAAGTTGAGGGCTCAAAGACAACTTATCATAAACATCACAAAGATACAGCTGTAATTGTTTTGTCATGTTATGAGAAGAGGGGAAACTGAACACGTTGTGACCACCTGAAAGATCTGTGGAAAGAGAGACAAGAGGTAGACAGTGGGAGATGATTTGTGAGTCTTTTGTCATGGCGTGGAGAGGTGTCAGCAAACAAACTGTTGCATGCTGTTGAAGATTGCACATTGTGGAGCGGCATAATCGCCCAAGCCAGTGGGCAAGACACTTGATGATCAGAATGTGATTAACGCTGTGAGCAAGTGTATAAAATATGGAGGCTTTCGGGCAGCTTTACTTCCCGAGTTGATTCAGAGATAACCCATCCTATAGAAGCAAACATAATAATTTGCAATGGGGTTAAGTGATCCTCATAACCATGTACAGACATTCTACTTCTAAGTATTTACTTACACGTTTTGAATACTTTCAATGTTATTATGCTCATTTGTCATTCACCCCCAGTACTATTACACACACTTAAACGTTTACGCCCCCCCCCCCCCTGAAAACAAATAAAACAAATTATGTAGGGAAGGACGGGACGGGGGGGGGGGGGGGGGGGGGCTAAACCTTTCACAATTACATTTTCATGGTAGCACGCCAAAATTAGTGGGTCCCAAAACCCACACTTTTGTATTCTAGTGAACCGTGTTCTCAATATCAGACACAGCCTTTGTTGTCACTGTGTCCTATAAGTGTCCATAGATAGAACGAAATCAACACATCTTCGATCAGTTCCATGATAATATACCCACCGACCCTCTATTTAAATTATAAACACTAGCTCACTTCTGACTGGTTTACCTTCAATCACCCGACCTTCACACACTGCTAGGGGGGGAAGGGGTGTTCGGCGATGCCATTGATATCGTGTGTCATATATTTAAGCACGCCAGCGCTTTTAACGCTACAAAAACATTTAGAAACTGGGTTTACCCCACAATCACCCTAGAGAGTGCTGCAATCTATGTTACAGGCATTTTCTTTCTTGGAAGAAAAACGTAAATACAAGATAAGCCAGAAAAGAAACAACATATCGGCAACTTTTAACCTCCCGGACAGCAGACGAGTCTAAAAAGTGTATGAATGGAATATGACCTAGTTTCGGTGGGGAGATTAGCCTGGAACTGACCCACATCTTCTTTAGTGGTGGAGGAGGATACGTGGAAATGTGTTTTCAAAACAATTGCTAGTCACCTAGAGCAGGTAGATCAAACTAAGGGTTCCCCTGAGGGATGTGTGGGTTAAATTTGTCTCCACAAAGGTCACCCACGACAACTAATTCCAGCCATTTAACAACAATTATGAAAACATGGCAGAATAAATCCTTTGCCCGTGGGCCACCAGATTGACATGTCTGATGTTGAGCCATTTACAAAAATTTAATTTCAGGACCCTCGCTGGTGCTACAGAGCTTGTGCACTGTGCTGAGCTTCTTCGGACTCAGACTTGAGTTAGACGAAGAACGGAGCACTTATGAATTACTACCCCTGTGCCATGATGTTGATCCGTTGTTCAAACCTCAAACATAAGTCTAAATGGTTTTCATTTTTTTTTTTAAATGTATTTTTCCTACGTATGGCAATTTATGGGTCACCCCGTATAATGGCATCCATATTTTGTTTTTCAGGATTATAGTTGTCTACCATGATCTAGACATCAACTTTGTCGGCTGATCCTGTGTGAACATAGACATACTGCCAGGGCTATTGACTCTTTCTACACCACACACCCCATTGTATGTTTACTGGCCGATCCAAACACATTAGACTTTTTGGACTCTCTGATGTTGCAGAAGGTTGTTAAATTAACTAATTCTAATTAAACTGTTAAATATTTTTAAAAAAATAAAATGTATCTGTTGAGATTTCTGCAGATATAAAACATTTGTTAAGATTTCTGCAGTGTCTTGTTTATGTCAATAATTTCATTATTTTAATTATTTTTCCCTGTGTGAGTTCTGGAGCCTCACCGGGGAAAACAGAACAGACACAAAGCTCCCTAACAAACACGTCAAAAGAATTTACTAATCAGAAATATTTCTTTTAAATTTGGAATGAATCTGTCTGAGATAAGAGGAACCAACAGTCTGCATACAACTGTCAGATCCGTAAAATGGACGTGCACACAAAACTCAAGTTCTGGATCAAGATGAAGGTCCATAAATGGACGAACAACCAGCATTTCCTACCATAGTTTACAGCTGCTGAAAGTAAAGGAAGGACAAACAAAATTAGAGATAGATACAAAAACAGTCCTTATGGATTTTTAGATCTACTTGTTGATCAAAGTAAATTCAAAAACTTACCTTTGCATTAGATCGATGAGCTTATCGTACAATATGGTGGGTAGGCTGGCTAGTAGTTAAAGCTGTGCAGAGTTTTCTTCCCGTACAATATGGTGGGTAGGCTGGCTAGTAGTTAAAGCTGTGGAGAGTTATCTTCCCGTACAATATGGTGGGTAGGCTGGCTAGTAGTTAAAGCTGTGCAGAGTTATCTTCCCGTACAATATGGTGGGTAGGCTGGCTAGTAGTTAAAGCTGTGGAGAGTTATCTTCCCGTACAATATGGTGGGTAGGCTGGCTAGTAGTTAAAGCTGTGGAGAGTTATCTTCCCGTACAATATGGTGGGTAGGCTGGCTAGTAGTTAAAGCTGTGGAGAGTTATCTTCCCGTACAATATGGTGGGTAGTTAAAGCTGTGGAGAGTTATCTTCCCGTACAATATGGTGGGTAGGCTGGCTAGTAGTTAAAGCTGTGGAGAGTTATCTTCCCGTACAATATGGTGGGTAGGCTGGCTAGTAGTTAAAGCTGTGCAGAGTTATCTTCTGTTGGCCACAGCTTGCTGATGCTATTTCCCTATTTGTGTACTTAATGAGTCCAAAGGTCCCATCAAAAATCTACTGAGCCGAGTTCTTGGTGTGACACTGTGAGCTTAGGATTTCACGTGGAATATTTTTTCCTTCTGTGCCTGCGGTGGTTGTATTGTGTCAACTGCTCCAAAAATGGCGGGTGGGTTAGTTAATCGTCAGATTATCGTTACTGCATACTGAATCATCATCAGTGTTTGGAGCTTCTCCTCAGTAAATCTCGCAGGCTATGGCGGTTGACGACAGCAGTCCTGTGTTGGTTTTAAAAAAAAAAAAACTTCTTTGGCTTCATGCATAGTGCTGTTGTCTGGCCACACCCGTTTTAACATGTTATTCTAGCAGTCTTGTCATGGTTGCAGATTCAGCCATCACTTATTTCTCACAGATGTCTTACATCTTGTAGAGTGTATCAGCCTGGTCCGCCCCTCCACAGTAGCTTTACCTGCAAGCCTATCAGCCTGGTCCGCCCCTCCACAGTAGCTCTACCTGCAAGCCTATCAGCCTGCTCATTTCCTTGCACACCCGCCTGCCCTGGCACAAATATGAAACTGATATGTGTCAGCCCCAACCCCCTCAGAGGCTCCAACCACTGTCTTCGGACTCGGCCCACCCCTCAGCCATATCTTTCTGAGCATACCCACTGAGTCCCGTAGAGAAACATGCACGAGGATGGTGGGTGGCTGAATACTGAGATTGATTGGCAAATGGATACCAACGATTACTTCCAATGACAATCAGCTGCAATTCTGTTGAGGGACTGTTAGTGTTGGCATAACAGGCACCTGCCATAAGCATTTACTTACTGCAAGTATAAACTTCTAGATTTTAATGGGATTTATCTAAGTTTTTTTTTTTTTAACAAACTAAATTTTCAAATGTGACAGCATAGGATGTTTTGTGCGATTTCCACTAGTAGAGGAAATGGCTAGTTATGGGGTGACCCATTTGCATGAATCTGAAACCTCGACTTATGACTTACAGAAGCATAACTAGATGTGACCTTTCCTTTCAGAAGAGGACTGGAAACAGATTTTTTTTTTTAAATACATCAATTTGATGCTTTAATTTTTATAAAAACTTGCACTAATCTTGTTATTTATTAATGTTACATCTTTATATAAATATGACATCAACAATTCCATTTACCAAGATAAACAAAATGTAAGGATAATGGAACAAATTAAATGTTTCATAATGGAAACTAATCTTTTAATTTATATAATACAACCTGCGTAACAATAACATATATATTTTTAATAAATAACATATTCCATTTTTATCAGTGTCTATACCTTCATATTCCACTGATGAAAATTATTAATACACACACAAAATAATAAAAACCAAAACCACAACAAAATGGAAACAAATAAATGTTGCAGAAGTAGTGCTAATCGTTTCATTTATGACATAAAACATGTAAAAGTTACACAAATTATTTAATTTATAAAATTAATCAATTTCTAACGATCAATAATGAATAAGGACATGGAAATAATTAAATGTTACAGAACTGGAGTTACATGATGACATAAAACTTGCATGAAAATTACAATAATTACATAATTTCTAATACAATTAATTTAAAACTAAGCGTTTCCATTCATTTATATTCCATTTATAAAAATCAATAATGAATATAAAGGTTACAGATGTGGATCTAGTCTTTTAATGAATCTTCTTCTTCACTTTCTCTTTTACCGCTGTGGGTGTCGAGGGAGATATAAGGTTCTGTTTCTAGCTCTTCTGGCTGCCTCGACCATCGTGCTGTTGTAGAGTTTCTCTGATGTTATCCTTCCATCTAGTTCTTGGTCTACCCGGTGCTCTACGTCCTTCTTCTCTTTCCATGTATGCTTTGTATGGTATGGTGTCACAAGGCATTCTCTCTAAGTGGGCAAACCATTTCACTTGCTGTCTTTGTATGTAATCCAGAATTGGTTCTGTGCCGACTTGTTCTCTTATGATCTCATTCCTGATCTTATCTCTTATGGTCACCCCTACAGCCCTTCTCAGACATCTCATTTCCGTGGTTACTAATTTTCTTTTATGGTTTGTTGTGAGTGACCATGTCTGGCACTGGTAGCACAGAGTTGGAATAAATATGCTTTGAATAAGATGTCTCTTTGTGCTTATTGGGATTAATGAATAATAATATGAAATCAACATAAAAATGACACCCATTATTAAATGTATAACGTACTGCATCCATAAAGATATATTTTCTTTCCTGTATCTTCTATTTGTTTCCTGTGTGGGTTCCAGGGCCCCATTGTGGGGGAACCCCTGCCCCTTAACTAGCGTGTCATAAATGGTGTCTAATAAAGGGCTTGCTGTACCCAAATGTTCTGGCCTGAAAAGTGCAGATGCTGCAGCCTAGCTGTAAACCACCATACAGTAAGAATAATGGAAATAACTGAATGTTACAGAAAACAGCGACAGTAAACTGAGAAATTTTAGAACAAGTAACAAGTTCCTCCCATCTTGGACATGTAATAACAGATAATGGCGGAAGTGAAACAGAAATGAAAAACAAACAATGGGAATGGCTAAAACTATCTTCAAAAACATGCAAAAATTATTGACAGCTACAAAGATTTGACTGCCTTTATTTTACCACTTTTGCGGTGTAGGCAGGAGGGAAGTCTTCGAGTCTGAGGATTTACAACCGCATACCTAGTGCTGTCGCCACGACTGTGCAGGTGAGAATTTTGTTCTGCCCTCGACAGAAAAACCCTCAGCCTTACCAAGAATTCGAACCCGAATCTCCAGAGAGATTACCAACACATTAAAAATAAGAATCGTCAAAATGTGTATGTACAGCCAACCCTGCTACATGGTGCAGAAACCTGGACAATGAACAGGCAGCTAGAAAATCAAACTGTCTCTGGAAATGTGGATATACAGAAGAAGAGGTGATATTTCATGGAAATGTGGATATACAGAAGAAGAGGTGATATTTCATGGAAATGTGGATATACAGAAGAAGAGGTGATATTTCATGGAAATGTGGATATACAGAAGAAGAGGTGATATTTTATGGAAATGTGGATATACAGAAGAAGAGGTGATATTTCATGGAAATGTGGATATACAGAAGAAGAGGTGATATTTTATGTAAATGTGGATATACAGAAGAAGAGGTCATATTTTATGGAACAAAAACAATCAGATACAAAGGTTCTAGAAAGACTGCAAATGAAAAGAGAATTACTGAATGGAATAAAACAGAGACAACATAAATATTTAGCAACATTAAAAGACATAACACTCTTTTAAAAACTACACTGGAGGGAAAGATCAAGGATTTAAAAAAAAATGAGAGGAAGACAATGATACAACTTGGAGGACAACATCAAGAGATGGATAAACAGCAGTCAGAGAGAGTGTACAACCAAGGCAAGAGATAGAGCATGGTAGAGATCTACTGCAGCCGGCCTTCGCTGTGGAGATGACAACTGAGTAACTGACAGAAATGGCGTAACATTTTAATGGATATTGACATAAAAACCACATTAATTATCTACCTTATAAACAATACATCAATCGGTTTATTTTGAGGATTACACATACCTCATTTAACTAGCCATTCTCAAACTTTTGTTTACAACAATGTTTTTTTGTGTGTTAACATCTCAGTCACAGCCGGTCCCAAGCTTGGATGAGAAAAGAGGAGAGTTAAGCGATTTTAATGCTTTCCAATGGATTAGGTAATAAGTAAAAAAAAAAAAAAAAAAAGTAAAGATCCCTTTTCACGCCTTTAGGCGTATCGGGCATATGGGAAGAGCACCCATATTTTTACAGACCAATCGGCACTGGGTGGGTAATGTGGTCAGCATTACGCCGGCCATCTTTACTTTCCCAGGACAGCCTATCCTGGTACCCATTTGAGGTTGAGTCGGCTTGTGACGTCCCATACCACGATAAAAATCCATGCAGCCTGCAGTGGGTTTCGATTGCGGTACGTTGGATTACGAGTCAGACTTGCAGCGCCTTAGCCGCGGACGCCGCTGGATTAGGTAATGTTATGGCGAAAACAAGACATAAACATCCTTGTATATCTCCAGACAGTAAGAGAAGAAGACTGTGAGAGACAACAGTATACGTACACAATCTGTAGAAAAACCTATCAGTATATCTTGATACATGACAAGGCAGATGTTTTCAAGGCCCTTTGGGAACAAGCAACAGAATCAGTGAAGAAAGAAGGTTATTATAGTCTGGAGAGAATGAGGCCTCTGCATGTAACCAGAGGATCTGATTGGCTCACTAAGTTAAGAGAAAAAGCAAGACGGACAGATAACCAGACTGTGATCAGTACCATCAGTATTGGAATTCTGCGCTGGCTGCTAAAGACGAGGACGGAGCACAGATGGGAATGCCCTGAGTGCTGTGATGTCAATTCTTGACTTTTTAAATGTACAAACCTAACATAGCATAAACCTATTGTTGTTTTATGGCACACACAAAAATTACACATATATTTACAATTATGTACATATAGGAACACTATCTAAGTGGGTACTCGAACAGTGAGACGGATATACTGATTCCAGTATGAGCAGTTTCCCCCCCCCCCCCTGTAGTCTATAGAGCAGAGCTTTTGAAACTGTCTTGTCACAACATAGTGTGTCGGCTGCAGTGTGAAGGTATATGGTGCGAACCTGTAAACAGCATAAGCGGCACACAACACTGCAGTTATCAATATTAATTAATTTTGTTTTATTATTGTTACTCAAAAATCATAATTATGTTACTCATTAATTATAACAATGTCATTATTCTTGGAAACAGTTTTCATTTTTAACGTAAATGAACGCTTTTCACGAAAGAGGCCAGGGCCATTGGACTAAGTTTAGGCACGGGCCAAAATGTTGAAAATGAGGATCGTCACGGGCCAGAGGTTTGAATACAAGCATGGAAAGACCAATCATATAATACAACTGGTAATGATCAGCGGGCCACTTGCTAGGCCTCCATGGGCCGCCAGTTGAATAGCCCTAATGTAGCCGGCCGCATCTTTTACGAGGGGTTAGCTTAGACTCTAGTTTGCAAGTAGACTGAATAGATGCGTCACAAAATTATACTGTTAAAAAAAATTAAAAAAAAAAAACGCCTAGTTATCCGATGGTGTGTTTTTATTAGTTGATGGGAAAGCCTGTACACTTAAAAAAATATCAGTGACCAAGAAGCAAAAGAACTGTCAATTGGTTGGCTGAGCCCTGAAGTTTTCTTGTGATTAATCTGGAAAATTTCATCCTCTAAAATACAAAGATTTTAAATGTGAAAGTTATGACTGAATAATGTTCCTTTCAGAAATGTTGAAAAAAAAAATACTTTTGCCGAAAATATGGCATGAAAAGCCTGGAATTAGTTAATCAAAAGATTATCCTCACTGCACATTGGACAAGTCCATTAGCGCTCGGATCCCATCTTCAGTATATCCCCTAGGGTGTGGTGACTAATAACACCGGTTCTGTGTGGGTTTACTATTCTTCTTTGGCTACCTGTGACAGCACTGAGAATGTCGACCCGGCCAAGTGCTTTTCCTGAACCTACTGTTCAAAAGCTCTGCTAAAGAGGAAATAGAAGACTGGAGATCCTCCACAGACCATTTCTGTTGTGAAGAAGGTGGTATCTGGTTGTATTAGTGTGTGTACGTACACAAGAGAACAAGACATCGTCCATGGATTCTGCTTGTTCAATGATACTCCATTATTGTAGTATGCTGATCAGCGCATCGAAAAACTTGCTCCTGTCTTCAGTTTTCATCTCAATGACTGAAACGAAACAAATTAAATCTTTCAGTATGAGACAAAACATCCTACATTCATCTGTTATTTCAAAGGTAATATATTTCGGCTGTTTCCTGTCATACATTTCTTCTTCACCTGCATTCACCGGCTGTAAACTCAGGTGGTAAGACCTGGTGTTCATCCATCTGGTCTTTGCCTTTGCGCCAGGGCCTGAGTTTTGCGTGTGCATCCATTTTATGGCTTATCTGTGTGCAGTGCAACAGGCTGTTCCTTGCCCCTTGGGCAGATGCACTCTGAGTTCGACACAAGAGCTGTCACATACAGTTGTTATATTAACTCATTAATGTGGATAATTAGTTGAACTACTTCTGTCTTACAGTCTCTACTGAACCCCCTCAGACCTATTTACTGCTTTTAAGCGTAACACCCTGAAACAGAAGGAGTTAAATTAACAACTTCTTTGGACCGAAAGAGTTAGGATATCACTGTTTATCTGAAAAACTACAAGTTTAGTAAAGGGGAAGAGGAGAAGAGGTAGAATAAAACAGAGTTGGATACACAACTTGGCTTCCCAGTGTGGATTCCAGGGTCCGGATGGGAGTGGAAATGGGGAGGGGGGGGGGGTCAACCGGCTCCCCTAACAAGCATGTCATAAAAGTTAAATTAATTAGGAGGGTTTCCTTGCATCTGTCTGACAGGCTAGGAACCAACAGTCTGCATATAAATAATTCAGATCGATCAAATGGACATGCTTGCACAGCCGGTGAACACTAACAAGAAGAAGAACTTGGCTGACTGGACACCGATATAAAGTTGACTGCATCTGTGTGTCAGAGGCTGAGGAAACTGATCGGTCAACAAGTGGTGATCCGATGAAGCATGACACACACCTGAGCTATGATGATGATGAAGACCAGAAAAACACAAATGATAGATGAGGTACAAGCCCACACACAAGCACCCAGGCTCTTCTAGCAGAAGCTGAAGAGTGTGCAAGCTGATTACCCCTAAAGAGCGTTGAATATTGAATGAATGAATGAATGAATGCTGAAAAAGAAACAACATCACAGCACTCGGGACACCCCCATAAGAGTTCCAATTCCGATGGCACCAGTAACTGTCTGATTGTATATCCGTCTTGCCTTTCCCTTGAGTGTTTAGCGTCGGACAGATCCCCTTTTAACTCCTCGCAGCACCATTCTCTTCAGATCGTAATGATCTATCTGTGCCTCCACACTGTTCAATCGCTAGAGCCCTCACAACATCCAGCTTGTCACACATCAGTTAATCACCAAGTGGTGCAGAACGGGCCAGTTTATCTGCGCGCTCATTTCCCAACATACCGTCATATGACATGGAGAAAATAGCCTAAGGGTGCTAACTACCAGGGACCTCTGAAGCGATGTTTGCCACTCCGCATGTATGTCTCCACCTTTCTCAACATGCACTGCAAGTCAGTTACAATCTCATGTGTGTACAGCTCATTCTCAAGCCACTGAAAGGCAGCAGTGACTGCCTCCACCTCCATTCTCAAACTAGACATGACATCACATGCCAGGCTTTGCTGCCTCAAGCAACGTCCATTCGCTTTTGCAATGAACCCCCATGCACTTCATCTGCCGGTCAACATAGAGCCATCTGAATAGATAATCACATCACCTGGGCGGTAATTGTCATGAATCATTTGTTGAACTTCTGATTCTGCAGCACCAGCTGGCCAGTCCCCACACTCACGACTCAAAGTGATAAGAACCCTACACAAGTCTAAACTGAAACTTGCTCGGACACTTTGACCCACTCCTCTCCTCGCTTAAATTTATTGAGCCTGCACACAGGTTCAATTGTGTCTTCACTTTGCGCCATCCAAGACCTTCCTCTTTTCAGCCTGTGACCCTTAACTCTACCCAGGGCTTTATGCAGGAGGTGCCTCTTGTCCGCAGCTACTCTGAGATATGACATTGCTTGCAGAACTTTGAGCCTATCTGCAATAGTAGGCAGTGCAAGTATGTATCTCATACATACTAGCTTATCTCTAAAACAAGTCAGCTATAGGAAGTTGCGTGTACTGGCCTCGACTTAGATGCCGGCCCAAAGGTTTTAGGTTCTATTCTGCATCTAGCCATTTTTGTTTTTTAAATATTGAACTTTGCGCCAATGTTGACCAGCATCTAAAATGGGTACTACGCAATGTCCTGAGAAGTAAAGGTAGTCAGAGTGATGTGACCACATCATCCACTGCGTACTAACCAGTCTATAAAAACATCAGTCTAACATGACACACCTGACACGCCATTGGCTCAGGCGATGATTCCCAGGGGTCTTTGTAAAAACTGCATTTGTGAATGAAACAATACGTTATCTTCTCATCTTCTTCCTGGTCTAACTTGTGCTCTACATCCTTCTATTTTCTAGTATACTTTTAATGGTATGGTGTCATAAGGGATTCTCTCCAAGTGGGTAAACAATCAATTCTGCTGTACATCTGGGCATGCCACTGTAAAAATTTTATGAGTGGACCAGATGGCAGGGGAGTGTATTATTACATATTAGTGATTAGTAAGGAGTATCATCAGTGTTTTTCAAACCTGTTATGAGAAGGAACAGACTCATGGTGACGACTGGCAAGAACGATGGAACAAAAGCAAGGGAAAGGCAAAAAGATAAATGCCTTGGTTTCGCCATGGATGGGACGTGATTCTGGTGATCACATGACATGACAAAACATATCTGCCTACGTTTATCAGGTAGACACATGATGACAATGACAACAAACATAAAAAACTTACTGTGAGAATCAAAACTGTTGAACCTGACTACCGTATTTGTGGACTCTGCTGCTTGTTCAAAGGCCTTTCCAAAAAAGCTGCAAAATGCATTAACAATATTTGGATTGAAAATAAATACAACACATTAGGAAAACTGGATAACACAAGAATGTTCTTGCACAGGAATCTACAATGTCTGCTTTAGGGTTTCTTTTAAACCTCCTCTTCAGTAAGTTCTGGGGTTATTCATCCACTTCTGGGCATGTTCCCTAACTTGAGTTTTATATCCACTTTCATTTTCCATATCTGACTTATCTGTAGGAAAGTATTTCAGGATTCTCGCCTGTGCTACAGCGCTGAGATTCTTCGGACTCAGGCTGGAGTCAGAAGTAGAACTGAGCACTTATGGCTTACTACCCTTGTGCCATGATGGTTATCCGCCATCTAGACCTAAACTCCAACTCTGAAGGAAACCTTCCTAATTAGGTGACTCTTTATAACAAGCTTGTTAGGAAAGCAGTGGGTCTATTCTTGTCTGCTCCAAAATTGGCACCACAGATGATCTTTGTTTGCTTTAAAAGAAATCATCTCTCTCTCTCTCACAAACATCACAGAAGAAAGAGTTTTGTGTACTATTATGAAGCTGCTAATGTCTAAATTAGCTGACTAGGTGCTGAAATCAAAATGATGTTTCTACTGGATAACATCTTAAACTGGCAATTCACATATAGGAGTGACTACTGTACCTCTACACAACTGCTTTTTATCAACTCTTAGGAAAAACAAGTTGTTTTCAGGAATTCCCCCCCCCCCCCCCTTTCCCAGCCAATTTTAGATGAGATGTTTGTTGTGCAAGCCGATTATCCCTAAAGCAAGTCAGTCAGCTACAGGAAGTTGTGCGTACTGTTCTAGACTTGCATGCAGGCCAAAAGGTTTGGACTGGCCATTTTTGTTTTTTTTTAAATATTGAACTTGACGCCAGTGTTGACCTAGGTCTCAAATTGGTACTAGGTAATGTCCTGGGAAGTAAAGGTGGCCAAATGTGGTGTGTCTATCTGATGGTGTGTCTATCTGATGGTGTGTCTATCTGATGGTGTGTCTATCTGCAAATAACCACACACACCAAAAAGATAAACTCAAGGATGATTTCGTTTAGATGCATGAACTTCGTAGCACTGATGAAAATCTTTGAGAGAAAGAAAAAGGAAAACTCCTGATTACATCTCCGCACAAAACAACTGACAGACTTGCAGGTAAGGCTACTGTGAAAACCGGACAAGCCATGGACCAGGTTGATATACTGAATGCTCTATGAGATTTAAGATGTCTGAGTGAACCAACTGAGAACTGATTATTCTCATGGTCAGACTGCGAAAAACAGCAAGTCCATTAGTGTGTCGGACAAACAAGAATCATTAAATCCCGCAGCCTGTAGTGGCCTAATAACAACCAGTTTCTGAAACTGATGTAGTTTATTATTATTCTTTAGGCTACCCACATAGTAATGAGGAGTTTGTGCGACACCCCATGGAACTTGCTGTTTCGACGTGCAATAAGGATGATCTGTTGCAGATTCACTAGTTGAGCAAGTACTTACTTTTTCCGTTCATCGTCTGTATCCAGAGGAGGAATGCCAACCATGATAGATCTACCTTCCTCTATACTCAACGGAGCTCCCAACACTAGAGGCAGGCTGCGGACTCTCTTGTTGCGACTCTGGAAAAGACGTTTCATTATATATTCATATATATATATATATACATATATACATAAATCTCTCTTTCATGGTGCAACTCGAATACTACTGTCTGAAAATTCAGAAAACATTGGAGAAATTAAATTACCAACTTCTTCGTACCGCGAAAGACTTGAGATAAAACTGTTTATCTGAAAAACTACATGTTCAGTAGAGGGGAAGAGGAGAAAAGGTAGAATAAAACAGATATGGATACTAAACTTGGCTTCCCAGTATGGGTTCATTAGCAACAAATTAAGTAGATGTCAGAGTTCTTAAACTTGTGTTGCTACCCCCCCCCCCCCCCAACAAACAAACTCTCATATCTAAGAATCAATATCCCATAGAGCCGCAGGCAATCCAGTATTTATTTCCCGTTTGGGTTTAGGTGCCCCATTTTGGGAAGAACAATAAACCCCTCTTTTCCTAACAAGCATGTTGTAGAAGGCGACTAATTATGGGCGTTTCTTTCAAAGTCGGTGTGCACCTGCCTGAGAGACAGAAATCATTTGTCTGCATTCAAATAAGCCAGGTCTGTAAAACGGAAATACATGCAAAACTCAAGTTCTGGATCAACGTGTCCAGTCCAGAAGTGGACGAACAACCAGAACTGACTACCAGAGTTTACACAGAGTACCAATCTTCTGATCTAGCAGCAAGCGTAGTTTAAAAAATATAAGTGTTACTTCTTCTTTTAGAGTTAACCAAGTAGGCTGAGAAAAGGATCAGGCTGCAAGAGCAAAACTTCCCGGGACATGTACTAAATAGAGAAAGAACAAATGGTCTTGAAATCCCAAGGTCTAACCATGGAAGACTTTTCTTAATGCAGTTAGGTCTTGCTAGCTACACTTGCCATCGCCATGGGGCTTTAATTCTCATACCTCCATATTGCACAAATACCACTGTCTGAATGTTGAATTAAGAATCGACATCACAGTGCTTGGGACACTCCATTAGCGCTCCGTCCATATCTTCAATAGCAAGTAAACCACATTCTGGGGTCTCAAAAACTTGACATATATGGTTGTTATTTTATGCAGTTACTTTAGTGTAATAAAAGCGCGGGACATAAATAATTAACCAAAGAAAACATGGTGTGTCTATCTACCACTTACAACTGAGCAGTGGGCTTGAAGAGTGTATCTGGCCAGTCGAAGCAGGCACTGCGGATGTGAGAAAAACCGAGAGTCTGCGGTACCCTGAAATAAGTTGTAACAACAAGCAAATAATTATGAGGAGATTTACAGCAAACTATGATTTTAAATTAAATGAAGAATCTCGATCATCTCAGACTTATTTGTTTGAGTCTAACTCTTTCTGTCACAAACTAGGCACTATGCATGACTAGGATTATTCATGAATATCAATCAACATGTTAAGTATGTTTTGATATCTTACGTATCCAATACATCCAATCTTATATATATTTATTTATTTTATTTAAAGCCATCTGCAATGAAGTCGGTCCTCAAACAAGACTGTAACTGTAGAGTCAAATCTTGCAAAAGCCAAGAGCACATTAATAATCCTATGGCACTTCCTTCCAGTACACTAAATAGGTCATTGTCCAATTTTTAGCGTCTATTGGATATTTTATCCAAATCATGCCGATGTGTTGGAAAAAAAGCAGGCAGATAGACTGACAGGTTCTGCACCACTTGGTGGTGAACTGATGTTTGACAAGCTAGATGTAGCAAGGGCCCTTTGGGAGCCAGTGAACAGTGTAGAGGCATTTTAGTCTCAAAAGAATGAAGCTGCGAGGGGATTTGGCCAACGCACAACACTAAGTGAAAGGCGAGATGGATATACAATCAGACAGTTACTAGTACCATCTAAATTGGAAATCTTTGATTGCTGCTGAAGATGGGGGACAGACCGCTTAAGGGAGTGTCCCGAGCTCTGTGATGTCGGTTCTTAACCAACAATCAACAGAGTTAAATAAAATAAAAAAAATAATACACGTTAAACAGTAAATGCCTAAGGAAAATGATGAAATAAAATGGGACGATTTCAAGAAAAGTAAAGAAATAAGAGACAACCACTGGTATCAACAGTCAAAAGACAGAGAAGATTGTGTTATACTAGGCACATTCTGAGAACAGAGAAGATGGTGTTATAATGGGCACATTCTGAGAAAAGACAAACAAAGAATCACCAAACAGACAATGAAATTGGAAAGAGATGGATTTAGGAACCGAGGAGGTCTAAGAGAAATTCTAAGGTGAACGTTAGTGAGAGGAGGTAAGTCAACGATCCGGACTCCTTACGGCTTTCTCCACACCGTGTCATACTTCTTCTATTTGAAGAGCCTCCCCTCATCTTGGTTGGCTGGAGTTTATTTGCTTCTCTTTTTGACTTATCCATGGTTGGTTGGTTTTTGTGGCTATGGTTTTTACAGGATGAGGTAGCCAACCTCACGCCCAACCTTACCCTTAGTCGCTTCTTACGACATGCCTGGTAGGGTGCAGTGTCACTATTCTTTGCTTCCCGTGAGGGCCCCGGTGACACACAAAGACAAAGATAATGAGAATAAATCAGGCAAATAGTAATGTGGTTTCTCTTAATGGCACCCCACTCCAAGACGTGGAGTCGTACACTTATTTGGGCAGTAATGTAGATAAAGATGGAGGAACTGATAGAGATATTAAAATAAGAATACAAAAGGCAAGAGAGGGGCTTTCATAGCACTAGGGAATTTGTGGAGGTCAAAAGAAATTAAAAGAGAAATACTAAACTAAAAAATTTTAATTCTAATGTCAAATCAGTACTATTGTATGGGCGGAAACATGGAGAACAACGAAGGCAATTACTAATAAATTACAGACATTCATTAACTGGTGCCTGCGCAGAATAGAGGGAATAAAATGGTATGATAGAATAACTAATGTAGAACTTTGGGAGAGAACTAAACAGGCTCCAGTGGATCAGGAGGTGAGGAAAAGACGCTGGCGTTGGATAGTGCACACACTGAGAAAACAGGAGAACAGCATAACTAGAATGTCTTTGCATTGGAACCCACAGGGGCATAGGAATAAAGGAAGGCCAAAAAAGACAACAACATGGAGAAGAGAGCTGGAGAATGAGGTTAGAAAGATTGGGAGGACATGGGGAGAGCTCCATGTAATGGCGAAGGATAGAACGACTTGGCGTGAGTTGGTTGAGGGCCTATGCTCCATTGGGGGATAAAAAGGCAGAAGAACAAGAACGTTAGTGAGAAACCAAAGATGCTTGGGTGGATTCCATCCATGCTATTGTAGTGATGAGTCGCCAAAGGTGCTTGGGTGGATTTCATCCATGATATAGAAGGAATGAGAAGCCAAAGGTGTTGGGCTTGATTCCATCCATGATATCGTGTGATGAGAAGCCAAAGGTGCTGGGGTGGATTCCATCCATGATATCGTAGTAATGAGAAGCCAAAGGTGCTGGGGTGGATTCCATCCATAATATCGTAGTGATGGGAAGCCAAAGGTGCTGGGGTGGGTTCCATCCATAATATCGTAGTAATGAGAAGCCAAAGGTGATGCAGGTGAATTCCATCCATGATATGGCAGTGATGGGAAGCCAAAGGTGCTGGGGTGGATTCCATCCATGATATCGTAGTGATGAGAAGCCAAAGGTGTTGGGGTGGATTCCATCCATGATATCAAAGTGACTACAAAAAACAGAATGGAATGGAGGAGCAGACTGCACACCTTACATGACACTGAATGGCACAATAGGATACTGAATGAATTAAAAACTGTAAAAAGTCGTAGGATGAAACAAACGGACCATTACCTCTTGGACACAGACGTAGAGAAAAGGTCCAGCTGAAATGATCTGGTGCATGTCTAGAAAACTCTGCACCTGGTTGACCACACCTCGCAGCTGCAGCTTGGCCGATTCCAGGCCGGCTTCTATCTTGCGTGAAACACATCTGTGGGCACATACGTCTTCATGTGACAATATGTTCATAGGAAACATGCTGGTTGTATGAAGGCATGAGTGCATGTGCATGTAAACTGTTAAAAAAAAAAAAGATGCATGATATCCTGTGGGAATTTTTATTGGTTGAAGGGAAAGGTCATTTGCCTAAAAACAACTGATGAGCCAGAAGCAAAAGAACAGTCAACTATCTCATGATAAAATAAAGACTACCGTTCCCACTGTGTGCCCGTCAGACAGAACCACGAACACGTGAGCACATTCTGCAGACCTGCCTACTTTACCTATAACTTGGTGTGTGTGTGTGTGGGGGGGGGGGGGGGGGGGGGGGGGGGGGGGGGGGGGGGGGGCCTCAAGAGCAAAATGTACAGACCCAGCTTCAGGGAACCATGAAGGACCTGCTAATGACCTGCAAGTTCATAGAGGCAACCCAGCTGATGGTCTGATCTGAGCATACCAAACCGAACGCAAAGGAGAAGAAGAACCTAAGGTATTCTTGTGTGAAATTCCACTCATTAATCTGTGTCAGCACTGATTTATATGTATAAATGTGTGTGTGTGGATGTATTAGCATAGTTTTTTTTCCTATGTTCCTGGTGAGGGTTCTAGTTCTATTTTGAGGAGTTTCCACTTAACAAGCTTGTAGTAAAAAGCAATTAACTGGGGTGTTTCCTTCGAAGTTGCAGTGCATCTGTCTAAGAGGCAAGTAACCAACAGTCTGCATATAAATAAGCCAGATCTGTAAAAAGGATGTGCATGCAACACTCAAGTTCTGGAACAAGACCAAAGTCCAGAAGTGGATGGAAAACCAGAACTTTCTGCTGGAGTTTACAGCCTGCTAAGGCTAACAAGAAGAAGAAGAAGAAGAAGAAGAAGAAGAAGGAGAAGAAGAAGAAGAAGTAGTAGAAGAAGAAGTAGAAGAAGAAGAAGAATAAGAAGAAGAAGAAGAAGAAGAAGAAGAAGAAAAAGAAGAAGATGAAAAAGAAGAAAAAAAAAGAAGAAGAAATAGAAGAAGAAGAAGATAAAGAAGAGGAAGAAGAAAGATGTTGACAATAAAAACATTAAACAGGATTACCTCTGAAGGATCTCTGTTGCTGCCAAAAAATTGTCAGTTGGTAAACGAAGCCTGTCCTAGACAAACAGAAAGCATTATCACTTATTTATCGGAATAAAAACCGCCCGAGCAACGCTTGCCAAGTGTAGCATTATTACAAATACTAAAACTGGCTGCATAAATCTTTAATCAATTATTAATTTGCTATTTAAAAAAAAAAATTTTGTTAAATAAAGGCCTTATAAATGGCTGCACAAGAGACCACTGAACAGTTTCTGAAAATAAAAAAAAAAAAATGGCTGCACACAAGAACACTAAATTATTTTTATGATGAAAAAAAAATGACTGCTAAAAACAGCATTATCACAGATACTAAAATAGCTGAACAAATCTTTACTCAAAACTTCTTTCTTTTTGATGTTCACCGGCTGTCAACCCCAATACAAAGTTCTAGTTGTTCGTTTTCCCTCGGGATTTTAATCTTGCTCCAAAATCTGAGTGTTGCATGTACATTAATTTTACAGATCTAGCTTATTTGCATGCAGACTGTTGGTTCCTTGCCTCTCAAGCAGATGCATTCCAACTTTGAAGAAAGCTCCCAAAGAGTCGATTCGTATGACACGTTTGTAGGCGAGGCAGTTGTCTATTCTTGCTTTACCCCACAATGGGGCTCCGGAATTCACATGGAGATTTACTTAACAATTGTTTCTATGAACACGAAAAAAGGCCTTACAAATGGCTGCATGCAAGACCACAAAACCATTTTAGCTATTAAGGGAAAAAATGGCTGCACACTACTTCTTCTTAAAGTCCATGCCGTGTGACGTTGGTAGTCGTGTTTATCCACAACCATGTACTTTTAATCAACTCTGACACATAAGAGCACTAAGTTACTTTTCTCGTGAAAAAGAAATTATTTAAAAAAATGGCTGCAGACAAGAGCAGTAAACAACTTTCTATCCGTAAAATATACTAATTAATGCACTCTTTCGCGGGCTTCTGTAATATCTTTCTTCACTTCCACCATTCACCTCAGGGAGGTGTTGGGGGAAGATGTAAGGATCGTTTGTGTGCTTTTTCCAATGCACTGTACAAGCTGGTGTTCATTTCTGTTAGGTTGCTCCTGATGATGTCGCTACATGTCTTTCGTGGTCTTCCTCTTGTTCTGTGTTCATTATATTTCTTCAACGTGGCTCTCTGTGGCAGCTGGTACCAGGGCATTCTAGTCAGGTGGCCAAACCATCTCAATTGTTGTTCTTTAATGAACTGTATAACTGGTTTCAGTCACAGTCTTCTAATTTCTTCATTCCTGATTTTATCTCTTCTTGTCAGACCGGCAGCTCTCCTAAGACACCTCATCTCTGTTGTTATGACTTCTGTGATGTAACTACTGAAGAAAAAACCTAACCTACCACAGATTCCAAAGCAGCAGCAGCGGCGTACACAAAGTCTGTGGCACACAAGAGATGTTTATAGCCATACTGCATGGTAAACGATGGGATGATCACGTCCTGGATCTCTAACCTGTAAGTGGATGAAGAACAAGATCAGAAATGATAGAACAATTGTTGGCTCAAGAAGGATCATACTTGGACCAATCTTCTGCTTCTTCTTTGCTCCCCGGCTGTAAGCTCTGGCAGAAAGTCCAGGTTGTTTGTCTATGTGGACTTTGGTTTTGTGGCAGGGCCTAAGTTTTGCGTGTACATCAGTTTTATTGGTTTATTTGTATGCAGATGGTTGTTCCTTGCCGCTTGGGCAGATGCACTCTGACTTCTAAGGAAGCTCCCATAGAGTCGACTCCTACGACACGCTCGTTGGGGAGGCAGTGGGTCTGTTCTTATTTTTCCCTTAACGGGACCCCAGGACCCACACAGGGAGGACAAATCAAAACAATAAATATTGTAACCGATGGCACAGGATGGGAGAGTCTCTGTAGTGAAGCCGTTTGCCTTGTGCTCTGAAAGTCATGGGTTTGTTTCACAGCAATATCATTTGGTTCACGAGTGCAATTTTCTGATACCCTTGGGGATCATTTGCCAGAGCTACAGTGTTCGTGCTTTGTGTAAGCTCCAGAAGGGCAGCTAGCCATCTGTAATGGGAGACTGAGCCACATGGGATAAAAGCCCATACAATGAATTTGATTCTTTCAACTTTAAATCTTTAAAATATAAAATAACTTGGTCGAAGGTATGTGTTCCATTGGAGCAGCGGTTCTCAACCTGTGGGTTGCAACTCCTTTGGGGTCAAACCACCCTTTCACAGGAGTCGCCTCATCGAAAACACATATTTACTGAAGTTATGTAGCACTGGATGTGACTCACGCCAGCGACTAATTAGAAGTTTGTTGGGAAAACAGACGTATGGGGCTCAAAAACCCAAATACCACAGCTTAGCTGTAAACCACAACACAATGTGTCAACTGCCATTTTAAGGTCAGACACAAAAGATGAAGAAGAAGAAGAAGTAGAAGAAGAAGAAGAAGATAAAGCTACTTACCCATACTTATTCATATACTCTAGTATTTTGACCTTCACCTCTGACCTCATGGCGGTGTCCATAGCACTGTATTGCTGCTTGCACTGTGTTAGTGGTAGCCTGAGGAGGGGGAGACAACCACAAGCATTAGCTCTTTGCATAGCACTCAAAACCTAGTAGCTCCATTATTTTTTTCAAGTGAATTTCCTGCTGTCACTCATCATAATCATGAGTGTCTGCAGAACAGGTCGATCGCATTGTTGAATCACATACACAGAACAGACTTGCCCCATTACCGAATCACACACAGAGAACAGACTCACCCCATTTCCAAAATAGAGAGAACAGATTCACATCATTACTGAACCACATACAGAGAAAACTAAACCCATAACTGAATCACACACAGAACAGACTCATCTCATTACTGAATACTTGACCTATTAGAGAAAAGGATACATGACTACTAAATCTCTCTCATCCACTCATACATAAAGAAGAATAGAATCACGCACACAAACATAGTGTGTAAAAGAGAGTGAGATAGAGAGAGAGTGAGTGAGGTAGACAGATATATATATATATATATATATATATATATATATATATATATATATATATAATATATATATATATATATATATATATATATATATATATATATATATATATATATATATATATATATATATATATATATATATATATATATATATATATATATATTTATATATATATATATATATATATATATATATATATATATTTATATATATATATATATATATATATATATATATATATATATATATATATATATATATATATATATATATATAGAGAGAGAGACAGAGAGAGAGAGCACTGACCCCATTTCAGCCAGGAATTCATGCAGCCTCTTCTGCCCCTTGAGAGACCACAACCGAAGCTTGCAGGCTATTGGCATGGAGTGACAGATGCTATCAAACAGCTTCCAATGGCGATACAGCGGCAGGTAGAGCTCCTCTTCAAATGATACACGCAGGCAGTTGACCGACATGATGTTCTCATCATCTGCCCCTCTAAACATTTGTTTTAGAAAGATAAAACAATTTATAGCACTGGATTTTTTTCAGTGTAACTATAAAACAAAACAAAAAAATTTTTAAACAGAAAAATTTAGCATGTGATTCATGCTGTATGGTCCAAAAAAATACATCATCTGAACATCCAAAGAACACATAATCAAACATTGATAAGAACTGGATCATAAAAAGAACCCTGTCCTGAATGCTGAGGTAATTAGGTCCTCTTAAAAAGGTCACAGACAGTTAGTAAATTAGTGAAAACTTATTTGGAAACTGCAGAGACGTGGTTTTATAGACGAATGATGAGAATACCCTGGACAGAGAAAAAAGAGTAATGAAGACGTCTTGAAAGAAAGTGACTCACGAAGAGAACTCATGCTCAATCAGAAAGAGATAATCTACATTCTTTGGTCATGTGATGAAAAAGAGAAAACTGGAGTACCTAGTGACAGTAGGAAAAATGGAGGGAAAGAGAGGCAGAGGGAGACCGAGAGAACAGATGCTGGACAGTCTGACATCATGGCATGGAGGATCATCTGTGTTAGAGCTGATAGACAGTACATGAGGCAGAAGGTTGTGGATAGGCATGACTACCAATGCCACACGGCATGGACTCTAAGAAGAAGGAAAGTCATGGTGGCCTCGAAAGAACGGCGATGGAGGGTACTTTCTGGAAAACGAAGCAGAGGCCAACCTCCGCAAAAGTGGAGACAAGACACTGAAGATGCACTAGCCATGAAAGCACATAGGGTCAGATAACTGGCTAGAGAAAGGGAAACTCTCAGCTGTGCCGTGAAGAGAGCAATGTTCTGTAGAGGACCTGCTGATTGATGACGATGATGATGATTATAATGTTTAGTTTTAGTTTAGTCAACGGATCAACATCATGGCACATGGGTGTAAACCCTTAAGTTCTCCGTTCTACTTCTAACTCAAGCCTGAGTCTGAAGAATCTTGGTGAAGTGCACGAACTCCATTGCAGCAGCAAGGATCCTGAAATAATTTTTCAAAGTAGATTTTTAACTCTAAATTTTGCACGATCAGCGCCGTTAGGCTACTCTTTTCGATTTCCATGATGATTATAAAGATGTATGTGGATAGATATGAAATAAGGAATAAATACAATGGTGGTTTGCCCTTGCTTCTGTCTATGTAAGAATTGTCTCTAATAGCCTTTGTCAACAAAGACAGACTATGAAGGCAGTAGGGAGGACATTTACCACTAAGTTGTGGGAAATGAAAAGATGGATAGATTAGCTGAGTTTAAACCACCTGGTGATACAGTGATACATGACAAGCTAGATGAGGTCAAGATCCTTTGGAAGTCAGTGAACGCTGTGGAAACACAAACATATCATCATGGCAATAGCACAGCAGAGAGTGGCCAAGGCAATCTGGCCGACATTCAAATTACCAGCCAATCTGTCTGCCTGTTTATTTCACAAAAATAAACAGAGGGGGAAACCCTTAAGGCAGTTAAGTATTGTATATTAATAAAGTAACAGAAAATGTACTGACCGGCACTCACAGAAAGAAGTAGAAAGACAGAAGATCACACTAGACAACATAAAAATCGAAAGCTATAGTTACTGTGCCGTGACAGGTTCAATTCCCGGCACGTTAACTATTTTTATGTTGTCTAGTATGATTTTCCATCTTTCTACTTCTTTCTGTGAGTGCCGGTCAGTACATTTTCTGTTACTTTATTAATATGTTTATTTCTCCAGACACATTCAAACCCTAGAGAAAATATAAAGGATGCCAGTTTCCCGGGACCTCTGACACAATGCTTGCCACTCTAAAAGCAATATGCCTGTACTTTGTAAGTCCGTTACATTTACATGTGTCAGCTGGTATGTGTTCTCAAGCAAGTGGAAAGCTGCACTGACTGCCTCCACCTCCATTCACAAACTAGAAGCTGTGGTGTCATATAATAGGCTTTACTGCACCAAGGGTCATCTATTCAGAGAAATGGATGATAAAGCACACACCTTGTGAATTCATTTGACACAAAAACATGGCCTACCTCTGATTGTGACGTGACACGTGGGATTGAAGGGACATGATATCCTCCATGTACTTGTCTCTAGGTGTTCTGTAGTGGACAAACTGATCTGTCACTCCCACTATTGCCAACCTGGTTATGAGCAAAGAGACCAACAATCATCACTTTCTTCTTCTTCGGGTACACTGGTTGCAAACTCCAGAGGAAAGTTCTGGGTATTCATCCACCACTTTCACTATTAACATTCCCTAACATTGCTCAGTCCCTCTCTGACAGAACAGTGTTTTACCTGTGTGGGTTCTTGGGTACTACAGGGGGCATTATGGGGGTGGGGGTTAAAGATATATATTGCCCCTTTTATATATTTTGTAAAAGGCGAATAGAGGCGCCCATGGCTTAGGCGAGCCCAATGTACCGCAACCGAAACTCACTGCTGGCTGCGTGGATTTTTATCATGGTATGGGGTGTCGCTGGTCGACACAGCCTAAAATGGGTACCTGGATGGCTTTCCTGGGGAAGCAAAGACGACCGGCGTAATGCTGATCACATTACCAACCCAGTGCCGATTGGTCTGTAAAAATATGAGGTGCTCTTCCCGTATGCTTTTTTTTTTATAACTTTAAAAGGCGATTAATTAGGGATTTGCCAAAATCCGATGTGCTGGACAGAAATGCGTAGGTAATACAGCCTAGCTGTAAACAACAATGAGCCAACAGCCCTTCTGAGAGTGGATGACGAAGAAGAAAGAAGAACAGAATAGCATTTACTACCCAAAAAAAAGTGTCCGCAGTTTTTCTAACTTAAGTTGCAGAAGAATTTTTTTTTACTCTCTGCTGGTACTGCAAATTATAACGACACAAATATGGCGTCCTTGGAAAGTTGTGAAGGTTGTAGGTTCATGGGTGGACTTTTGTTTAGTTTACTGGTGTCACCTTTTCGGAGATCATGATTGGAGCTACAGAATTCATGCTGTGTGGTTAGGAAAATACAAATTTCACAATGTCCATTTACCGTTGTGCTAAAACATTTTCAAGAAACAGCTTTCAAGAAATGATACTGAGCCAAAACCCCTTTACACTTTAAGACCCTTCTACCACTATTTAAGTCCATATTCTCCTTTTGTTTTTCATTGTGGTTGCAAGACAGTCTATGATTTAAATCCGAATGCTGCCACTGGAAAGATGTATGTCTCTAACTCTCATGGCAAAGCAAAACCTGGTGTGTTTATGAATCGACCTCTTGATTTGTCTCCACTGCACAATGTGCCCTCTTACTTTTTTATATTTGGTCTGTACATATTAAGGAAACCAGGCCACACGTGGTCATTACTGCTGCGTAAATTGCCATTTTAAAGGTAAAGAATTCACATTTCACCATGGTTTTTATCTTCACTTTGGCATCTCCTGCGACATTTTCTGGTACCGAAAGAACTAACACAATGCAATTTAGCCAGATCATAGATCAATGATGCCTATTTGGATGACATACTTTGCTTCATAGGTGGCACATTTGTCTTGGCCATAATAAAATCATGACTCAAACTGTAGTTATGCAAGAGGTCAGCTTGCAGCATTGCAAGCTTTGAGGTTCACTGCTGCAGATATCAACTGCCTCCATTCCTCTCTCTAAATGGTCTTCTCCTTGCATTTGTGAACTTTCAGTGTTTGTAGATCTGAATATATGTTATCCTCTCCGTTATTTCTTGGCCTGTCTCACGGTCCACTCCCATTTAACTCTTGTGGGTGTAGTTTCTGCCACACTGTTATCTGCGATTCCCTCTTTATGTCCCAACCATCGCAGTCTATCAGCCCTCACGATGGCAGTAATTACCAATTATTTAAAAAATAAATAAAAATGAATGCGGTGAGAATGACAGTTTCTGTTACCATCAGAATTGGAACTCTTCACTTGCTGCTGAAGATGAAGAGTGAGCGTTTATGGGAATGTCCTGAGTGTTATAATGTTGATTCTTAATTCAACATTTAAAAAAATAATAATGAATTTTGTTAATGCTTCTCACTCCTCGTTCTCTGCTGTTTGCATGTTTGATCAATCAAAAAAGTGCCGTAGTACTCCACAGTTCACAGCCATTTAAGACAATTCGTGGGTTAAAAACAAACAAACAAACAACGGAAACAAGCAAACAAAAGCTGCTAACATACCACAGGAGACTATTTGTGTCTTTAGACAGTTTCCAAGCAAGTTCAAACATCATTAATGCTGCCTGTAATACAAATGTGGTCATCAGTAATTGTTCCACTCTCATTATAAACATCATTAATACCTGTAACACAACTGTGGTCATCAGTAATTGTTCTACTCTCATTAAAAACATCATTAATGCTGCCTGTAATACAATTATGGTCATCAGTAATTGTTCTACTCTCATTAAAACATCATTTATGCTGCCTGTAATACAATTATGGTCATCAGTAATTGTTCCACTCTTATTATAAACATCATTAATGCCTGTAATACAACTGTGGTCATCAGTAATTGTTCTACTCTCATTAAAAACATCATTAATGCTGCCTGTAATACAATTATGGTCATAAGTAATTGTTCTACTCTCATTAAAAACATCATTAATGCTGCCTGTAATACAATTATGGTCATCAGTAATTGTTCCACTCTTATTATAAAACATCATTAATGTCTAATACAATTGCAAGTAAAAAGTACCATTTTACTCAATGTTGTATAGATCAACCGGTAGCCAATGTGTAGTACCATCGATTAACCGGTAGTTCCAATCCATAGATCCATTTTACTCAATGTAGTCAACCGGTAGCCAATGGGAGATGTAGTCACCATCGATTAACCATCTGGTAATTGCAGTTCCAACTCCATAGCAAACACTCCCCCCCCCCCCCCTCCCCCCCAAACTTACTCCAGTCCTGTGCCACACAGAATGTCCATCACTGTCCATTGTGAAAAAAAACTGACACAGACAGGCGGCAGTCTTGAACGCTGAATTAAGAATCGACATCACAGCACTCGGGACACTTCCATAAGCACTCTGTCACCCGCTTCAGCAGCAACTGAACAGTTAGACGGCAATCTTTGTAAAGCCACTAGCATACACATGCACTCAATGCATAGGCAGCCATCAGAAGGAGAAATATAACAATTCCTGACACTAGAAATGCAAACCATTTTTATCTTCTCCAGGACATTTCCTGATATTTTTTCAGTCTGGGTCAGCTATGGAGACAATGGTAATTAGTAATACAATTGCTGTCATCATTTATTATTAAACTTTAAATGTAAACATTGTGTATGTCAAATTTTTTTTTTTTTTCTAGCGGTGTTTTGTGTGTGTGTGTATCAACTGTATTTCTTGGGCATGCAGGTTCTAATGTAACTACCTTTTAGTTACATCAATATGTCAGTTTGTGTCCTATCCAACGCCAGCATCTTTTCCTCACCATCTTTTTCAATGGAATTTGCTTCAATTTTCAACTAACTATACAAAAAACAATCAAAAAAAAAAAAAAAAAAAAAAAAAAAAAAAAAGTTACTTACCGATGTGCCATACGATGTGAATTTGGAATAATCAAATAGAGTTTTTACTCTGAGGACAAAATTGAAAAAAATGATGGAAAAATAATAAATCAATGTAGATAAAATATACTTCATTTCAAATGTCATTAACAACTAAGGCAATTACTAATAAACTACAGATATTCATTAACTCGTGCCTGCACAGATTAGAGGGAAAAAAGGTAAAGGTAAAGTCGGGAGATGTGAACCAGCGTCATTGCACACGGTTATAAACCATACAAATATAGAATAGAGGGAATTAAATGGTTTGATAGAATCACTAATGTAGAGCTTTGGGAGAGAACTAAGCAAGTTCCAGTGGACTAAGAGGTAAAGAAAAGACGCTGGCACTGGATAGGACACACACTGAGAAAACCGGAGAACAATACAACTAAAATGTCTTTGCACTGGAACCCACAGAGGGCATAGGAATAAACAGAAAAACACATGGAGAAGGGAACTGGAGAATGAAGTTAGAAAGATGTTCACCTGTATATCCTGTAACAAAAATATAGGCGGCTACACACACAATCAATTTCAGCAGTGATTCAAACCCCTGCTCTTGCACCAAACCTCCCTAAATCCTCCAGATCATACTGACTGAATCACTGAGTACACATGCTCGGGTGTAATTTTTTGTGTTTTCAAGCCATGCGAACACTTGCGTTACTGCCACTGCCTTCATGCTGCTAATTATCAGAGAAGGCACTGTTGGCTTCTTTGACTGTTCTGCCTGCTGAGCACAGATTTGAGCTAAATTAAGAATCAACCCAGGACATTCCCACAAGTACATCATTCTCATCTTCAGCACCCAGTTAAGAGTTCCAATTTCCATGGTACCAGTAACAGTCTGACTGTATGTCTTCTTGTCCTTCCCTCCGAGTGTTGAGTGTTAAGTGGCAGCCAGAACCCCTGGTAACTCTCTACTGCACAATTCTCTCCTTACCATGACAATCTATTTGTGATACACTGACAACCCTACCTGGATTCATTCCATCTACGTCTGTCCTGTCTGCGGATGATTGACTCATCATCGAACCTCTTTCTCTTGTAGCCAGTTTCAGGATCATCGTTTTCACTATCAGATTCCTCTGACTTTAACATGAAGAAAAAAGGAAAAGGAAGTACTGAAGTGAAATACAATAGAAATGCTGAAATACACTAAAGGCAGAAACAGCACTGAACCATCAACAATATAAAACTGTGTTTGCCACAAAAATTACAGAACCAGAAGACAGTAAAATTACTGTAAATTGCGGCACACAAGTCGAACCCATAATTTGTTCCTTTAAAGTCAGTTAGGCATATCCCCCGTGTGGGTTCCGGGGCCTCATTGTGGGGAAAACAAGAATAGACCCACTGCCTCCCCAAAAGCATGTCGTAAGAGTCGACTAATTGGGGAGCTTCCTTTGAAGTCAAAGTGCATCTGCCGGAGAGGCAAGGAACCAACAGTCTGTATTCAAGAGAATGAGATCTGAAAACTGATGCACACGCAAAACTCAGGTTTTGGAGCAGGACTGCAGTTCACTAGTGGACGAGCAACCAGAACTTTCCGCCAGAGTGCACAGCTGGTGAACGCGAAGAAGAAGAAGTTAGGCATATATCTACATAATATTTTACTCCCCATATAAGTCGACCCCAAAGTTTAGAAAGATTCTTTAGGCAGGAAAACTTGACTTAAAATTTAGTTGTTCTTAGCATTCACTAGCTGTAAGCTCGGGCACAAAATTCTAGTTGTTTGTCCACTTTTGGACGTTAGTCTTGTACCAGAATTTTGCGTGCACATTCACTACACAGACCTGGCTTAGTTGTATGTAGACTGTTGTTTCCTCACCTCTCAGACAGATGTACTCCAACTTCAGAGAAAAAATCCTTAATTAGTAGCCTTTTATGACATGCTTGTTAGGGAGACAGTGGGTCTATACTTTCCCTCCCAAATGGGGACCTGGAACCCATAATTATAAATCATCATGTGATGCACTACTTGGTGTCCAAAGAGTTAAAATGTTACCTCGTCCTCGCCATCATCTCGAAAGAGATCATCATAGGCTGGCATAGACGACAACTCATCCTCACGCATCAGCAGTTTGACCTGGACTGCATTGTAGAAGTTATGGACATCCACAGGGCGGTGACTTTAGGAGAAATACCATAAGTAAAGATCAGTCAAATTATGTGGTTCAGGGGGGTTGTGAACATATCATCTTTAGTCCTGTTCTGTCTTTCTTCTTCCTTTTCTTAGCGATCACCGGATGTAAACTCAGACTGTAGAAATTAAGGTTTTGTGTGCACACCCGTTTTACAGATCTGGCTTATTTACATGTAGACTGTTGGTTCCTCACCTTGCAGACAGATGAACTCTGCCTCCGAAGAAAACACTCCCAATTAGTCACCTTGTACAACAAGCTTGTTAGGCAGGCAGCGGGTCTATTCTTTTTTACCCTAAATGGAGCTGCAGAACCCACATGGGGAGTCCTACCTTTCAGCGGCAGGTTGATTCCAACTTCCCAGGTGCAATTTAGCTGCAGGTGATATCTTTACTGTCTGTAAGTACAATGTTTAGGGCGTTTTGTGTGTGTGTGTGGGCTGGGGGTTAAGCCTGAGCACTTCGGGCCACACAGCTAGTGCAGCTGCCACAAACTGCTGCAGGTTTGGATGTTTATTTTTATCAACAAAAAAGAAATATTCTGAGTTTTCAAACCTGGCCTCTGATACATGAGCCCAGCCTAATAGTCATCTGGCCAGCCGCTCCTCTACTAACATAAATGCACAGCAGGAGAAGACATACCTGTCACAGATGTAGAAACGGACATGATCTTCTGGCTGCAGCATTTCCACAATATCCACGGCTGCCCCACAGTTGATCAGGATGACATGTCTGATCTGAGGATAAGAATATTCAATACAGTAATCCTTTCACCCTGGTGACCTAGTAAACAATAAACCAAGCTCCCATAATTTTCATTTTTTTTTCAAATAATAAAAAAAAAGGTAAAGGACCTTTTCCCACGCCTTTCAGACGGATTGGGTATACAGGGCTAGACCTATATTTTATAGACTAAACGGCACTCGGCGGGTGATGTGGACAGCAACACGCCGGCCAACTTTACTTCCCAAGAGTGCATCTGGTACCCACTCAAGGCTGAAAAAAGCTAAATATGAAAGCGAACAAAAGGGCCTGTTCCAGAGATCTCTTCCTGCCTCATGAAGCATTTCAAGAGTAGAGACAGAAAGAAGAATGATGACTTTCTTAACAGGAAAAAGTTAAAAAAGCCAGCCTTGGGCACCAAAAGGGTTCATATACAAAGCTCTAATTCTCTTATCTCTGAATAAAGGGAGTTAGGCTAAGTCAGGCCCTTTTAGTGTTATCTGTAAGGCATTATCCTTCTTCCAGAAGAGCTCAGGACATCCTGGCTGATTGGTTTTCTTCCCCTTCATTCACCCGAAAAAAAGCCAGTTGTCATATTGGTTTACAGCAAGGCGGTGATATCTGCATCTCTCTGCCCAACACATCGATTTCAGCAAAATCTTAATCAGTCCCCTTTTTACGACATGCTTGTTAGGGAGGTGGGCTCTGTGGCTAAGTCGATGCAAACGCTCCGTAATGCCGGGGTACCGGGTTCGATCCCAGCTGCGGGCCAGACGCCTTGCGTTGGTTTCGACAGTGGTATCAGGAAGCTGACCGTCCAGAAAGCAATGGCAAACTACTGGACGTAAATTTGCCTAGTGAAACCACACAACAGCCAGGGGCTGATCGGGTTGGTTCTGCAACGTCCTGTAAAGGATATGCAACTAACCTTTAACCTTGTTAGGGACAATGGATCTATATTCCCGTCACAAACTGGGACGCTAAAACAAACAAGTGGGTTCTGGCTGTAACTTTTCTGATAGGATATTACTTATATTTTCTGTCCTCACGTGGGTCCTGGTACTCCATTGGTTTTGGGGGAGGAGTGCGGGGGCTAAAACTTCAGAGGTCCTTCGAATAATGGTCTCAAATTATCGAGGGTATAAACATACCCTAACAGAGCCTCAATAGGTCATCTAGGATAACTATAAAAAATTGGGAAATAAAATATGAACCATTACCCTAAGGCAAAGAACATCTGCAGCTGCAACATCAATCAGCAGAACATTAACGTTTATCTGTGTCGGAGCTGATGGCCTGCCTGCCATATTTCCTAATTTTACATATCACTGAGGCCCTGTTAGGGTATGTTTTTAACCTTCATAATTCATGCCCGTTATTCAGAAGAGTGTCAAAACTTCCACACCGCTGCAGGTGTTGATGAGTCTGAGCCAGACAGTGACAACAGTCTTGACATTATGATTAATAATGCAAGTGCAAAACCTATTGCCTATAATATGGGTTGGGATGAATGATTACAAAATATTTCAGTCGGATCGCCCCTGCTTCTATTAGCTGTCCGAAGTTTAGTTGTGAAATTTAACATTTCACACAAAATGGTCAAAAAATATAAAGTATTTAGAACAACTGTCTCAAATAAAGACTATCTGATGCATAACTGAATAGAGAAGACGTGTGCATTCTTAGAAAAGGATAGCTGATAAATTAAAAAAATTAGGTAAGTACAAAACTCTGTGTGTCTAATATCCTTGAAAGCAATTAATTAGAGTTTTGCTGAAATTAACTGTGATTGTGAAGAACTTGCTTCTTTATTAGACTTGAAGAGTCTGGTTTGTTTCAGATTGGCCAAAAGCGGCAGTGACATGATACAACTAAATAGTGACTTATCCCAATAAGAGACTAAAACATTAATACAATCAAGTATCCAAGAAAGCATACACACACCAAATTCTCTCCTCAAGACTGGCTTCATCGCCTCTCTAGAGATGCAGTGTATTATATTCAGACTAAGGACAGGGCACAATAGACTTCATCAACATATGTTCAAACTTTTCGGTGTAGGAAACACGGAGACTCCCTGCAACTTGGCATGAGCTCCAACACTGTCAACTGTATGCTGACAAGTGGCTGCTGCTTCGGAGGACTGCGCACGCATGGGTATGCCCAATGTGCAGTGACGTCGATTGTGATAACAAAACACAAAATAACATTTTGTAGGAAGTCGGCATTCCGAAACCCAAGTTCAAGGTGTCTCCTTCGTGCCAAAGAACTGCATGGCTGTTGGGTGAACAGTCGTTAACGAAGGCAGTCAGGTCGTTGTAGGGGCGACGCCTGCTGGTGGATGTAATGTCCTAAGTCCCTTTCCCAGCTAATAGTGAGGGTACTGCTGGGGTGACCATTTGTTAACCCCTCACATAATGCTTCAAGTCACAGTGGACGCTAGGCACGGCCACTTTTTTTTTTTTTTTAAGCCGTGGCAGTTCTGCCAGGCGGTGGCCGTTGCATTTTTGCTCCATTTGTAGACTGGAAGGATATAGTTTCGTCACCCAGCTTCTGAGTTGAGTGCATGGTGTGACACTGTGAGCTACGAGTGTTTTTCGTTCGCACAGGAGCGGAGCAACAATGGGGTGACCCGTTTGCTATGATGCTGAAACTAGGATTACCAGATTACCGGATGCTGATAACAAAGATGCAATCTGGCCTGTTCCAACCACAATGAAGACAAAACTATATGGTATACGAGAAGATATGGACTGCACGATAGCTTGCCTCCTGATATAAGTTTTCTGACAAAATAATTGAAAATAAAGAAGAAGTCTTGAAGATTACCAAACTGCTCATGGAACATACTTACCCCTTCAGCATTCTCCAGGAAGGCGTGTTCAAGCTCCTGCAAGCCATCCACAGGGACAATTGTGTACAGGACCTGATCGCACTGGAACAAATACTGAAACATACATTATTTCATGAACAATGCGCTCACATCTATATGGTAACATTCTTCTTCTGCTCCTTACTCCCCCAGTGCAGCACAGGCCGGTAACCAATTAACTCTTTGAGCCCCAGGGGGTTTAGCATCAGAGGCCCAAGGGGTAGTCAAAAGAGATGTAAAATCAGCGCATCTTGCGTTCATTGGGCCTCTAGGCGGGAACCTATGAATGTATGATCCTTGGGATTCAAAGTTAATGCCGAGTTGTCATATCCTAAGCTATAGCATGCAGCTCAGCTCATGCCCTACCCATCTGTTTAACTTCACTCTTTAGCTCCCTTCTCCATGTTTTTTGTTATCTGGGGCCTTTATTTCTATGCTTCTGTGGGTTCCAATATAAGGAAATTCTAGTTAAATTGTTGTCAGGTTTTGTTCATCTGTCCTATTCAGTGTCAGCAACTTTTCTTCACCTCTTGATTCACTGGAATTTGCAAAGTTCTGCCCATAAGCTCCACATCAGTGATGCTATCTCACGATCTAGTTCCCACTTAATGTATGACTGTAATTTATTAATTAATAAGGCAACATACCTGAAGAATTTTACACGCACACAAGGCATCCACATCAAAGGCCACCAAGACAAGAACTCTCTGTAGATAGAGAATTCTATGTTTCAGAGCAATAATTTATTCTTGTGACAAAATGGCAAAGTGAGAAAGATAAAAGATTTGCCAAATACAGCAACCAGCTTCCTCAACAGCAACAAACAAACTTCTAAGCCCAAACTAGGATTTTTTTCTTGCTGCACGGAACGTAGCAGGCCCTTTGGAGAATATTGCTCTCATCACAGCCTAGTTGAAAGAAACACGGCCTTGCCAGATCTCCCACCTAACCTAACTTACTATTTCACGGTGCCCTTTTCTGTGTCCATCTTCATGCTGGTTGGCCCCCTGCCCCTCTGTCCTGGCAACCATGCCTTCTGCTAATAATTTCTCCATACTCTGTGGCTCTGGATGTGACCAAAATATTTCAATTTCAATGCAGATTTTTTTTAAATGTACCTGGGTTACCAAGCCTGAAAATGAGCACCAGAAAATGTTTTGGGAAGCAAATGTGGCCAGAGTAATATTTACCAAATCATCCAAGTAATAGGGTTCAGATGACCATCACTTTTTCTTCTGTCATTGTTTTCTTTGTGTCATCACCCCCAGTGAAAATTTAGTTTTAAATAACTATCAGATGCTCCAACCCTCCAATACTTTTACTTGTCTGTAGCAACATCCGAGCACATGGGTCTGACCCATTTGTGCTTCATCCTTCAATGTCCCTGTGTGGGTTCCGGGGCTCTATTTTAGGGAAAACAAGGATAGACCCACTACTTACCCAACAGTATGTCGTAAGAGTCGACTAATTGGGAGCTTCCTTTGAAGTTGGACTGTATCTGAATGCGAGGCAAGGAACCAACAGTCTGCACATGAATGAGTCAGATCTGTCAAACGGGTGCACACGCAACACCCAGGTTCTGAAACAGAACTGCAGTCCAGAAGTGGACGAACAACCAGAACTTTCTGCCGGAGTTTACAGCTGGTGAACCCGATGCAGCAACAATCTCAGTGTCTCCACGCTCAACATACCCAGTAGGAGTTGTCTACTATATCTTCTTTCTTTGTTTGCCCCGCAACCAGTTTCTTCATGATTGTCTTCTTTCAATATCCATTTTTAACAGGTGGTGTATCGTCTCTGACTCTTTTGCAGCACATTCAGTGTGGCTGCCCTGTCCAAACTTCTGCCTCAACTAACCCCTGCAGGCACATCCAGTCTCGTTCAGTTCCATCCCTTCAATGAATCCCACCACTTGAATGTTGAATTAAGAATCAACATCACAGCATTCTGGACACTTCCATAAGTGCTCCGTCCCCATCTTCAGCAGCAAGCAAAGAGTTCCAATTCTGATGGCACCAGTAGCTGTCTGATTGTGTATCCGTCTCATCCTTTCCTTGAGTGTTGAGCTTTGGCCACACTCCCTGCTGGTAACTCCTTGCAGTGCCATTCTCCTCAGACCGTAATGATCTATCTGCTAATCTGCACTGTTCACTCGTTCCCAAAGGGCCCTTAGAATATCTAGCTTGTCATACATCAACTTACCAAGTCCAATGAAAACAAAGCCAAAACGAAAGTTGCGCAGTTTGGTTATGCAGAGAAAACGTCTTGTTTCTCAGACACAAGTTTTAGTAGCTGTTTTTTACATCTCATCTCCACAAAAACCTACATATCTCAGCTCAGAAATGACATACAAGCCTAAATGAGGTACCATTGGAAAGAGATTCTTTACAGCTATCTAACTGTGCTGGTTTTATTGGTGTTGAGGGAATTTTAAAAATTTGACTAAAGTACCTAATTTCCGGACATTCTTGGCATGAGACTGACTACCTAACAAGTTGATCGACCAATATATCAGACACTGTATCTCAAGTATCTGTAATGGTTGGAAAAATCCCTTGACGTCAAAAGGGGTTTCCCAACAGGACAGGTCAAGAGTGCAAAGTGCATACGTAAAAAAAGTAAAGGACCCTTTCCCACGCCCTTTAGTCCTATACTTCGATGAATCTATCTATCGCCATTTTTCGTACTTCGTTGCCGTCTTAGTCACTTAGTCTTACTTATCTGACTTTTCAAAATTTCTTTATTCCACAGCTGATTATCTTGCACAATTACAGAACATAATCATAATGAGAGGTATAGGTTACTGTAAACAAAACAATCACAGTTACGAACCTGATGCTGTAAGACGTCGTAAAAATCCCGTCTGAAATCTTTAATCAACATCTTTCAAGTTTGAAAGTCGGTCGTCGTCTGCCACTGTCGAAATTTGTATTGTTTGAACCCCGCTCCCAACACAACTTCCGTTTTCTTAACATAAAAGTGTTTCAATTCATTCGGTTTTCTTCCGGATTCGCTTGATTACTACTTATTCATGATTAGTGAGGGTGTGGGGGAAAAAAAAAGGGGGGGGGGGTGAAGTCGAGTTGAGTCAAGAATTAACATCACAGCACTCGGGGCATTCCCATGCATGCCCCTTCCTCATCTTTAGCAGCTAGCGTAGAGTTCAAATACTGATGGTGCCGGTCACAATCTGTCTTGCCTTTTCTCTGAGTGTAGTGAGCCGGCAAGACCCTCTGGTTACACCCAGGTGCTTCATTCTCTCCAGGTAATAATAATCTTGTTTCTCTATTGATTCCGCTGCTTGTTCCCAAAGGGCCGTGATCTCATCTGCCATATCATGTATCAATTCACCACAGTTGTGCAGATCCAGCCAATCTGTCTGCCTGTTTATTACCGACTACGCCGAGAAGGGGAAAAAAAGGGGGAAGGGGAGGGGCTGCGTACTAAAAAATATTTGAATGGGAGTAGACTTAGTGAGGGATCCACACACACTTGAGGACTGATAATAAAGCACTCTGGACAGATGTGTAGGTGCTCCGATCTTCCCCTCGGCTGTACATTGTGCTTCACTTAAACATCTGGTGTCTTAAGTGAAACGCCGATGTTCGACAGTTCCACGTGTCCACCAGCCTGGGCAGGAAAACGGTGTCAAGACCCTTGCCTTACTTGTTTTATCATCGCACTTGAGTCATGTTGTCTTCAAGTTTCTCTAGACACGTTCATAAGCCCCTAGAGTTTGACATCAATTGTTTTTAGACGCCACATAACAGCGTTCCGCTCCCATCTTCAGTAGCCAGCGCAGTTCTTCTACTTCGCGTTCACCGACGGTAAATCCCGGTGAAAAGTTGTGGGTATTCATCCATCTCCGGACTTTAGTCTTGTTCTAGAACCCGGGTGTAGGGTGCACATCCGTTTTACACATCTAAATTATCTGTATGTAGATTGTTGGTTCATGGCCTCTCAGGTAGACGCACTCTGACTTCGAAGGAAGCCCCCGTTGAGTATAGACTCTTACGACATGCTTGTTGGGGAGGCAGTGGGTCTATTCTTGTTTTCCTCACAATGGGACCCCAGAACTTACACGAGAAAGCGTAGTTCTAATTTCCATGGTATCTATAGCAATCTTAAGTCCGTCCTTCCTGTCCCCTGAATGTTGAGTGTCGGCCAAATCACATGATCACTGTCTGTGGGACCATTCTCTTCACACTGTCATGATCTATTTGTGCGTGACTTGCACGAAAGGCCTTGATAACATTAACTCGTCTAAGGGCTTAGATTCTCCCCACCGCCTTCTCCAGAGTAAATAGAGTCGGCCGTGATTTCCCCCTTAAAATCCGGCTCACAGAAGCAAAGAAAATATTTGCGCCTCTCTTCAACCCCTTCCCGAACATGTATGGAAATTCTTTTTTTTTTTTTTTAACGTATCCAGAAACCATGAGTTGTAAACCCTTTGGCTCGGTACTATGGATATCGCAACCCTTCGGGCTTGATTCCATTATAGGTACCGTTAATCTGGGAGAAATGTGGCTTTTCTGCCTACCCCCGGGAGTGAACCCGGACCACAAGGAGTTCGTCACCCGGCCGCCGCGAAAGACAGGTTTAACCAACTTCGCTAGAGAGCCGGGCAATGGAAATTCTTTAAAAATATATATTCACACATTTCAAATTATTTCAAGCATGGTATGCTATTATACTGATGTGCCATTTAGCAGTTTAATAGTAATAATAATAATAAAAATAATATTAATAATAATGCGCTGAATGGCAAATAAGTATAATTATAATTGAAATAATATGAAATGTACAAATAAATTCTGTAAAAGATAGTTTCTATACATGGTTTCTTCTTCTCCTCTGCGTTCGATTTCGTACGCGCAGTTCAGAGGTGCTGCCTCTCTGAATTCGCATGACAGTTGCAGGTTCTTCATGGTTGCCCATAGCTTGTTCGGCACACTTCGCACATACTTGAGGCCAAGTTTCGGTACTTTCGTATTAGCCGATCACAAACAGGGGTAATACACAGATCACAGGACAGTCAAATATTTCACGGGGTGGTAGATTAAGCGTATAGTTAGGGTTAAGGTTAGGGTTTAAGGTTTGAACAACGGATCAACATCATGGCACACGGGTAGTAACTCATAAGTACATCGTTCTACTTCTAACTCAAGTCTGAGTCTGAAGTAGCTCAGCGCAGTGTACGGGCTCCGTAGCACCGACGAGGATCCTGAAATATTTTGGGTAGATTTAAAACTCTAAATTTTACTATGACAGCGCCGTTATGCTACTCTTTTCGATTTCTAACTGCCAAGGTATTTTTGGACATGCTCAACAATACACACGGGCGTCCGATCTCACTACCCAGAGATCAGGGGAAATTACTAGAAGTCCACGTGAAAAAAATCTCAGCCCTCACCGGGGCCTAAACCAGGGACCTCTGGCACACGAGGTGGACACCATGCCTTGAGACCATGCAGGGTTAAGGTTTCTCTTCGTAGCTGTAAGTAGAGTTGGCAGTGCTGCAGAATGTGCTTAGGTTGTTTGTCGTTTCATCTGATAAGCACATTGTGGGGATGGTGCATACTTTATTTTAGGCATGTTGTAGTTGAGCCTGTAATGTCTTATTCTAAGACGGTCCATTATAGGCGCATCCTCACCCCCCTCCATTTTCACAAAAGAATTCCGGGTCCAGTTCATGTCCATTTACACACTGGTTGACCTTTCATTCATACTTTCTCAGACTCTTTTACGTCAGAGGGGTGTCAAGCTGTCTTGCCTTTAATTACATCAGCACCGATGTCGCGTGTTCTGTACTACAATACGACAAAGCTTTAAACTACCCCCCCCCCCCAACCCTGAGCCTAGGTCACACGATGGACTCTTCTCGAAGAAAGCAGTGCAACATGACACCCCTCTGACCTAAATCAGAGTGAGAAAGTGTGTAGATGGACCGGGAAACGTGAACAGGTCCGAACTGTGGGTATGTGTAATTGAGGATGGGGAGCCCGTAATTGTGTTTTGGGTGAGATACTCAACAACCTGAGGCCCCCCCCCCACTTGATCTGGTGCTGGACAAGGCACAGCAGAGATCACTCTCCACATCAAGCTGGCAGCGCTGTTTTGTTTTCATAACTGTTTAATTGAAAATCCTGACAATTACAAGTGCAAATGCCTTGAATTTGAAAACTGCATTACACCTCTTTCCCTTTTGAAACTTTCTCATGCCCCCCTCACCCACCAGGTTGGAGACAACTGCTATAGACCATAAAGCTTACACATATGTGTGCCGAGGCAATACAGGAACGCTTGCCTGAAGGTCAGCTCGACGGTTTTGGTTCTGAATTCTTCCTTCAGTGGATGTATGACGGACTGCATCTGCCTGAGAGACAAGGAACCAGCTGTCTAAACACAAATAAGCCAGATGTGTAAAATGGATGTGCACGCAAAACTAAAGTCCAGAAGTGGACAAACAACTAGAATCTGCCAGAATTTTCAGCCGGTAAACGTGAAGAAGAAGAGTGGATTTAAAAAAAAATATATTACCTTGGTTTGCAGGTCAACCCAGCCTAAAACGAGTACAAGGAAATGATCTAAGAAGTAAAGGCAGCCTGAAAGATTCTGACCCCTTCACTCACTGACAGCTGATTGATTTATAAAAATCTGGGTCCAGTAAGAAAGAGGTCTCTTTACTTGACCCACATGTATGCTGAAGTTAGGCACAACCCTTGAAAGGCATTACTAAATATAAAGTACTCCCTTGTTTATCTGGCAGAGGAAGAAATACTGCCTCGTTTTTCTGGTAGAGGAAGAAGTACTCCCTGATTCTTCTGGCAGAGGAAGAAGAACTCTCGTTCTTCGAGCAGAGAAAGAAGTACTCCCTCATTCTTCGGGCAGAGGAAAAAGTACTCCTACGTTCTTAGGACAGAAGAAGTAGAACTCTCATGTTCTTCAGACCCTTTGCTATTGCATGCAGGTCTCCCCATGTCCTTCCTATCTTTTAAATTTCCCTCTCTATCTTAATCAGATAATGTGTCAAAATCGAAGGCTGCTATGGAGCTCCAACAGGCTGACTGCTATGGAGCTCAAACAAGCTGTCTTTCATCCAGAAAGTACACTCTCTCAGACTTGCTTATCCATCTCATGATGCCATACCCCCTCTTGGCTGTTTTACCTCAGGTATGGTGTTTATGTATATGTCACAGGAAATCAACGAAACAAGATAGAAATTTGAAATCGTCATCAAAACCTCTCCAATTTTCTTACCTATTCAGTGCAGTTCAATGTGGCTTCCATTTGTTGCCCTACACACATTAACTAAACAATATTCATGTTCTTCCCACACACTGTTAAGGACGTCAAAATTGCACCATGACTTTACAGTGTTTAAAAAAAAAAAATTATTAGTGTTATCATGTATATATAGCGAGGGTTGCGAAGTACTGTGGTTTTTGATCCACCTTCTGGCCCAGTATTTCCGACTTCAGGATCTCTTGAGAGGGAGAGTAGGTTCATCCATTTGCCTTTACATTGTTTGTTGTCCCATCCAGTTTCCCGCTGGGGGTTGAGACCCCAACCTTCCACTGGATTGCTGGGAAGAACAGGGTCCACCACGTGAAGGTGAGGTTAGCCTGAGTAAGAGAGGCTAACATACATTAAGAGTCTTGTATTGCGCTTCACTACTCCATTAGGAAAGTGAACACAAGAAGGAGAATAACAGTGTTATGTTTAAAAAAAAAAGTAAAGGACCCTTTTCTACGCCTTTAGGCATATAGGGCTAGACCTATATTTTTATAGACCAATCGGCACAAGATGGGTGATGTGGTCAACATCACGCCGGCCGCCTCTACTTCCCGGGATGGCACCTGGTACCCACTCAAGACTGGGTCGGCCTGGGAGCCTAGGTCATTTTTGAAAAAAGTCCGGCTCCGCCAGGGAGCAGACCCATGACCTTCCGATCCGCGGCAAGCATCTAGATGCTCCGCCACGGCGACTTGTGTCTTTTAACAGGACTGAAATATTTCAATTGTCAGCCTGTTTTTTTGTGTGGGTGTGTGTTTAAATTTCTTTTAGCTCCGAGTGTAGCCAGATTAGAAAACGGATGTGCACGCAAAGCTCACATTCTGAAACAAGACCAAAGCCAAGAAGTGGACAAACAACCAGAACTTTTTGCCACAGTTTACAGCCAGTTAACATGAAGACAAATAAGAAGAGAAAGAAAACACTGATTTCTTATCTCAGCTCTATGATACTTTTTATTTACCATTACCTATTTCAAAAGTAACATCCCTTTAATGAACATATCATTGTCACACCTTTACAGATATCAGATTAGCTATTTTAATGTAATATACCTCTTATAAAAATTTAATTACCTATCTGATATCTTTCCACAGACATACCATTACCTATCTCAATAGTAACATACATTTTATGAACATAACAGTAAATAACCCAAACCTCTTACAGACATACCATTAGATATTTCATATTTCAATAGTAGAATGTTGAATTAAGAATCAACATCACAGCACTCGGGATACCCCTATAAGTGCTCTGTCCCCATCTTCAGCAGCAAATGAAAAGTTCCAATTCTGATGGCACCAGTAACTGTTTCATTGTATATCCATCCCTTGAGTGTGGAGCATCGGCCAGATCCCCTGACAACTCCTCCCAGCGCCATTCTCTTCAGACCACAATGATCTATTTGCGCTTCTGCACTGCTCACTCGCTCCCAGAGGGTCCTCCCAACATCTAGTTTGTCATACATTAGTTCACCACCAAGTGGTGCAGAACCGGCCAGTCTATCTGCACGCTCATTTCCCAATACAATGGCATAACCTGGAGAGAATATCCAAAGGATGCCAACTATCCAGGACCTCTTCAATAGTTACATGCCTTTTATAACATACCATTACCTATCTCATACGCTTTATAGACAGATCATTACATATCTCTTTATTAACATCCCTTTCATTTGACATAGCATTATAACCTCAACAGTAAGACGTCTTCAATTAGACCTATGTGAACAGTACCTTTATAACCTATCTCATTATTAACATCCCTTTCATTAGACATAGCATTACAACCTCAACAGCAAGATGTCTTTAATTAGACCTGTCTGGACAGTACATTCCTCACAGCAATTATCTATGTGAACATTAAATTCCCCCTTGTCTGACACATTATATTTGTATTGAATACATATACAGATGCAACATACCCCTGTGAGACCTGGACAATGACTAAACAAGCTGAACTGCGCATAAAAGCCTTTGAATACAAATGTTATAGACGGGTTCTAAGAATATCAGGGGTAAAGAAAAGAACAAATGCATCCATACTTCAAGAACTGAATACTGAAGAAGGCTGGCTATTAAAGACGATAAAACACAGAAAATTTAAATATTTTGGTCACTTGAGATGTCACAAAAGTGTAGAGAGAACAATAATGGGGGGTTATATGCCTGGGAAGAGAGGAAGATAAAGGCCAAAGAGAAGATGGGTGCAGGATGTGGCAGACGATCTCCAGATGGGTGTATAGGATGCAGGACATCTTGCTTGTGATCGAGAAGTTTTCCAGAAGGTTGTTATGGCAGCAAGGTTCTGCAAAAGACAGGCTACTGACTGACCGACATATATCGCATTTCCCCAAGTAAAAGATGCTCCCATAGATAAGACACATACGAAAAAAAAAAACCAAAAAATTCTACCACTGTATAAGACGCATACTGTTTCAGACGCTATATTTTTTGAAAACACATCATCATGTAGCAGGACCTTTGCAGAACGTTGCTCTCATCACGTTCTGCCTGAAAGAAACTTGGTCTCTGGCCAGCTCTCCTGCCTCATGTACTTTCATACTCAAGTAGTCACTTATATCCTGTGCCCATCTTTGTGTCGGTCAGCCCATGCCCCTCCTTCCTGGTACCATGCCTTCTGCTATAATTTTTTTCAATCCGTCATGGCGCTTGATATGACCAAAATTTTTCAGCTTCCGAGACAGGATGCTGTTTATTACCCAATCTTTCTTAATGTTCAGATCTTTCAAGATGTCAGTATTTTTCCTCTTCTTTGTCAAAGATATTCTAGGAATCTTTCTATAGCATTTCAGCTTAAAAGCCCCTATTCTCTCCACTACTGCAAACTCTATCCAACAGCTTTCTTCCCTGACCTCATCTATCCAGAAAACTAACATCTGTGTGTAAAGATTCCTAACTCTGGTACATATTTGTAGGGCTTGGAGCGAGCTGGTCCCCTGCAAAAGAGGCAAAACGGTTTTGTCAGGTGCAAATAACAAATACAAGCGAATGTAAAAGTCAATACGATCATAAATGTATTAAAAACTTTGGGGTAGCGAGGGTTTCGTCTGTGAGGTAAAATAAATCAGATCAGTTGGGTATCAATTCCACACTGAAAGTTTGTTGCAATGGATCTCTAACATGCTTTGTCTCTTTCCCTGCATGAAGACTCTCTCAAACGGCTGATTGTCTATCTCCTGATGTTATCCTCCCATTTGTATCGCTGTCCATTTCTTGTTCATGTTTTTTCTCTCCAGTATGGTTTTTATAAAGCAATTTCTTTTTAACTATGGCCAAAATGTTGTATTTGTCTGTTGATTTTTGTATATGTTGTTGAGCAGCTTACTCTTTGTTCTCTTCAGAATCTCTGAATTTGATTTTTTTTTATTTAAAAAAATTTAATTTATATAATTTTAAACAAATCAAATGCCTTTTAGGCAGTAGAGATTTATCTTCTGAGATACATGTTGCAAATACCCCTGCGAGCCAAAAGTAAATAAAAATTGCCTAGACAAAGCTAATAATAGTACAAGAAAAAGAAAATGTGAGGAAGAAGTGATGAACAAGAAAAAGAGTGAAGAAGAAGCAGAAGGTGTGAAGATGGAGAAGAAGACGTGAGGAGAGAGACAAGAAGAAGTAAAGAAGTGAAGGAGGAGGAGGAGAAGAGGAAGTGATGAACAAGAAAAAGAGTGAAGAAGAAGCAGAAGATGTGAAGACGGAGAAGAAGACATGAAGAGAGAGAAGAAGTTGTGAAGAAGCAGAAGAAGGAGGAGGAATAGGAGAAGAAGAAGAAGAAGGAAAAGACGAAGTGAAAATGAAGAAGAGGAAGAAGAAGAGAAGAATAAGAAGAAAAAAAAGAGGTAGAGGAGAAGAAGAAGTAAAAAAGAAGAAAAAAAGTGAAGAATAAAAAATAAAAAGGAGAATAAAATGTGAAGAAGCGAAGAAAAAAGAGAGAAAAATGTACAAGCAGAAGAAGAATTCACTGAGATTCAATAATAAAAACACCGGGCCATATCCAAGACTACTCACCTACAGATCCTTGGCATCATCTTCTCCTTTGGGATCTCCACAGGAACCAATGAAGATGCTGGCGTATCTGTTTCCAGGTATACGTCAAAACACATAAGTAGCCTCTGAAGCTGATTGGCCAGGAGGTGGTCATGTGATTTGCCTCGCAGAAGCTCCTTAAAATGTAGATTCACCTCTTCTTCCATTTCCTAATGAACAAATGAAATAATACTTTAACATAATTAAAAGTAGACAGATAAATATTTATAAATTATCCAGGATTCAGACAGTAGCTAAGTTAAGTAAAGGACCTTTTTCATACCATTTGCTCATTGGGTATTAACATATTTTGTACACACCAACTGCAGGTGATGTGGTCAGTATCACAGGATGGAGACATCCTGTGATAATTAGCATAAACCAATGGGCAAACAACTTAGAAAAAAAAAAGAGTTAACTGAGTGTCCTTTTCAGGACATTGCAGAACCAACCCCATCATCTTTTGGGCTGCTGAAGTTTTTCTAGGCAAATTTTACTTTCAGTAGTTTGCCATGGGTTGGAGAATACACCCACTGCTCCCTCAACAAGCATGATCTTCTTTTTCTTCTAGTGGTTACCAGCAGTAAACTCTGGTGGAAAGTTCTGGTTGTACATTCACTTCCAGAATTTAGTCTTGCTCCAGAACATGCCCTTTGTGTGCACATCCATTTTACAGACATGGCTTACTTACACAAAGACTGTTGCTTCCTCAGCTCTCAGGCAGATGCACTCTGACTTCCAAGGAATAACCCCTAATTAGTCAACATACACAGAGATGTAAAAGGTGACTGGGTACTGAAACCTACACAGGGATGTAAAAGGTGACTGGGTGCTGAAACCTACACAGAGATGTAAAAGGTGACTGGGTACAGAAACCTACACAGAGATGTAAAAGGTGACTGGGTACAGAAACCTACACAGAGATGTAAAAGGTGACTGGGTATTAAAACCTACACAGAGATGTAAAAGGTGACTGGGTACTGAAACAATGCAGAGATGTAAAAGGTGACTGGGTATGAATGACAGAGATGCAAAAGGTGACTAACTAAAGGTGTGCTGAAACCAGCTGCCTGAGGTTAAAAGGTGCAGATATCACAGCTTAGCTGTAAACGATAACATGCCAACTTCCCTTGAAGACAGTCGAAGTATAAGAAACAGATTTGGTAAAATACCTGGACAGTAAACATTCACCCACAAGGACATAATATCAACAACAAACAGTGGTGGAACATGAAGACAAAGCAAGTACAAGAGACTTGATAGGCTCAACACCTGGACAAAAAACAAACACTCACCATGATGTGAATATCAGTAAGGGCTGTTCGCAGAGCCTGCCACATAATATCAACAACAAACAGTGGTGGAACCCGCGGACAGTCTGCTGTCAGGACCACATAGGCAGTCATCCTGGCTGGGAAAGAATAAACAAAGGTCACCAGTTACAGGTAAAGTTCACTTTTTTAGTACATGATTACATGATGCTGTCTCCTTTATGTGATGTTACTCTTGTCTCCTTCTTTATGTGATTATGTGACTGTCTTCAATAAGTGATTATGTGACTGTCTTCTATAAGTGATTATGTGACTGTCTTCTTTAAGTGATTATGTGACTGTCTTCTATAAGTGATTATGTGACTGTCTTCTTTAAGTGATTATGTGACTGTCTTCTTTAAGTGATTATGTGACTGTCTTCTATAAGTGATTATGTGACTGTCTGCTTCTTTAAGTGATTATGTGACTGTCTGCTTCTTTAAGTGATTATGTGACTGTCTGCTTCTTTGTGTGATTATGTGACTGTCTTCTATAAGTGATTATGTGACTGTCTTCTTTAAGTGATTATGTGACTGTCTTCTATAAGTGATTATGTGACTGTCTGCTTCTTTAAGTGATTATGTGACTGTCTTCTATAAGTGATTATGTGACTGTCTGCTTCTTTGTGTGATTATGTGACTGTCTTCTATAAGTGATTATGTGACTGTCTGCTTCTTTGTGTGATTATGTGACTGTCTTCTATAAGTGATTATGTGACTGTCTGCTTCTTTGTGTGATTATGTGACTGTCTGCTTCTTTGTGTGATTATGTGACTGTCTTCTTTAAGTGATTATGTGACTGTCTTCTTTAAGTGATTATGTGACTGTCTTCTTTAAGTGATCATGTGACTGTCTTCTTTAAGTAAATATGTGACTGTCTGCTTCTTTGTGTGATTATGTGACTGTCTTCTTTAAGTGATTATGTGACTGTCTTCTTTAAGTGATTATGTGACTGTCTTCTTTAAGTAAATATGTGACTGTCTGCTTCTTTGTGTGATTATGTGACAGTCTCCTTTTTTGTGTGATTACATGATGCTGTCTCCTGCTTTATGTGATTATGTGACTGTCTCCTTCTTTTTGTGATTACATGATGTGGTCTCCTCTTTTATATGATTATATGATGCTGTTTCCTTCTTTATGTGATAACACGATAATGAGCAATTTCCATACAATTCTTGAGGTTATCTGGTACTAATTTTCAAGAGTCTGGACTGACCCTAGAACCGTATTGGTTGGACCCGGGGGACTGAACCCAGACCACTGTCCTGATAGGCCACTGTTTCTATTTTAAGTGGTTTAAATTAAAGTGGGGGGAGGGGGGGGAAGGGTTGTGGTGCGTAGAGGTTCTGGAAGATATTCAACTTTGAAGAGGAAACAAAGGCAGACTTTTAATCAGGTTGCTAATACTATTAGCATGACGACTCCTCACTAGTGACTGAAGAAGGGGATGAAGCACGTGTGGGAATGTCCCGAGTGCAGCGATGCCAATTCTTGATTCATTTATACAAATGCTTCAAATTTTTCTACTTCTTCTTCTTCAGTTTTCCGAGCCAACATTCATCTCTCTGGTTGGCCTTCTCTTTCCAGTAGGTGACACCAAGAGTTTGTGGGTCTGTCTGGATATCTTTCCTTCTTGGTCTGCCTCATGGTCCATGACCATTCAACTCCCTTGGGTACACAGTTTTTACCTCTCTGTCATTCTCTCAGTATGCCTCGTTTCAAATAATGATAAATTTCTTCTTCATCTGCCTTCTAGCCCCCAATAGAGCATACACCCTCAACCAGCTCACGTCAAATCGTCCTATCCTTCGCTACAGAATACAGCTCACACCAGGCTCTCCCTATCTTTTTTAAATCCACCTGTTAGCTCCCTTCTCCTTTTGATGAATTCAAACCAATATCTTTATCTATTCACTTACCCGAACCTCGCTCCATCACAGCCGTAAAAATCAGATCCGACTCCCTGATCACGCCAGCCTTAATGAACCGTTCAGCGTGGGGGAGGACCTGGATGTCTGAGAAAGTAGAACGCTTCCAGGAGGTCAGCTGGGCATTGATCTTCGCTGGGAACATCTTCATGGAGTCAGCTGACAGGGGGATGATGCCTCTTTCTAATGAGAAAAAAAAAGAGACAATAATCCATTGTTTAAAGTGTGTTTAAATCTTTTAATCCTCTACGGTCATATTTTTTATTTTTATAGTCACATATTACCATGAAAACCACTTGGTGGGCTGTAGGAATGAAAAACAATTGAAGGCTACCCCTGCGGTTGCCAGATTTATTAATATACACTGACACTGACCAAACTTAAATATAAGACACATGAAGTGATGTATAAGACTTTTGGGTAACACATCATGTTTTGTTTGGGACTTAAGGAGCTAAAGCAGAGAAGACTGGCTCACAGGTCGACCCAGCCTAAAATGGGCACCAGGTGGAGTTTGGGTAAGCAAAGGAAGCCAGCACAATGTTGAGCACATTCCCTAAAGTTTGCTGATTGAGCCATAAACATATGAGACTAACATCATATGCCCCATGCACCTTCTTCTTCTATTCCACCCTGTACCTCTGTGAAGTGTCAGGGGGAGATGCAACATTCGTCGATGAGCTCTGTTAAGAGCACTATTAAGATTGATGTTCATTTCTGTAAGACTGTCCTTAATGCCATCACTTCATCTTTTTTGAGGTCTTCTACTAGTTCTAAACCCGTTGTAACGTTTCAGTGTGGGTCGCTGTGGCAGATAGTACCAGGGCATTCTTGTTAGGTGTCCAAAACACTTCATGTGTTGCTCTTTGATGACCTGTAAGACTGGCTTTATTCCTAGCAGTCATCTGACTGGCATAAAAAGGGTTGTTTATGTCTACGTTTTTAAAGTAGAGGGCATCAACTTCTACTTCCCCTGGTTTCTGAAATCTCGCCCAATCCCTATCAGTAAAACTACTGTTTGGCCACTAAGGGTGTTACACGAAGCATGAAACCCCTTCCTTCTTCTAGTGATCATTTATACAAACAGACGAGTTCTTGTGATAAAAGTGACTGTTGAGTATAGTGCGGACTCATTGGGCCAGCATTCCCTTAAAAAGTGTAGAAGATAAATCCTTGCAGGACATTCTGCAGTTTGTGCACACATCCCACACAGGCACAGTGGTAACTATTCAGACAAAGCCAGTGCATATGCGTGTTAAGTTTGTTATGCCAAATCCTAAGGCATAGAATAATGACCTACCCATGCCAGTCAAGTAACACGTAGTCACCTCTGTTCACTTCTGATAGAATGGATAGACTGAATGGCAACTGTTTTCTCTCAAAGTATGTCATTTTACTATCAACAACTCTATACAAGGAAGAACAATCCGTCTAGAAAAACACAACAAAATGGAACCAAAGGAAACCAAAAAAGTCTGAACGAGATTGAATTAATTTTTTTTTTTTTACAAGAAACAAGCAAGCAAGCATTTCATTATCTTAATGTTCACATTCTTCCCCTTTCTTAGAAATTGTATCTGCAGTTTTGTTTCTTTGAATACCCTAGTGCAGTACAGTAGGCATTTTGGCAGTGACTTTGCTAAGTTTAGTTCTAAGGTGAGGGAGTTTACCATTCTTAGCATGAAACTCAGAAGCTCCAGCCAAAGCTTTATGAATCTTTGAAGCAACTGCATGCTTGAACCAACTGGCGGAATGTCTACTGAATGAGGCAATCCTTCGAGAAACAGAGGAACGCTGTAATTCCACCAGAGAAAATAGATGAAAGCAGACACATGTCTTAGGCAGATTATGAGGAGAAAAAAAAAAGGATAAATCCCTACATAATTTAGTCTTATGGCATAGTCAGGACAAAAACGGCGCTTGGATTAATTTTTCATATGGGTTCATCTAATATCTTGGGGGAATGCAGGAAGCTGTTTTGGTTTGTATTCTGAGCCTAACCCTAAAAAAAAAAATACAGGCCATGGGAATTCCCCTAAAAATGTGTTTAAAAAGGAAAGTCTGAGAGAGTGTACAACCAAGACAAGAGACAGAGAATGTTGGAGATCTGTTGCAGCCACCCTTCACTATGGAGATAGCACCTGGTTGAGTCACAACAGAAAATATAATACATACCTAGAGACAACAGCATTTGCAGCAAACAGATTCGAGCCTTCATTCGCTCCCGAAGCAAAGAGATTGTCTTCTGCATGTTAGCAGCACTGATGCTATGCTTAGCCCTCACAGCCGCGATCCTGGACACTGCTAAGTTATTCTCCTCATCTCTGTCAGTTCTGCCAGCGCTGTCCTCCTTGTCCAGGTCCCTGTTGAGGAACTGCAGACCCCCCATCCACTGGCACCACAAGTAAGGATGCCCAATGACAGGAATGTAGCTGGTCAGTTCCTGCAGGCTGCACAAGTGGAAGTAAAGATGTAGGTAGGTAGGTCAGGTGTACCCCACCAGGACATCACACAGAGCGATAAACACCCAATGACACAAAGTGCCCCCACGTGGATGAGGATCACCCGTGGAGAGGTCCCAGAAACCCCTTTCAGCCGTTAGGCTTAGCCATATTTATGCCCCGGCTATATTCAGGGCCCCCCGGCAAAAGCCGAGGTGGGGCTTCAAAATAACAAAAAAATTGCATCCCACAAGGGGACGACTTTTATTATGAAACTTAAAGGTCTGAAGCCAGGAGGCCAACATGAAATATGCATTAAAGAATATGCTAAATATATAACTTGTAATGGCACACTATATCAGTTGAGATAAATGTCTCGCCAGCATCAATTATGTGCAAGAAGTTTGAAAAAATATATATAGTGTGTAAAGGATCCTTTCCCTGCCTTCATGTGTATTGGGCATACAGGGCTAGACCTATATTTTACAGACCGGTTGGCACTCGGTGGGTGATGTGGTCAGTTCCACATAAGCCACTTTTACTTCCCAGGATTCCACCTGTTATGTGTAAGAGGCGGGGCTTAAGAAGGCCACATGCCAGAAAAGACAATCACAAGGTAAGCATGACTTCTGTGGAACATGAGAGTAAGTGAATAATGTTAGGATAATGTGTGCAACTGAATAGATGATTAGAAGGGTGAAAGAATGAAGGCTCATTTCTGTGTCTGGTGTTTGGATGAGTCGAGTGGATGAGTGAATATGAGTTGTATCAACCCAAGCAGCCTAGAGTGGCTATGCACATCTGGATATAGTATAACTGTCCAGATGGATGCAAGATTGATTAACTGCTAACTATGTCTACTGAATGTTTCAACCGGAACCTGAACTTGCCAGACAGTGTCTGCAAAGTGTGTGTGTATGCAGGACATTCTGTCATGTGAGTAATTACTTGCACTATTTGATAGCTGATCTAACAGAGTTAGCCTTGTGTTCCAACCCACTTACAGTGGAGTTTTGAGTGTCACTTGTCACCGTATCTACTAGGACATCTATAGTCTGAGCCATCTGTAATGTTACCAGGTCATCCTTAAGAAGTATATTATATAACTGTGGAGCAGACTACCAAGCAAGACTGCCCGGTCTAATCACAGCAGAGGTCGAGAATCTGGGCCTGGGAGTTACATAACAGGAGTCAGCTAACTGGGAGCATCCTCTGATGTCGGACTACTCTGGCTGAGAGGTGAGGAACCAAGAGCCTGCACACCAATAAGCCAGATCTGTGAATTGGATGTGCACGCAACACTCAGGTTCTGGAGACAAGAATCTGAAAGTGGATGAACACCCAGAACCTTCTGCCGGCATTTACAGCCGGTGAGCGCAACAAAGAAGAAGTGCTGATCCAACAATGACCTGCCTGTCTGTCTTTTGCTATCCCTGCAAAAAAAAAAAATATCAGTGATATAATTATTTAAAAACTAACTCACTCACCCATGTTTTTTCAGCTCATAGTGGTTGGCCACGTTTGGGGAGTCATTACCATGGTCATTTGGATAAATCTCATCCAATATCAGGTCTGGAGACAGCAGGTCCCTGTGGATGTTAATCCAGGAGTCAGTTTGGCATAGAGCTAAGGTCATTGTGGATTGTTTCAGTTTTATTAGCCAAATATAATGTAAGTCCCAATGTCATACTGAAAATGAGATCTATGACACATGTTTTAGTCACCCCAAATGTATGTATGTATGTATGTATGTATGTATGTATGTATGTATGTATGTATGTATGTATGTATGTATGTATGTATGTATGTATGTATGTATGTATGTATGTATGTATGTATGTATGTATGTATGTATGTATGTATGTATTAATTTTGCATGGAGCTATATTATGTCATATATGTTGTTTTTTATTTTTAATTTTTTTAAATTGTGTAAAAAAAACTGCATTCATATAAAACTCTGAACCTCTACTCTAAGACAACAGGAGAAGAGAAGAAGCAGCAGAAACTGGGAGTGTCAGGCAGTGTTTGTAAATATCTAGGTTGTCGAACCCTCCTTAGGTCAACGAGCAGACGTGAAGTTATCTGCTTCTTTGATGACATCGTGCCACTAAACAAAGTTATAACTTTTTTCCAGTTACTAAATGTCTGAGGGGGCTGCGTAGTCTTGAGGCATGGTGTCTGCCTCGAGTGCTAGAGGTTCTGGGTTCAATCCCCGGTAAGAGCTGGAACTTTTTCACGTGGACTTGGACTGCTAGTAATTGACCCTGGACTCTTGGCAGTTGGAAATTGAAAAAGAGTAGCCTAGCGGCGCTGCCCAGGAAAAATTTGGAGTTTAAAATCTACCAAAAAGTATTTCAAGATCCTCGCAAGTGCTGCAGAGCCTGTGAACTGTGCTGAGCTTCTTCAGACCCAGACTTGTGTTTGAAGTAGAACGGAGCACTTATGGGTTACACCCGTGTGCCATGATGCTGATCCGTTGTTTAAAACCTCAGAATGCCTAAATTGGGATAAGGCTTATTTCAATGTGAAGCAGAGTTATGAATAAATACAAGTGGAGTAAAGAATTAAACAGTTTTCTTCCTCTTTAACTATCTAAATCAGCGGTTCTCAACCACCTGTGGAGTGCAAACCTTTTGTGGGTTGAACGACCCTTTCACAGGAATAGCCAAAGACAATAGAAAAAAAACACCATATTCAATGAAGTGCAATGAAAATAACTATGGTTGCGGGGGTGGGGTGTCAGCACAACATGAGGAACTGTATTAAAGGGTCACTGTATTAGGAAGGTTGAGAACCACTGGTCTAAATAGTTTTGGTTAGAGCAATGTGTTGCAATTCTGTTGGAGGTCTGCAGCACTGTTTGAGATCCACTCCACAGCTGGAGATCCACTGCACTGCTTGAGATCCACTGCACTGCTGGAGATCCACTGCACTGCTGGAGATCCACTGCACTGCTGGAGATCCACTGCACTGTTGGAGATCCACTGCACTGCTGGAGATCCACTGCACTGTTGGAGATCCACTGCACTGCTGGAGATCCACTGCACTGTTGGAGATCCACTGCACTGTTGGAGATCCACTGCACTGCTGGAGATCCACTGCACTGTTGGAGATCCACTGTACTGTTGGAGATCCACTGCACTGCTGGAGATCCACTGCACTGTTGGAGATCCACTGCACTGTTGGAGATCCACTGCACTGTTGGAGATCCACTGCACTGTTGGAGATCCACTGCACTGTTGGAGATCCACTGCACTGCTGGAGATCCACTGCACTGTTGAAGATCCACTGTACTGCTGGAGATCCACTGCACTGTTGGAGATCCACTGCACTGTTGGAGATCCACTGCAGACAACCTTCACTGTGGAGACGGCACTGCCTGATCATCCTTGACTTTAACTTTAATAAACCAAGGGTTCCGGGGTCCCACTGTAGGGGGGAAACAAGAACAGACCCACTGCCCACCCACAAACATGTCGTAAAAGTTGACTAATTAGGAGCTTCCTTCGAAGTCAGAGTACATCTGCCTGAGAGGCAAGGAACCAAAAGTCTGCCCGCAAATTCAGTTTCTAGAATAGGACTAGAGTCCACAAGTGGACGAACAAACAGAACTTTCTGCAGGAGTTTACAGCCAGTGAACATGACGAACAAGAAGAATTAAAAAAAAAAAAAAAAACACCACAAATGATGGACAATCACTCACCCGCCACTGATGGAAGTAGTTGTAATACTAGGATCCTGCGTGACCTTGACACTAACAGTGATAATGTTCAAGGCCAGCAGATAACAAAATGTCAGCTGTAGATCTGCGCCATCTGAAACAGAGATTATGAAGATGACAACCAATGGAAATCTCTGGTTATGAGTTCATGTAGTAATTTTCGGTAAGAACAGTCAATTGTGCAGCACTAATTATCAGGATGTTGAAGAAGAAGTAGAAAAAAAAAAAAGGTTTTGTTGACAAAGCCTTAGACAGCAAAGCAATGTCATCATAAGTTTATAATGACGTCACAAAGACAACAAAATCTATTTTTTTCTCGTTAAATAATATATCAAAATAAAAATAAATTTTAAAAAAAAAATCCAGATCTGGCTGATTTGTATACCGATCCGCCTCATTTGTATCCAGACAGACCCGGCTTATTTGTATTAAGATCTGCGTTATTGGTATCCACATAACCTTTGTTAGTAAAGGGTGAAAACCCGGTTTTTTATAACAATGACTATTTGTATCCTTTGCTAGTAGAAAATGAACACCCATAAAACGGTCTGACAAATCCAGACATGGCTAACCGCTGGCTTGTTATCTAGATCTAGTAAAGACTGAACTATTCAAAGAGTTAATTAACCTCTGTTCCTAAAGAGTAAACTATAAAAGATGCTAACCAACCTTTGCTAGTAATATCCAAAACCACAGACAGAGGATGCTTCTTTAGTATTCTATTCTTTGTCTCGAGGTTCCTCACTTCAGTTGACTTCTTGCGCCGCTTCTGAAAGGAAATATATATATATATATATATCAACATTGATAATATGAAGGTACAGTGGCTTTTATATAAGTGACCCAGGGCTGAAAGGTCAGTCTTAGCTAAAATGGGCTCCAGGAAATATCCCATAAAGTTAAGTGGGCTGTGGCGACATAGATCACATGACCCACCCAGTACTGATATGCCTGGCGCAGTAATGGCGTGAAGAGTAAAATAAAGGACCTTTTTCCAAGCTTCAACCTATCTTTTATAGACCAACTGGTACTTGCTGGGTGATGTGGTCATCATCACGTCCACCGCCTTTACTTCCCAGGACTCTACCTGGTACTCACTTAAGGTTGGGCTGACCTGGGAGTCAAGAACATTTCTCCGCAGGGGAGCATCTCGTCTATGCATCAATATCGTGTCAAGAGCCCTTGACTCTAATCACATAGACCACATTTACTTCCCATTAATTTTTTGGGGTACCAATTTCAGACTGGGTTGACCTTGAAGCCTTGGGTCAATTAAAGAATAGGGCTGTGGATTTAGACCAAGGACCTTCGGATGGACAGGCAGGTGTCTAGAAATTATGACACGCAATGCTGCTATGAAAAAAAAATAGCATTGGGACCCACAGGGGAATAGGAATAAAGGAAGGCCAAAAAAACACGGAGAAGAGAGCTGAAGAATGAAGTGGAAAGATGGGGGAGAAGGGAAAGGGGGGGGGGGGAAAGGGGAGAGGCAACGGGGGAAAACACTTGGCATGAGTTGGTTAAGGGCCTATGTTCCATTTGAGGATAGATCCATGCAACGGCGAAGAAGATAGATACGACTAGATAGGCATGAGATGGTTAGGCAAGAAGAAGATATGTTCCATTTGAGAAGAAGATAGATAGGCAGAAGAAGATAGATAGGCAGAAGAAGATAGATAGGCAGAAGAAGATAGATAGGCAGAAGAAGATAGATAGGCAGAAGAAGAAGAATGCTGCTATATTTAAATATTCATTCATTGATGATCCTGTTGTGCCATGATACATCACACAGGACTTGCACATCTATTTCTCCCTTCTGTTCCCTCTTGTGCAATCACTTCAATGTGTGGCTTCTCTTGCACAACCTCGTTTCCTCAGTCTGTTTCCAATTTCAGTGACTGTTTGTTGATTCTTTGTTTGTGTCTTCTCAGAATGTGTTCCACTATTACACCATCCAGATCGCAAAGTAATCTTGTCCTTGTCCTGGATGCTGAAATATTTTAGCAGCAGATGAGAAAAAAATTAAAGCAGAAGATGGGGTACCAGGAAGGAGGGTCGGGGCTGACCAGACAAAGATGGGCATAGGATGTGACTCCTTGGATATGAAAGTACACGAGGCGGAAGAGCTGATGACAGAACATGATTCTTTCAGGCAGACCGTGATGATAGCAATGTTCTGCAAAAGGACCTGCTACATGATGAATAGCGTCACTATCTGTGTCTAGAGCTGTTGATGCAAGTGGTTGCCCAGACTTATTTCTTCTTCCCTCCTCTTGATTTGATCCCATTTTACTTTTGTTATAGATACAAACAAGCAATATTAAAACTTACAGAATCTGCCTTTTCTTGTTCCTCCTGGTCGCTGTCTGATTCTTCATCTGGAAGATAATCAAAGCAACAATTGGTTTAAGAAAGCAGATTCTCAACAACAACACTGACAGAAAGTGGATATAACTAGTTTCCACAAAACTTCTCCTGATTGATCCCAAATTATCTCTTAATCTTTGATGGATAATTGATCTCAAATCTGCAACAGCCTTATGATACTTGATTAATGATGGATCCCAAATTACTTAGTTTTATAGCTAACTTCTCCATTAGTCTGTTGTTCATTAGTCAAGAATTCAGTTTAAGAATGGAGGTGGAGGCAGCCAATGTAGTTTTCCGCTGTTTAGAGAACATGACAAACACACACATCGTGATTGTAATTGACTCAGAAAGCATGCTGAGGATGGTGAGGACAGACATGCTTCATGCAGAGTGGCAAGCTTTGCTTCAGAGGTCAGGGGTGAGAGGCATTATCTGGATCTTTTCTCCAGAGCATGCCAGTGTGTTGTGAAATGAACAGGTGATTTAAAAAAAGCTGGCTCTGCACAACTTGGTGGAATACTGATGCATGATAAGGCAGATGTGGTTAGGACATTGTGGGAGAACGTGTACAGCTCGGAGAGCACATGGATCACCACAGTCTGGAGAAAGTGATGCAGCCAGGAGTGACAAGGGGATCTGGCTGATGCTAGATGCTCAGAGTAAACGCAAGACGGTCGTATAATCAGAATGTTACTAGCAACAATGGTATTGGAACTCTGTGCTGGCTGCTGAAAATGGGGATGGAGGGCTTATGGGAATGCCCTGAGTGCTGTGATGTTGGTTCTTGAGTCAGCTCAACTTATTAGTCAAGGTTCCAACTTCACTGCTGAAAGGTAATCCCATAACTACTTCATTTTTAGGCCAGGAGAAATTACACAAAATATCCCCCACTGTTCTATTCGAAAAAACCTGGGAGAAAACAGATCAGTTCCAGCAAAATTCTGAAGCTCGCATATGCAAAGCAAGTGCACGAGGTAAGGAATCAGACATGCCGACACTAACAGTCTCCCACCAGAACTGCATTGCATTGTTGATAAAAGCTAAAAAATCACTAAAGTTGGCATTTGCGCACACCATACTGCACAAGCACATTAATCAGCTGCCTGGCAATTTGTCACAGTTTGTGTTGTCTTTTGATAAAGACTTTGGTCGAAATATCAGGCTGTGTTTGTGCGCGTCTTTTCCATTCCCTCCGTTTTCTAGTCATATTTTGTGTTATATTCAACATTTCCTGCCAATTTTAGTGCAGTTTACAATATAAAACCGTTACAGGCATAACAGGGTAAACAAAAAGAACCCCTTTCCACATGATCCACAGTGTCACACCAAGCACTCAATTCAGTAGCTGGGCGACGGAACCTAATTTCATTATAACCAGGAAATGCAACAGCCTTATAATAACCAATACATTTGACCCCAAAAGTGCAACACTCCTTTAATTATCAACATCAAGTGCCCTACCGGTAAGTGCAGGCCCTCATGTTTTGTTATCTCACATGATCACCAGAATCAAGGACCAGGTCAATGTTTTTTGTCATGCCCCCTCCCCCCCCCCATCCACCTGGCCAGGTTTTTATATCTTTACCTTCCTCTTGCTCTCTTCCCATCAATCTTGCCAGTTTTTATCAAGTTCCCGAATCCCCTCCTTCTCATCACATGAAATGAGTTAAGGACCCTTTTCCCCACCTTCAGGCATATTGGGCACACAGTGCTAAAACTATATTTTTGTTTGACCAATCGATGTGGTAAACATCACACTGGCCGCCTTTACTTTCCAGGACTTTACCTGGTACCCATTTAAGGCTGGGTCAACCTGGGAGCCAAGGTCATTTAGAAAAGGTCTGGCTATGAGCCCTCGACCTTTGGATCTGCGAGTGTTCGAGCCGCTACATCACGACGGCTCCCTTAAATGAGTAACTAGTATTAAATAATCATTAACAAAATGATACAAACCTGGCTCAAAAGTAAACGTGATTAGCGACTTGGCAGCATCCACATCTCCCACAATGGACACCTTCAGGCTCTTGTCTGGACAAATAAAACACACAAAGCGGGGATAAAAGGAATATAAGTTTGTGGCATGGACATGCATTGAAAGAAAAGTAGATTTTTAGTTTCTGTTAGTTGAATGCACGTCACTAATGAATTAAAAATATATATTTATATACATTAAAAAAAAAAGAATTTATGAATAAATGAATGCATCAAGATTTGACATCACACCACTCGGGACCGGCTGTTCAAACGTTAGAAACGCTGGGCTCTAATGCGGAGACCCAGGTTCGAATCCTCGGTAAGGCTGGGGATTTTTTCCTGCTGGGGGCAAAACAAAAATCCTCACCTGCACAGTCCACAGTGACAGCACTAGCCATGCGGCCTTAAATCCTCAGGCTCAAAGACCTACCTGCTTACACCGCAAAAGTGATATAACAAAGTATAATAAGTATTTGCAAGTTTTTTGGCACTCAGGACATTTCCAAATGTGCTCCATCCCCTTCTTCAGGGACAACTTCAATTGCAACCTGATTACCCCTCTTCTTCTTCTTCTTTCGTTCGCCTGAAATAAGTTGTCTATATCAACAATTTTGTCTCTTGTATAAATTTCACTGTTGTTAATTCATTCAGTGGTCCATAGAGTTTATATTCCACTGTTGTTCTTTCTGGCCAAAAGGTTTGCCTTAATGTGTCAAATTCGGTGCAGTCCTGGAGTACATGCTCTGCTGTCTGGGGCACCTTTCCACAGGTGCACATGGCTGATACGCCTATCTTGAATTTTATGTACATGTGGTTACATAATCGGTTGTGCCCTGTTCTGAGGCAGAGGATAATGACTTGTTCTGATCTGTCCAAAATAAAATAGTCGCCTTGTGCTGGGGCTGGTGGTTTCCTGATTGATTTAATGATTCTTTTCTTTTGGTGGTATGTGACTGGTACATCCCGCTGCACTTTTGTCGCACCTTCTCCTGCCAGTTGATCAGCTTTCTCATTTCCAGGCACTCCACAATGTGATGGTATCCACTGCATTACAACTCTTTGCTGAAGGCTAAGTTGTGTCAGCAGTGTTTGCAATTCTGGTAGTTTCCTAGACTGGAGTGCTTCAAGACTAATGCTGAATATCTTCCAGAACTATTCACTCCCCACCCCGATGAATTAGTTTGTCTATCTGTTCTTGTGCACACTGTCCATTTGATCCCATAGAGCCCTTCACCACATCCACTTTATCATATAGCAGCTCACTGGCCAGAGAAGCGATTGCAGCTAATTATTACCCCAAATACATGAATATTCTGGGCAGAAAATCTATATGCTCTTGATCTGGGTTTTATCAAGTGATGCAAGCCATTCTGTGTGCAGGGCACCAGTTTCACTTATCTGAAACATGCTCTTTGAGGCTGTTACAATCACAACATGTTGGGCTGTGCTGTTGAAAAGCTGCCATTACTGCTTCCACCCTCATACTGGATGTTGTGACGTTGTATGGTAAGCTCTCTGTTTTCAAGCAGTGTCCATTTACTTTTGCAATAAAACCCCACCTACTCTTACCTCTTTCTACAGAACCATCTGTATATATTATGATGTCACCTGGGTGTGAATTTACACTGAACAGCTCTTGCATCGCTGACACTGTTTCACCAGCTATCCATTTCCACAACCCTCGGTCCAAGGTAACTATGGCTCTATGTAAGTTTGTTTTGCTGGGTTGTAACCCATTCTTCACCATGCAACTATCTAGTCAGTAGCATAAAGAGTTATGATCATGACTTTTGTCTGTGTTATCCAAAAGCCACCCATTTTCAGCTATAGCTGTACTAAGGGTGTGCCCATTGCTGTCACAACATAGCTGTACTAAGCGTGCTTCCATCTCTCCCACACCAGAGCAAGTGCACCACTATGACTCCCACAAGAGTTGTAACAGGTGTGCCACAATGACTCACACAAGAGCTGTACTGAGTGTGCCACCATGACTCGAACAAGGCAGGTGTACCTGGGACTTCCCAATGCCTTTTGTGGTGAAACAACTCACCGCAAGCCTCCTTGTACGCTGAAGTCTGCATGTACAAGACATACAGTGGTACCGGAAGATGCTGGGCCTTCTGGTGCTCCTCCATGATGCTGTCGTAGGGCATGTCCAGGTAGTCCTGGACTGGTCGAGTTGCCTGTTTGGAAAAAAATAAACATAAATTGCTCATTTAGAGTTTGAATCTGGTTTGAAAATTTAGACTATTAAAAAACTGTTGACGTATTACAGTATAAATAGGCCTGGCTAAACACGCAGAATACCATTTTTAGACTTTGAACAGAGGACACTAAAACTACACCAGCACCTCATGGGTCTCACTGATTCTACTGTTTGTGAATGTGAAACATCAGTGTTGAAGTTGAGAGGATCAGCTTCACTGCACAGGGATTTTCCCCATATGGTTCAGTCTATCTCTGCAGAATGGCTAGTCGCCAGCTAAGAGCAACTGCACAAAGCACAATGCGCAGCTCTGGAAATATTCATTAGAGATCTCTGTAAAAACTGCACTCATGACCCAAACAAGCGCAGCGCTGAAATGAACCCGAAACCCTTTATTTCTTCAGAGCATGAGACAAACAGCTTTACCATTACGCCAGTGAGACCCCCAGTGAAGCACCTAAGGAAATTTAAAAGCATGTTTTACAAGAGAGCTAAGGTTTTGCCAGTTGGAGAAAATGAATCTGGCCTACAAGAGGGAACCTGTAAAACAAACTTGTGATTGTAACTGACTCACAAAGCATGTTTAAAAAGGTGGAAACAGGCATGTTTCAGGCAAAGTGGCAAGCATCACTTCAGAGATCCAGCGTAGTTCGCATTCTTTGGATATTCTCTCAGGGGGAATGCAGGAGTGTTGGGAAATTAACAGGCAGACTGATTGGTTGGTTCTGCACCAATGGGTGATGAATATTTGCATGACAAGCTACATACAGACAAGGCCCTTTAACAATGTATATCAATAAATTAGATCCGTAAAATGGATGTACACATAATACACAGATTCTGGAACAAGACAAGTCTAGAAGCGGATGAAGAATCATAATTTTCTGCCAGAGTTTAAAGCCGGAGAACACATAAAGAAGAACAAGAAAGAAAAAAAAAGAAACTATTCTTGTTATAAGAATTCAGCATACTCAGACAACAAATGTTCGAAGAAGTCGGATGTGTTAGCTGAAAGTTACTCGTTTCTCTTTTAGAATTGTCCACGTCTGGTTGCTTTTGGCGACTATTGTTTTTTACGGGATGAGTTAGCCAACCCCATCTCTGCGTTGCCCCTTACATCCTGCCTGGTAGGGTACCGGGTTACTATTCCTTGATTCCCATGAAAGCTCTCAGACACAAGCCACGGTAGAGCAGTAGCAACTCTAATAAGACAACATGATGCGTCAGTATGTTATATTCAGGCCCATGGGAATGAAATACAGTTAATTCTTCACCCTGTTCATGGTTTCTCCTCATTTATTTTCCACACAAAATGTAAAAAAAAAAAAAAAAAAACCTACCTACTGCTACACATATATTTTAAACAATTTTTAGTGACCTGTGTAAAATGGCTGTTTATTGAAGGACCCCCCCCCCCCCCCCCCCGGAGTTTTAAAAAAAGGTGCGTGGGGCAAACGACTAAAAATAAGTAACAGATCTCAGTGTATTTCCCCCGTACACTACATATGGATACATCAGCACCCACCCATGTACACCACCCCCCCCCCCCCCCTCCCCCCACGCAATTCTACATTTTGTCAGGCATACAGAAACTTCTAAACACAAGAGTGTGCATGAAAGGCTTATAAATATTTTACAAACACACAATGAAACAGATAGTACACATAGTTACCTGGAGAATAGCTGCCAGTTTGGGCTGTAAGGTGTCCAGATAGTCTTGTTTGGATTGGATCTCCTGGGCTATTTTCTCCTTTTCAGATTTGGTCTCAGATAACTTGATAGCCAGTCTAGAAATGTGCAAGCAGATATTTTCTATCTCTATAAAGCAGGGTTATTCAACTCAGTTTTATCCAGAGTCCAAATGTTGAAAATGGAGATCATCACGGTCCAGAGGCCAGAACCCAGCTTAGAAATATTATTAATACAATAGTTGTAGAAGCAGTAATTTAAACAATAATATTGTGTTTAATGTTCAATCCATCTGGGTTAACTGACTATATAAATATAGTTGTTGTTTTCTATTTCAGTAATGTATAAGATTATAGGAGTATTGAATGTTAAATTTAATATATTCAAAGCTTACTTTATTAACGCAATACAAATGCAGGTCACTTGTTTGGCCTAGCTAAACACCCTCTTATATGTTAACTAAAACTGTCAGTATGGCATCATGGCAGTAAAAAAAAAAATCTGTATCAGAAATGACTGACAGTAAATGAAAGAAGACTGTGGACAGTCCAGGTGACCAGTTCTATAAGAAGCAGTGGCTATAAGAAGAAACAAAAACTGACCTATGGATACCCCCGTACAATACTCAACATGGACCGAGACAACGTTCTCAATGCTCTCAGAGAGGCAGTATGAGTAGATGATTCAAGAGACGAGGGTGAATCGGCAACCTTGACAAAACTATAAGAACTTCATGTCAGGATCCTCGCTGCTGCTACAGAGTTTGTGCACTGTGCTGAGCTTCTTCAGACTCAGACTTTAATTAGAAGAAGAACAGAGTACTTATGGGTTATTAACTGTGTGCCATGTTGTTGGTCCAGTGTTCGAACTTCAAACATGTCAAGAGGTGTTACAGACATGAACACTATACAGGTAGCTAAAGAAAAAATATTAAACCAAGAGAACTGGTGTTATCAGTGGCCTCGCGCTGAGGGAGATATTGAAGATGGGATCGAAGCACTTATGGATGACTTGTCTAATGTGCAATAAGGATGATCAGTCAATTAATTAACTAACTAATCATCATCAAATGGTTTGCCGGTGATCATGCCTCTCAACAATCTGAGATCTGAACAGCATGTATCAGTTCGTATTTGGACACCCCTTTATGCCATGCCAACAGGCTGTCACAAATCATCATGCATTGTCTTCTTATCTCTTCTTCCACACATCTTTCTAGTGGTCACAACACGTTCCGGTTTCCTTCCTCTCATTACTTGACAATAGAAAAGGCGTCATTTGTAATAAGTTATTTTTGAGTACCCACCTCTTTCAAAACATCTTAACTGCTTTTCTTGGCTGTCTAAAGAATTCTGAGGATTTTGTTGTTGTTGTAAAACCATATATCCGAGGCCTCATGAAATGATTTGGCTTGTTTATTAATTGTCTAAGATTCATAGATATACGTTAACACTGATTTTTATATAGCATGTGAGAATTCTTTTCCTAACCTCCAACGACACGGATTTATTGCACAAAGTTCTTCACTTTATAAAGGCAGTTTTAGCCGGACCTACTGTTCTTTATCTCTGTGATACATCTCCTGTCGGATGTTATTCATGTGCCTAGACACTAAAATTTCTGTACTTGTTCTAAAATGTCTCTGACTTTTGTTATTCATGTAGGTGCCATATAAGCCTCTTCTTTTCTTTGATATTATCATTACTTATGTTTTCCCATTATTCAAACTGAGGCCCATTTGATCTCTTTCTTTCATCACTGAACTTATCAATCGCTGATGGTATCTATTATCTGGTTAACCACTCGTCTTGCCTTCTCCCAGGGTCTTGAGTGGCGCTGAGAGCCTGAAGATACTTCCAGCTACATCCTTTCTCCCAGGTATGGCTTTTCAGTATCTTCCATTTTTATTATTCCTCTGTCCTACAGGCGAGAGATCACATCTGCCGTGTGCAGTTGCAGTACACCCCCCCCCCCCCCCCCACAGGTGAACCAGTCCAGCCAACCTATATGCCTGCTCATTCTGTTTATGACCCATAGTTAGAATCTGGTAAGTACAGTTCAGACTTCACATCAAATCAAAAGTGTCATCCCATAGTGGCTCTGCTATTATGTCAGCAAACACCACACAGAATGTCCATCGCTATCTCTTGTGTAGAATAACAGGCTGGAATTTCAGCAAAGTCAACTGCCCACAAATGTTAATTGCTCATTCTCAAACATACTTGCATCTCCCAAGCAAAATATCCATACGACTCTAACCATCTACAGACTCTATGGATTGATGCGATCCATTCCATACTAAGACAACCTGATTCTATGATAACATTCGTGGCTGAGATTGTCTCAACTCATCGAAATACTACAGTTACGGCCTCAACCTCTATTCTCAGGTTGGTTACTCAATATACCCCAAGTTATTTTGGATGTTTGCTTTACTTTCACCAAAGATGAAACTTACTGCTTGCGCTGCTCCAGCTCCCACTCCAGGCGAGACAGCATCTGCTGATGAACATCCTTTCTAGTCACATCCTGAAACAGACACATGATGATGATCATGATGGCAAACTTGACTTGAAACTGCTGTCGACTAATCTCCTGTTATTCTAGCTCGAGGTAATTCTAAATTTAATCTGACCGCTGCCATATGCCATTCTTCTTCACGCCCACTGACTGTTAACTCCGGCGGAAAGTTCTAGATATTCGTCCACCTCCTTTAGTCTTGTTCCAGAACATGAGTGGTGTGTGCACATCCATTTTACACATCTGACTTATCTGTGTGCAGACTGTTGGTTCCTTGGTTCTTAGGTAGATGCATTCTGTCTTCGAAGGAAGCCCCTAATTATTACACCCCTATGACATGCTTGTTGGGGAGGCAGTTGGTCTATTCTTGTTTTCTCCCCAACAGGGCCCTGGAACCTGCACGGGGACTTCATGCAATTAACATGTGTGTGCAGTTGACTTTGCTGAAATTACAGCCTGTTTTTCCCCACAAGAGACAGTAATGGATATCCTGTGTGGTTTTTTTTTTGCTGGCATAATAGCAGAGCAACTATGGGATGACCCTTTTGATGTAAAGTCTGTACTGTAATTACCAGATTCTAACTATGGGCTCATAATGGTACACAAAGTAACTGCCCATGTGTGGGTTCCAGGGGACCATTCTAGCAGGCGGGGGAGATGTTGTTATATGTTGTAAAAGGGGACTAATTAAGAGTTTCAGGAGATTGGATGTGTTGAACTGAAAGGTACAGATATCACTGCCTGGCTGTAAACTACAAAATAATGCACCAACTGCTCTTTCAAGGGTGAACAAATATTAGGGATTTTAGTCAAAATGTAAAAATTAGGTTTTTTACTTTTAAACCAAGACAGCTGAATAGAGGTTGAAAACCCGAGTCCAACGGTACCTCAATGAAGTCTGTATGTCAATTCTAAGCGGAGATATTCACATTTCAGTGACGGAAAGTTGCCCCAAAAATTTATAATGGAAAACACAGAAACAAGATGGCGGCGTGTTCCCAAGTGAAAACTGGACCTAAATTTATCATGTTTAATGTCAATAACTCTCAAGTTTTTTGCTGAACCCCTTAGCAACCATATGTCATTGCTTTCAGGACAGCAGGCTCTGACTAAAGTTGTTGCCTTTAAAAAAATGATGAGATGCAAACCTAAATAACATAAAAATGAGTTTGTTTATCAGGATTGATAACCTTATTTATGAATTAAATTAATGATTATTATCCAGTGAGTCTTCCAAGACATATACTGTAATATGCATACTTTTGTAACTATTCTTCTTGTTATGATGCATCTCTTCCTATTTGTTTAAAAATGCTTTTTCTTGCACTCTCAATTGTGTGTGTAGTGTGTATACATCTGACCGAAATTTGCTCTATTCCACTGTTAAAAAATGTTCAATAGCGAGTGGATTGACTTCACTGCATCGTTACTGGTTTCATATGGCTTGGTCTTTCTCCACATAACCATGAATGACTAGCCGCATGCCGAGACCTTAGCAGTAAGCCTGAATACCGTAGCTCCAGCAACAGCCTCCAGGGGTCCCTGTTAACCCAAACAAAATGTATTTTTGAGACGAACAAAGCAGTTGTAAAATAAACTCACCGCAACCTTCCGAGCACGAGGTTAATGGCTTGACCACTTTTCTACAGAGACCCCCAATATTGTTTGATAACCAAGTGAAAATATGCACCCTTTTTACTGATTTAACATAATCCCTTCTTCAGTCTTTGCGAGTTATTCTTTAATTTTATTGATGATGAGCGCATTTTACCACAGTGTTTCCCTCTTCTTCTTAACTAACACTGCTGGATATTTTATTTACTAGTTCAAAATAATCTAAGGTAACTGCTAATACCTGATTTGTGATTCAGTGCTATGTTTTCATGGAGTAAAATTTTTTAATAAGCTCCTTTGTGATTCGCTTTGGATTTATGTTGTGTTTTCATGGAGCAGCATTTCATAAGGTAAGAGGAAAAAGAACATTATATATATTTTATTAACGTATCTATGTCCCATGTGATCTGTTTGCTAGCTAGTAGATATTAGTATATTTAGAAAATAATTATTAAATATTAATAATCATAAGTTGTAACTAGCCTTGGCTGTAAGTAAGTAAACTTATGCACAGTTAAACAAATTATAATTTATTATTAATTTTATTAATCGTCAACTTTCTAAATAAGCATCTATAAGTCAATACTAATACTATAATTTTAAAACTAATAGTATACATGCCAAATGATAGATTATGGCTTAAAAAATGCTATAATGGCTAAAGATTCCCAAAATGATTTAAAAACTACAATAATGTGATTTTAAAGTATATTTAAAAATGTTCAAACCAATGTCTGTGTCCATTTTCAACGCAAAATACCCTAGAAAATAGTCTATGTTAAAAACGTGCTAAAACATTATTTTCAAGTATTTAAAATTATTAAAACTCATGTGAAATTAAAGTTAAAGAAAGGTAAATTATAAATACGATAAAAATTGCCTTATTTTTGAACTGTTTTAATAAAAACCTAGATTAATTCATCTGAGATAAACAGTTCGTTTAGGCCACGAGGTAGACATTTTGAGAAATCGCCGATTTAGCTGTCAAGAAGTGACCGGGAAGAAATTTAAATTTTATATTCTATGATGTACAGATTCCAGCAAAACTACCCATATTTATGTAAAAATGGACACAGAATCCAAAAATGTCAACTAAAAGTATATAAATTCACTTTAAAAAGGAGATATTAAAGAAATTTAATTCCCGCATAGCAAATAGTGAAATTTATTTAGCTGAACAAAGATCGCTATGTAAGTTAGGTGTCGTTTGGTTGAGCATCCTCTTCTGAATAACTTTGAGCCCACGTATTTGATTCTGAGCAGCCAGTATTGAGCGACAGGATTTCAAAGTAACTGATAGGCAAAGAAGCCATTTTTCGTGGACCACCGACCCCATCTTGTAACTAAGCGATCTCTACTTTCGTTTTTAAGTGGGTCACTTGAATGATCATAATCGCTACAAATATAAGTTATTTGCGTAACCTTTACAGGACTTGCATAACCAGCCCCCTAATTTTTTTGGACAGTGGGGTGGGGGTGGGGGTGGGGGGGGGGGGGGGTTGTGGTTTTTCTAGGCCAATTTACATTCAGTAGTTTGCCATTGCTTTCTGAATGGTCAACTCTCTGTACTACTGTCGAAACTAACGCAAGACAGTCTGCTGCCAAATCGCCTGCAGCTGGGATCTAACCTGGCCCTACGAATCGTGTTTACAATGCCTAAACCACAGACGTCGTCAAACAAACATAAAAGACTGGAAAAACAAAGTATATACACCAATTACAAAGACAAGCAAAAGGCATTATGGAGATTAACCCTAATTAAAAATAATAATAAAAAACGAGAAAAACATAACACACATCAACAATTAACTGACTGAAATATAACCAGAGCTCGACCACGCAGTAGATGGACCGCAGAAATATCAGAGACACTGAAAAGTACTATATATGGAGCAAATAGAAGGACCCGTTCTAGAGATCTCTTCCTCTCCTGACACTGCGAGGCATTCCAGGAGTAGACAAAAGAAGAAGAAGAAAATATAACTGTGAATGAAGAATAAAAATTTATAAAGTACTGTTTTCCCATTAAATTTACATAATTTAATGCCTTGCATATTTTTTACACTGACGTAACACTGGAAGTCATGACACATCATAACCTAACAGTATATCTCATTTTTTGAAGACTCTTCTACCTTTTTTTTTTAAACATAGAACTACCTTTTCATAAAATTCAGTAAGAGTTAGAAAAAGAATTCTTGCTTGCTACATACATCCAGTTTTAACATATGGCTGTGAATCCTGGACAATCGGTAGGCAGGCCAAACAATTTCTGGAGGCCTCGGAGATGTGGTTTTACAGAAGAACGCTTAGAATACCTTGGACAGTCAAAAAGAGCAACCAAGAGGTTTTAAAAGAGGCAGGAGCCCGAAGACAACTTATCACAGACATCAGAAGGAGACAGTCATCATTTTTCGGCCATGTTATGAGAAGAGGGAAAATAGAACATGTTTTGACCACTGGAAAGATATATGGAAGGAGAGATAGAGGAAGACAACGAGAGAAGATGCTTGACAGTCTTATTGCATGGCATGGAGGTGTGTCGGCACACGAAATGATACATGCTGCAGGAGATCGCAGATTATGGAGAGGCATGATCGCCCACGCCAGTCGGCAGGGCACCTGATGAGTAAGAGATGTTAAAAAAAAAAAAAGACTTACTGGTTTAGAAACAGAATCTGGTGCACTTTTGTAAAACTCCTCTAGAGGAACCAGTTCAATCTCTTCATCCTTGGACCTAGAGTTGATAATTAGAAAAAAAAAAACACACTTTATTTTTAAAAGCTTAAGAATTGGACATGAAAGCTCGTCTAACATTCTGCCCTTCGAGGTCTCCCTCCATTCTTACATCATTTCATTTATACATCAAGTAATATCAAACATTATCAATTTCATCATAATATTCAATACAAGCACTGGAATATGCAAATTTCTAACTACAGTTAACTGTAGTAAGGAAGGTAACAGATGCACGAGGAAGTACTGCAGCCATGCTGTAAACGAACACAGCACATTTATGTTTTAAGAAGAACAGATGAAAAAAGAAGTATGTATAACAGATACATTTTGTCATTAATAACTTGTGATCCCTCTTAGTTTCTCCTTGTCTAATTAACAAATAAGCCATCATGACTTGTAGGGGAAGTTCTTCACATTCAACAGCTGTTAACTCTGATGGAAAGTTCTGCTTATTTGTCCATTCCCAGACTTTTGTCTTGTCCCAGAACTTAATATTTACATGCACATCCATTTTACACACCTTATTTATTTGTATGCAGACTGTTGGTTTCCTATCTCTCAGGCAGATGCACTCTCACTTTGAAGGAAACATCCCTAATTAGGTGCCTTTTACAACATGTTTGTCAGTGCCCCCCCCCCCCCCCCACCCCCCACTACAGGTCAAAATGGGGTCGCAGAACCCACAGAGGAAGCGATCTAAGTGATTTCTCTTGTCTGTTGTTACTTGACGGCAAAGGAATTTGTAAGTGTGTGTGTGTGGCAAAGTGGTTAAGCTGTCTGCCTCATGCTCTGAAGACTGTGGGGTTGATTTCAGGCTTATCTTTTGCTTTGTGAATGAAGTTTAACTTTTGGTTCATGAATGAAGTACACACCAATGCTCCCTGAGGGCGTCCCCTCTTACCCCGGTGGAAAAAAAAGGCAAAATATAGATACAGAGAAGAAGTAGAAGCCAAACATAAGAATTTCAATTGATTCAAAACTACAGCCATAGATGGTAACAAACATTCCACACAAAACATTTAAAGCTAAGGTCACTGCCAGCTTTCATGACTGACCATTTGCACCCGCAGCGAGTTGCAGGTCTGGTGTGGGACCACAAGTTAAGACGTTTGTGTGAACCGACTGAGAACTGTGAATCTGCAACCATGATCAGACTGCAAGAACAACACCTTAAATGTGGTGTCGCCAAACAAGAACACTACGCAGGTAGCCAAAGAAGAAGAATAAATCAACACAGAACTGGTCTCACTAGCCTCTAAACGCTGCGGGATTTACTGAGGAGGGGATCCGAGCACTTATGGACTGAGTGGTTCGACGTGCAATGAGGATAATCTGTCAATTAACTAACCACAAGTGTGTGGAAGTTACAAGTTAATCACTAGCTTTCAAATGGGACAGACTAGCTTTCAAATAGAACAGTAAAGGACATTTTCAGCAGTATCCACTGGCACAGGAATGGAGATGTTATGGGGTGACCCATCTACAGTAATAGTCAAACCTCCAATAACGTACTAATTGCAGCTTCACAATAAAGCAACAGTTTGACCTACTTAAATTCCATGCATTTTGTGATCTCCTTCTCCAAATGCATGGCCTCGTACAGCAGGTTCTGAAGCTGCAGGTGACACTGGTCAATCTTGTACTTGGCCTGGAAGCAACAATGTTCACAAAATTTAACACCTGGAGTGATTCAAAAAATAAAAAAAGGCGCAAACTAAATTCATCATTCTTGGTTCTATTCTGCATGGCTTGGTCTCTTTCCGTAAAGTGGTCAGCCACCTGTTGACAGCATTTAGTCACCTGCCAAGAGCATCATACAAAGCATGGACTTCACAGCTCCAGAGGCATCCTCCCAAATAATTCACTTCAATTCCCAGGATCACCAAGGTGTCCTCGACATAGAGGTGACAGCCATTAAATCCAGCCATTCCAGCGACATAGTCCGCAAGTCACTTGAGAATCGCTTTATTTACACTCTGGGGACTTTAACACCCTCCGGACTGAATTGCCAACACAGTTTCATTTAAACTCCTAGGGGATTGAACTGCCCTTACAGTTCTATCTAACCCCCCCCCCCCCCACCCCAGTTATGGCCCCTGGTACTCCACAGGGGGTATTTACTGCCCCAGCCGACACATGCAGTCATTCTGCTGAGAAACAAGAGACCCGACTGCTTCGAGATACCAGCTAAGTGATTTTGTGTATTTGTGTAGTACTGTTTCATGTGTATGTGCTGATGAAATCTCAATAGCCGCAACGTTCACGTTTTGTTTGTAATTGTTAGATTGTGAAGCTTGCTAATATACTTTTCGTTCGGTTTTATATCCCTCCCAAGTAATTGCATTCTTACGCTACATGATACAGTTCTTTAGTTAAATAAAGACTTTCAGAGAGCGAGGCCACAAGCTCTAATTTCCCTGCATGCTAATTACTGTTCAAAACCTCTGCTTGCTTTCTACTGAACATCTCTTTCTTAGTCAAAACTCCAGAAAGGAAACTCTGCAACCCAATGAAAGCTCATAAGAAATATGTTATTGAACAAAAGAAAATCGCACTCATAAACTTAACAGGCAGATGGGTCAAGGCCCTTTGGGAACAAGCAACGGAATCAGTAGACAAACAAAATTATTATGGCCTAGAGAGAATGAGGCACCTGGGTGTAACCAGAGGGTCCAGCTGGCTCTCTATACTCAGAGGAAAGGCAAGACGGACATATAACCAGATTGTGACCGGTACCATCAGTACTGAAACTCTGCTCTGGCTGCTGAAGATGAGGATGGAGCATGCATGCCTGACCACATAGTTGTGTCAACCTTAGGTTACCCAAATCTAAGATGTTCCATATTACAACTGCTGTGATGTCAATTCTTAACTCAACTCAACTGAAACTTAAAAATGCTTATTATTAGCAAACCCACACACTTCAGGGCACAAGACTTAATCCCTCCATCACAGAGCCCCATATATACACGAATAAGAGAAATAGTTACTTATAAATTACCTCATTAGTGATATCGCGAACTTTTCTACACCGAAAATGAGCCAGTCTGTTCAATTTCTTCATGTGAATGAAATGAATTGTGGCATCTGTTCTGATAGAAGTGATTTCTGCAGAGCTCTGTGGAAGAGAAATAAATGGTGCACAAATTATAAATATATGTTTAAGCACTAAAAATGTGTCATTTGATGACTGGACGTCATTGTAATTGTGCTAGATTATAGATGAGTGTTGCCTGTTTAGACAACTTATCTCGAAGTCACATGAATGTTTTGTCTGCTGCAAGAACACCAAGCATTACATTGAAACTAGCCCTTCTTCTTCATTTGCCTTTTATCCATTAATGAAGCATTGGTCCTCAGCACACCCAGGACAAGAATCCATTTACACAAGTCAGCTTTACTTGTTGACACTCTATTAACAGTGGCTATTATTAGTGCCGACTCTCTATTAACAGTGGCTATTATTAGTGCCGACTCTCTATTAACAGTGGTGATTATTAGTGCCGACACTCTAGTGGCAATTATTAGTGACGACTCTACTATAGTTCAACAAGAGTGATACCCATGGCTGTTTTTCTGCCAGTATTGATATATTTTTTTCTAGTACTACTGTAATAGACATTGTAGTAAGTATCAGCAACTTCGTTTCCTAGAAGAAAAAAGATAGCCCTGACGATACCTATGAAAATAAAAGAATAATTTGTAAAAGTAATGTTTAGCTCCCCAGATCCCGCCCATATACACACTAGCTCACTTCTGATTGGTAGACCTTGAGCCACATGGCCTTGGCATAAGGTTACAGGGGGTGTTCCGCAATGCTGTTGATATCGCATGTTGTATATTTCAGCAGCACGCCAGCGCTTTTAACACTCCAATAACATGGACAAACTGGGTCTAACACAACCCCCCCCTCTAGAAAGTGCTGCAACCTATGTCACAGGCATTCTCTTTCTCGGAATAAAAACGTCAATGCAAGACAACCCAGAAAGCAAACAACAGAGCGGCACACCCATAACCTGCAGGAAAGTAGACCAGCCCAACAAACTTGTGAATGAAACGTGACCTACTTTGTTTGGGGAAACTAACTTAAACCTAACCGAATATTTTTAGTGTAATGATAAAATTATCTGCAAACAACCTTAATTGAATGTCTTAGTTTCTATTATTTGTACAAAATAATACAGAATAATAACAGAAACTAACAGGAAAGAAACTTACATCAGTGTTTTTCTTCTTCAACTCTTTGATCTCCTTGATCGCACTTTTCAGGAAGTCACATGACGCTTGAAAAGACTGGAGGTCAGCCAATGGATTTGACTGCAGAGCTTCCTCTTCTTCTGAGCCTGGGATCTGAACATCCGGCTACATAAAAAATATAATTTATTGTTCAAAACTTTGTTCACTTGGCTGACTTGGATACAAGGAGACATCTAACTAATAGCTCATTGACTGCTTGCACCTGCGTACATGTTTAGGAATGCCCAGAATTACTAGTTACTAAAAACAACATTTAAACAGGTTTCCTGTGATAAAAAGAAATGGCTTTACAGATGACTGTCTGTATTTTGAATTTCGTATGTGTGGAATTTAATACCGGTTTGGTCGATATATTATGACAACAGCTCACAGAAGCCAGCTTCAGGTCTCAGAAATAAGATAAATGAGAAAAGTGGGCCAAGTGACAAGAAGGGACAAAGTCCACAACCAGACAATCCGTCAAGTCTGGTCTCAGAAATGAGGTATATAAGAAAGGTGGTCCAAGTGACTTTAAGAAGGGACAAAGTCCACAGACAGACAATACGTCAAGATCTTGATACCCAGTCCTCAAAAACCCGAGTGGATCAGTCAGTTACAATGGCCTGGACATGTATGCTAAATGGGAGAAAAATTGGCAACCATAGCAGGCTAACAACCAGAGGACCAGACCTCCAGGGTGACTCAGGGCCCACTGGAAAGACAACATCCAACAGTCCCTAACTGACAGAAGACTGGAATGGAACTAGAAACTAGAAAGAAAACTGCTGACAGAGACTTCTGGCGATCTCTCTGGTAAACCTCTACACCCCAAGGTAGAAGAGGAGCGACTAAGTAGTAAGTTGGTTGATATCAGAATTTGCATAATTTTTGTGGTCTTCTTCTTTTTATCTTTGCAGTACTCCTTCTTGAAAAAATCACCAGCTTCACATACTTAGGGAGCAAGATAACCTCTACGGGAGATACAACATCAGAAATAACGACTCGAATCGTGTTAGCATCAAGTGCCTTTAACAAACTGTCAAACATTTGGAAGTCAAGATCACTCAGCAACAACACGAAACTTAAGGTCTTCAATTCTTGTGTGATCCCAGTGCTAACTTATGGTTGTGAGAGTTGGAAATCATCAGTATCAATCGATAAGAAACTAGTCGCTTTCGAGAATAGATGCCTCCGAAAGCTATTGAATGTTCACTGGTCGGACTTTAGGTCCAATACATCTATAAGACAGGAAACAAAACAAAAATATGTGTCTGATTTTATTAGAATGCGTCGCTGGAATTACATCGGTCACATACTCACAATGGACATACAAGAGACTTCCCCACCAAGCCTTCATATGGTCACCAGAGGGTAAAAGAAAACAGGGAAGACCAAAAGAAACTCTCCGTAGAACCATCACAAGGGAGAGCTCAACCATAGGTCTCAGTCGCACTCAAGACCTACATCAAGTGGCAAAGAACCGACAGACGTGGAAAGCTATGACCTCTGCCCTATGCGCCATCTTTGGCACAAGAGGAATAACTAACTAACTAACTAAGTACTCCTGGAATGCCTTGCAGCATCAGGGAAGAGATCTCTAGAATGTGCGCTTTTGTTTTTGATTGGGGCTAAACTAGATGGCTGGGACTCAAGAGCAAATAAAATTAAGGAAGCTGCGGAAGATGTGGTAGCTGCTGCTCATGAGTCCCAGCCATCTAGTTTAGCCCCAACCCACAAAGTCCGCAATTGACACGTGACTGAGGCCCTGTTAGCGTATCTTTTTGGCCTCGATAATTTGGGACCGTTATTCGGAGGATAGGCCACGAGTCCCTAGGCTGATGAATTATTCCTTTAAAAAAAAATGGAGCTGGTGCTGCATACAGTTGCGTACAGCCAGAAAATAAGCAATGTATGAATGTATGGTAATGTAAAATGAAATGGATCTGATTCTGAACGTCGCACGAAATCTTAAAAATGTGAAAGAACTGAACTATTATAAATTATAATAATAATTTAAAAAAGGCAAAAATAAAAACGGGATGCAATCTATTGTTTGCTTAGACTTAGGCTTAGTTGAGGTTTCAACTTCACTGCAATCGGGTTTCCCCATACTTGCTCCGTTCCTGTGTCGTGTCAGTGAAAATCAATTGAAATGTCTCATTGTCCCCACTGTCCAATCATTGTCGTATTTGAAAAACTGGTGAACAAGCAATTAATTAGTCCCAGTACAATCCAGAAATATGTTTGCTTACAACAGCGACCATAAGGGACACAACCTATCCTATTGTTTGTTTACATTCACACAATACTCTAATATTTAAAATTAAATGTTAGACTCTTCAACTTCAAGTTAACCGACCCTAACACAAAACTAATTTTAAAAAATATTAAATACTGAATAATATTATTATGTGAACTTAGACAAACAATGGATAACGTCCCCTAACATCCCTATCTAAAGTAATAGTAAAATGCAACAGAGTAACAAACTGCATTGCGTACGATTTTCAATTTAGTCCCCTAGGGTCGTCGTTTTAGTGAAAACAACTTCATCAAGCAACTCAAAAGGCCCAAAAAATAAATTTTGACTAAACACTGCCTAACTCATAAACCAAGTTCACATTTCAATAGAGATATAATATATAATATTTATTATTACCTTATTAAGCAAGTCAAGCTTGTGCTTTTTAGGCTCAGTCAAACCAGGAGGTATTTCTCCCTTTAATAAACGCTTCTTCTTTCCTTCGTGAATTTCATCTTTAGAAGCCATTAGAAACAATGAAACAAAAAGCCAACTATTTCGTGGTTCACAAACAGACGATCTTCGGGGCCTTCTCTGGAATAGAAGTTACAAATGTTTACTAAATGAATTAAAAAGTATAAAGGTAGAATTAGTAGTAACAAAACAAAACTATTGCAAGATTTTAAATACAGTGTATAATAAAATCAACAGAAATTAAAATTAGAACTAATTAGCTGTAAAAAAAAAAAAAAAAACTAAACAGATAAATGAAAGTGCGAATAGAAATCCTTACCAAACATATAAAAACTGAATGAAATGAGGACAATAGAAGAGTTTAATCAAGAAACAGAAATAACGAAACAAAAAACGACTGCTAGACACTTGGGAATGAAATGTTGAAGATAAAATTTTGAAGAAATGTTTAATATTAGTATTATTTCAAGAATTCTTCGAAGCAGAGTTTCATACTTCGTACAGTCAGCATCTCTATCAAAGGTATAGACTATGAAATTAACTATTCTGTAGTTAAAATATTTCTAGAAGTGTTTAGTTCCGGCCAACCAGATTCTGACCTGTACCGTAACCATCAGTATTGGAACTGCTGCTGAAGATGAGGATGGAGCATGCATGGGAATGCCCCGAGTGCTGTGATGTCAGTTCTTCTCAGCTCGACTCTATTGCTAGTGTAGGCTAAATGAGGAGAAAACGTGGGTGAATGCAGTCAAGCTGCTACCAAGACATTTATTCACTGGACGGGGTTGGGGGGGGGGGTGGTAGGGGCAACGACGCACACAGGCACGTTTCGGCCAGAGCCTTTCTCGACACACACCAGTAACAAATGGCAGAGTACGTTGCCCCCCCCCCACCCGACCACGACCCGTTTTTAAAGCACAAGTTTGGAAACAATGACAGCGGAGGGTATGGTGCCCGGAAGTAGGGTCAGGGTCCGACCAACACGAAGATGGGCACAGGATGTGAGTGACTCCCTAAATATGATAGCACATGAGGCAGGAGAGCTGGTGAGAAACCAGGTTTCTTTCAGGTAGACCGTAAAGATGTTCTACAAAATACCTGCTACATGATGATGATAAATCACACTTCAGCGGATTAAATCAGAGGAGAAACAACAAATTGAATTCTCTGCCCTTTGTTTGGCAGTAGGGTCTAACAGAATATGTGCCAAAACCTGGGAGCTCAGGCCATTTGAGATCTCCCCAGAGACATTTTTTTTTTTTTGCTGAGCCCACCTTTAGAACAGTGGCTTTCAGCCTTTCTAATGCTGCAACGCTTTAATACAATTCCCCCATGTTGTGGCGGCTCCCAAACCATTCTTTTCCTTCATAACTTCAATGAATATGTGTTTTCCGATGGTCTTAGGCGACCCCTGTGAAAGGATTATTGGACCCTACAAAAGGATCGCGACCAGCAGTTTGAGAATCACTGCTCTGGAAATTAGCAAGGATGCTAAGTGGTGCCCATAAGCAAATATAGACATTCTATTTTTGAGTATTTGTGTATGTATTTCATATTATTTAATTAGCGTTCACCAGCTGTAAACTCCGGCTGAAAGTTTGGTTGTTTGTCCACCTCTGGACTTTAGTCTTGTTCCAGAACCTGATTACTGCATGCAGATCTGTTTTACAGATCTGACTTGATTGTATGCAGACTTTTGACTCCTTGCCTTTCAGTCAGATGTGCTTCAACCCCCAGTTAGTCGACTCTTACGACATGCTTGTTGGGAAGTAGTGGGTCTGTTCTTGTTTTTCCCACAATGGGGTCTTGGAACCCACACAGGGTATTTTGGACTACTTGAAGAGGCACTTTATGCACTGTGTTGAGAACCTTGTATTGATTTGACTGATGACTGTTTTGCAGGACACTTAAGCATTTACTGGCTATCCACTTTCCTGATCATTTGCTGAATTTTGTTGTGTCAATTTATCTTTCAGGTGCCCGGTAAACCGACATGGGAACCAATTGATCACAACAAGCTGCCACAGGTATTTAATGCTTCTTCTTGTTCTTTTTCTTCTGCAAACACTATTGACCATTTTTCTCTAGTAAGGCTACAAAAAATGATTCACAAACCTCTTGGAATTCTACAAAAATTTAGTCTTGAATTTCTTTAAAAAAAATGAGTCATAACCGGCTTAGAATTCTAAAAACTAGTCATAAACCTCTTGTAATTCTAAAAAAAAAAAATTTACACAGGTCACTAATAAATAAAAAAAAATGTTAATGTATTTTTATTTTTAAAAGATATATAAAGAGAGTAATCAACAAGCATGAAAAGAGTGAAGCATTAAATGGATCGAATTCACTAGGGCCTAACAAAAAAAAAATATTTATCTAGTGTCTTATCCTGTGACTTATACAACTGAGGCTTACGGGAAAATTTGACGTCATCTTGGCTTTATAAAAACCATTTGGTTTGAAGGTCACCTGACCCCATGCTGTTTTTAGTTCATATGTTCACATCCTTATATGGGCTTTTGAGCTGAAATGCTATAGAAAGATTCTCAGAATATCTTGGACGAAAAATAGGAGAAATACTAACATCTTGAAAGATCTGAAAATCAAGGAAGATTGGCTAATAAACAGCATCCTGTCTCGGAAGCTGAAGTATTTTGGTCATGTCAAGCGCCACGATGGATTGGAAAAATAATAGCAGACGGCATGGTACCAGAAAGGAGGGGCAGGGGCCGACCGACACGAAGATGGGCACATGATATGAGTGACTCCTTGAGTGTGAAAGTGCATGAGGCGGAAAAGCTGGTGAGAGGCTGAGTTTCTTTCAGGCAGACCATGATGAGAGCGACGTTCTGCAAAGGACCTGCTACATGATGATGATTCACATCCTTACCTTATTAACTTTTGCGCAGGCGTGAACACAGCAAGTAGCATTAACAGGTCACTATAGACAGGTAGCAAAAGTGACATTTACCGGGAATGGGGTGTCCTCTTGGATGTATCAGTTTTGTGGCTTCTCTGGATGACATAGTTAAAGAGCGGTTCGCATGTTGTGTTGTGGTTTACAGCTAGGCTGCAGTATCTGCCTTTTTGCCCAACATGTCCAATTTTAGTAAACTCTTAGTTGGTCATGATGAACCACATGCTTCTTAGGGGGCAGTTGGTCTGGTTCCCACTCCCCTCCCCCCTCCATCCCCATTATGAGGCCCTGGGCCCAGATGGGTAATTTTATTGTTCAACTTCAAGATGGACAGTACATGGTGTTTCAGTCACTGAAATTGGAAACAAATTTATTGAACTGAGGAAGCATGGATGCAGAAGAGAAACTCTTATGTTGGACACATGTTATATTAAGGCCATGCAAGATGCATATCGCAGAGAAGATCATGATAACAAACAGGACTCAGTATCCTTGTCCAGACTGGTGGACATGGGGGTGCAACCTGGAACAGCCAGATGCGAACATTTGACTGAAGACACTAGACGTCTGGTTAATCAACATAGACACAGAATGGAGGTGATCAGTCATTTTTGTTATCTACTTTGAAGGAGTAGGGAGACCTGTGGATCTATCCGGAGTGCTGTGATGATACACTAATCACCAATCAGGCACTTAAATGGGAAATATATTTTAGCCACCTGTGGATTTGAAAGCAAGGATGACCACACCACAGTGAAGCTCTGCAGTGTCCCATGAAACTAATTGGGAAGGCTAAGCCGTTCAACAAATGTCAGAAGTTCAGGTGTATCAGCTGAAAGGCACAAATTTAGCAGCCATGCTGTAAATGGGCACAAGGCCTGAATTGATGAAAATGTTCTGTTGTCTTCTTAGGTTCCAGAGATTGATCTGCAGCTAATAGAACAACTAGAAAGGATTTCGTTAGTTGAACTGAATAATGAGGAAGGTGTCAGACGTCTGCAGGCTGCTGTCAAATCAGCAAGCTTGTTGCATCTCATCAACACAGATGGTGTGGAGCCGTTAGATTCTGTGCTAGAGGACAGGTATGAATTGTTTATTGTTGCTTTATTTCTTTCTTTTTTGTCTAGTCTTACTTCACTATATATTTTTGTTTAGCTTTTTTATACATGTTCTTCTTCTTCTTCTTCTTCTTCTTCTTAGCGTTCATCAGCTGCTAATTCTGGAAAAAATTCTGGTTGTTCATCCAACTCTGGACTTTAGTCTGTTCCAGATCTTGAGTTTTGCATGCATATTCCTTTTGCTGATCTGGCTTATTTTTTTTTGCAGACTGTTGGTTCCTTGCCTCTCAGACAGATGCACTCCAACATTTTTCTATCCTCTAGTTTTCACATCATCTTTTAAAGTTGTGTTTTCAAACTTTTTGTACATGTTTGATATAGTAGTACTAACTTTGTGGGTTCCAGGGTCCCATTATGGGGCAAACAAGAATAGACCCACTGCCTCCCCAGCAAATGTGTCAAAGGAGTCGACTAACTGGAGGCATCCTTTGAAGTTGGAATGCTTCTGTCTGACAAGCAAGGAACCATAGCAGGGCTGGAGAATTGAGATAGCGAGACTTTCAGACGTGCCATGATGAGAGTGACATTCTGTAAAGAACCTGTTGATTCTTCTTCTTCTTCGTATTCACCAGCTGTTAAATCTGACAGAAAGTTTTGGTTGTTCATCCACCTCTGGACTTCAGACTTGTTCTAGAACCTGAGTGTTGCGTGCACATCCATTTTACAGATCTGACTAGTTTGTATGCTAACTGTTGGTTCATTGCCTGTCAATCAGATGCACTCCAACTTTGAAGGAAGCTCCAGTTAATCAACTCTTAACACATGCTTGTTGGGGGAGGGGGTGGGTCTGTTCTGGTCTTCCCCACAATGGAGCCTTGGAACCCACACAGGGAACCTACTGATTAATGATAATGATGATCTTGTTTTGACTTTAAGAGATTTCCTGTAATTTTTTTAAGCATGCTTTTACATCTCATCGACTTTCTCAAACAGAGAGCTGTGGCTCAGGGAAGACAAAGTCACAGAAGGAAACTGCTTGAAAGAAATCCTGAGCAATGCTTCAAGAGTGGAGGAGGACTATTTTGTGGCCCCACCAGGTTCGTGGTTGATGTCAGTCTGGACTTTAGCTTCGTCTGGACTGTGATGTCAGTCTGGACTTAACTCCATCTAGACTGTGATGTCAGTCTGGACTTGAGCTCCATCTGGACTGTGATGTCATTCTGGACTTAACTCCATCTAGACTGTGATGTCAGTCTGGACTTTAGCTTCGTCTGGACTGTGATGTCAGTCTGGACTTAACTCCATCTAGACTGTGATGTCAGTCTGGACTTTAGCTCCATCTGGACTGTGATGTCATTCTGGACTTAACTCCATCTAGACTGTGATGTCAGTCTGGACTTTAGCTTCGTCTGGACTGTGATGTCAGTCTGGACTTTAGCTCCGTCTGGACTGTGATGTCAATCTGGACTTTAGCTTCGTCTGGACTGTGATGTCAGTCTGGACTTAAGCTTCGTCTGGACTGTGATGTCAGTCTGGACTTAACTCCATCTAGACTGTGATGTCAGTCTGGACTTTAGCTCCATCTAGACTGTGATGTCAGTCTGGACTTTAGCTTCGTTCGGACTGTGATGTCATTCTGGACTTTAGCTCCGTCTGGACTTTAATGTCAGTCTGGACTTTAGCTCCGTCTGGACTGTGATGTCAGTCTGGACTTTAGCTCCATCTGGACTGTGAGGTCAGTCTGGACTTTAGCTTCGTCTGGACTGTGATGTCAGTCTGGACTTTAGCTCCGTCTGGACTGTGATGTCAGTCTGGACTTTATCTCCCTCTCGACTGTGATGTCATTCTAGTCTTTGATGTCCGTTTGGACTTTAGCTCCATCTGTTCTAGTCGGTGTATACATTAAACCAGTCTGTGGTAGTTTCTTTAAAACACAAGGAATTGTGGAGAGAACAAGCCATTAGTAAACATCCACATTTCGCCAACTGTGTGGCTTGTTTCACTAATTTCCACTTGTGAATTTGTTCACTTTATCCTGTTTAATCATAACCCTCAGGTACCATGCGGTGTCTAGGTGAAGTATAATTTCAGGAAAGAGCCTGTTTGTGTGCTTCATAAATTGGTATTCCAATGGACTCTGTAATTATCTCTGTCCTCACTTGCTTGGTTGACATCTCTTCCCTTCCCACCTGGTCTGTACATCATTCCCTGCTGTGGTTTATATGTCTGCTGACATCTGCGTTATTTGACCAAACCTTTCAATCTGTTTTATTCTAATGAAATACAGAGCTGCCGCTATCCCCCCACCCCCTATTTTCATTCAGATTTAGTTGTTTCTTATCTTATCTCTTCTTTTTGTATTAAGAACCTTTTGCAGGAATCTCTTTTCATGGTAATTTTTGTTCTCTTTTTTTCTGTCATTATCCAGGTCTGGCATTGATAATATTGTGTAATAGCGTGCTCTTTTGGGTTCCTGTTGATACATGTTTGTTTTTTAGTAATGGGGCCATTTGCCCGGTGAGTTTCTTGCTCTGTTACATCTCATCTTCTGTTTTGCCAGTAGATAATATTTTGCCTCCTTAGTATCTGAATTTCTTGATTTGTTTCAATGGGTGTTCTGTAAGCTGGATGTTTATTGTTTGTCTGCTTTGGCTATGGCTATGACCTCTGTTTTGTTGGCGTTAATTTTCATGTTATTTTCTTTGCTTTGCAAAATTTGGTTTTAATAACTTATATGGTCTTGCAGTACAGTTTCTGAAGTAGCAATTAGTGCTTGGTTGTCCGCAAATAGTTCTTTGATGAAACTGTTTGCCTTTGGGTCTTCTTCTCATATATATATATCATTATCATCATCAGGTGCCTTGCCGACTGGCGTGGGCGATCATGCCTCTCCATAATCTGCCATCTCCTGCAGCATGTATCAGTTCGTGTGCTGACGCACCTCCATGCCATGCAACAAGACTGTCAAGCATCTTCTCTCGTTGTCTTCCAACTTCTATCTGTCCTTCCACATATCTTTCCAGTGGTCACAACATGTTCTATTTTCCCACTTCTCATAACATGGCTAAAAAATGATGACTGTCTCCTTCCGTTGTCTGTGATAAGTTGTCTTCGGGCTCCCGCCTCTTTCAAAACCTCTTGGTTGCTCTTTTTTGTATTTATGTATATATAAACACACACATACACGCATGCGTAAAAGTAAAGTAAAGATTCCTTTTCACACCTTTAGGCACATCAGGAATATAGGAAAAGCACCCATATTTTTACAGACCAGTCGACGCTAGGTGGGTAATGTGGTTAGCATCAGGCCGGTCATTTTTACTTCCCCAGGACATACATCCTGGAACTATATAAAATGTATTTTTATTATTTAAAATATGTATTTTTATACTGTAAATTCTGCATGTGTTCTAAATTATAAATTTGGCATACAGTGGCATTTGATCTACACTTCACAATTTGTAACTGCCAAAAGCAAAGAAATAGAGAAAGGACAACTGCTAGTCTTGCTAAAATTAATGATCAGTAAGGGATTTTTAACTTGCCAAGCACCTTATTTGCATGCACTGTGGATGTTAAATTGTGCTTTCATTGCATTTTATTGGTTTTTTCTTAATATCCTACCCCAGTTGATGTCACAGGAGAGTCCAACATTTAAAGGGTGGTAAGACTGGGTTTCCCGGCTTTCCGATGCTTTTTACAACCCCAAAACGTCTAGAACTGGCCCTAACCCCAACCCACCAATGTCCCACTAGAGAGTGCAGCCTATGTCCCACAACTGCATGCAGCCTATCTACCACCCCCTGAAATATTAGACTGTCCCATGACCTGTGGATTTTTCCTGTTTAGGGTAGGATATTAAGAAAGCAACATTTTATTAACCGCTTTTTAAAACACTGTATTTTTTTTCTAATTTCTGCAGGGAATATACCATTGAAGAAGCGAGACAAGGATCACCTCAGTAAAGTTTTAAATAAGCAGTCACAGAGTAAAGGCTTAGGGTGATTTAAACAGTACAAACACAGAACAATGAAAATTTTTGTGAGACTTTACTGTCTTCTTGTTTAAATTATGTTATTGCTTATCTAATTACACAGTAAAACTTTGATTAACTGTCATCGTCTGGACCAGGGGAGTGACAGATAACCGAATAGTCGAATAACAGAAATGTCTTAATACATATAACGGGATTTTACTGCTGACTTGGGATAAAGATAACAATAAAATCCTTTAAAAGTGAATAATACATACATATTGTATTATTTAATTTTACAAAACAATCAATAGAAACTTCAATATAAGAGTAGTAATGTACAGAAATGTATTGTAGTACTATAAACCTTTCTTCTTCTTCAGCATTTTGAGCTCTTGAGGTTCATTTGCTGCAGATACACCCGCCTCCGTTCATCTCTCTGGTTGGCCTTATCTTTCCAGTTGGTGACACGAAGTGTATGCAGGTCTGTCTCCATCGTCTTATTGGTCTGCCTCGAGGTCTACGACCATTACTATAAACCTATGTTACTTTAAAATTGTCTGTCATCTCCCTCTGTGTCTTTGAGGCTTGAGCTTTCTCAACGAGGATGTTTTTGCACAGAAGTAGGATCTGTGCATTTGCCTCTTCTTGCATTTCAAACCAGCACTTTGATAACATTGTCTCTGTTTCTTAGTTGTAGGATTTTGGTAGAGAACTGATCCTTCATTGTTGTGGACAATATTAAAGCTGTCTGTTTGTTGATACTCTTGCAATTTTTTTTTTACATGATGATGGATAACATAAACTGGCAGTTGATCAAAGCGACAGTTAATCAAATTTTTATTAATTGTGTATTATTATGAACGATTAAGAAGGTGTCAGCCGCAGCGAGGAAAAGTGTGGTATATACCATATAGAACATGTGTTGTTACATGTCTGTGTTGCTATTGTACTAGTCGTCCCCTTGTCGGATGATATCTTTAGTTTTTTTTAAGCCCAACCTAGGCTTTTGCTGGAGACCCTAAATATAGCAGGGCCTCAAATATGGCCTTACGGCTGAACAGGATTTCCTGGACCTCTCCATGGGTGATCCTCATTCACATGGTGGCACTTTTGTAGCACCAGGTGTTTATCGCTTGTGTGATGTCCTGGTGGGGTACAACTTACCTGCCTACCCACATCTCTGTGAGCCATGGTCAGTTAGCCGACAAGCTGAAAAATGTTTACTCTCAGCAGTGCGGTTTTTCTCAGTGCAAAGAATATCATGAAATGATCGAAAGACAATAAATAGAACACCAGTTTAAGATGTCATCACTGTTGAAGGAGAGACATTAAAACAAGGTCAGGTGTTTAAGTACGGAGCAGTGTTTTCACAGAGAATTGATAATTGGACAAAGAAATAGAAAACAGAATACAGAAGTACGCAACATGAAATACCAAAGAGTGCCACTTGTTAGTGATCAAAATAACATGCGCACTTATAAGCAACTAATAAATGAGCTGTTTATACCAACTTTGTGCTGGTAATACCTGACATAAACAGTTCTAGAAAAACATAACACAAAATTACAACATGTGAGATGAGATATATAAGAAATGCGGTGGGAAAAACAAATAGAGACTGAGATATGGCACTCTTGACATGTCTGTAGGTGCTCAGATTTCCACTTGAGCGTATATGTCAGCATTTTCACTTGAGCGTTTACATCAGCAATCCCACAGTTTATAGTACCTGCTATGTGCTGGGTGACAAGACCTCTGGTTCTTTTTCATTTGTGACTCTGCCTCTTGTTGTTTTTCCTGCTGCGTTTCTTATACCCCTCATGTCACATGTTTGAATTTTGCGTTTATATTTTTCTAGGACTGTCCATGTCTGGCACTGATAGCACAAGGTTGGTACAAATAGAGCATTTATCATCTGCTTCCTCTATGTCTGTTTAAAAAAAAAAAAAACTTTCCATTTGTCATATGTTCTGAATTCTTTCATCTCATTAAGGACCTTTTTCCACGCCTTGGGGTGTATTGGGTATATAGGACTGGACCTATATATTTTTTTTTTATAGACCAAAAGGCACTTGGTGGGTGATGTGGTCAACATCACGCCAGCCGCCTTTACTTCCCGGGACTGTACCTCGTACCCCCTCAAGACTGGGTTAACCTGGGAGCCAAGGTCATTTATGAAAAATGTCCTGTCCCCGTCAGGACCAGAACCCACGACCTTCTGATCTGCAGGCCAGCGTCTAGCCGCCAGTCCACAGCGGCTCCCATTCACCTCATAAAGATGTGCAGAAAAGGATGACTGCCTTTCTGATGTCACCTTCACCTCCTTTTAAAACATCTGTATTACTTATTCTGGCTGTCCCATGAATTTTAAGCATTTTTTTGTAAAATCACAACTCTGAGACCTCAAGACATATTCCGTCTTGTTTGCTTAGGAAAACTTCATGTTTGACACTCATATATTTTGACAGAAAAGAAAAATGGATCTTCTTCTTCTTCACATTCACCAACTGTAAACTCTGGCGGAAAGTTCTGATTGTTCATCCACGTCTGGACTGCAGTCCTGTCCCAGAACCTGAGTGTTGAATGTGCATCCATTTTACAGATGTGACTCATTTGTATGCAGATTGCCGGTTCTTTGCCTCTCATGCAGACGCACTCCGACTTTGAAGGAAGCTCCAAATTAGTCAACTCTTGTGACATGCTTTTGTGTAGGCAATGGGTCTATTCTTGTTTTCCCTATAGCAGGGCTCCGGAACCCACACGGGCAGAAAGAATGGACAAAATTGTATGAAGTAAATTCTGGGAATAGATGAGTAATTTTTATTTGAGAGAGTGGCTGAGAGATTAAACAAAAATAAATTTGTTTCTGTATTTGTCTGTATGTTTTACTTACTTGTGTCCCCCTGTTGTATCCACTGTTCCCTGTGCTGTCCAGTACTCTCTGATGTGTTCAGCTTTCCCTGTTGTGTAAGGTGTTCTCTGTTGTATACTTTTTTATTTTTCAAGTATTCAGAAACCATGAGTTGTAAACCCTTTGGCTCGGTACTATGGATATCGCAACCCTTCGGCCTTGATTCCATTATAGGTACCATTAATCTGGGAGAAAAGGGGCTTTTCTGCCTACCCCCGGGAGTAAACCCAAACCACAAGGAGTTCATCACCTGGCCGCCGCGAAAGTCAGGTTTAACCAACTACGCTAGAGAGCCGGGCTCTGTTGTATACAGAGACCTCTTCCATGCATGATCAAGTTATAACTCTAGAATGAGACGATGACTATTTGCACTTTTTTGTACATAGCACATGATGATGATGCTCAGACCACATTCATTGTTACAGAGAGTTAAGAGAAGTCCGTAGTTATAAATGGTTAAAAGAAGGGCTTAGTTATAAAGGGCACAGAGAAACATGTTATTGTAAAGGGTTGGCAGAAGTCCCTTACTTTAAAGGGTTAAGAGACCTCCCTTGACTATAAAGGATTACCATAAGTCCCTGATTGTAAAGGGTCAACAGACGACCCTGGCTGTAAAGGGTTGTGTGACATCCTTGACTGTAAAGGGTTAAGAGACGTCTCTGGCTGTAAAGGGTTATGTTACATCTTGACTGTAAAGGGTTAAGAGACACACTTGACTATAAAGGATTACCAGAAGTCCCTGATTGTAAATGGTCAAGAGACGACCCTGGCTGTAAAGGGTTGTGTGACATCCTTGACTGTAAAGGGTTAAGAGACGTCTCTGGCTGTAAAGGGTTATGTTACATCTTGACTGTAAAGGGTTAAGAGACACACTTGACTATAAAGGATTACCAGAAGTCCCTGATTGTAAATGGTCAAGAGACGACCCTGGCTGTAAAGGGTTGTGTGACATCCTTGACTGTAAAGGGTTAAAAGACATCCTTGACTATAAAGGGTCAAGAGCAGTCCCTGATTGTAAAGAGTTAAGAGGCATCACTGATTTTAAAGAGTTAAGAGAAGCCTCTGATTGTAAAATGGTAATGAAAGTCCTTATTTAAAAGGGTTAAGAGAAATCCCTGGTTGTAAAGGATTAAGAGAAGTCCCTGGTTGTAAAGGTTTAGAGAAGTCCCTGGTTGTAAAGGTTTAAGAGGACGACACCCCGATTGTAAAGGAATAAGGGCAGTTTCTGATGGTAAATGTTTTAAAGAAGTCCCTGGTTGTAAAAGGTTAGGAAGAGCTGTCCCTGTTTGTAATGATGTGAGGGAAATCATCATTAATCAGTATCTGTCCACTTCATCGCTGCTCACTCCAGACCACTATGACATTTAGCATGACAAAAATAGCTCAGCTTCCCGGGCTGGATGCTGTCTGTGAGCCAGTTTGAGGCAAGTACGTCATCATAAAGTGTTAATTGAAGTACGTGGGTATTATGGAGATCTATTGTAAAAAGGCTAGAGACATTTTGGTAATTTGCTTAATACATAGACTTCTAGTAATTTCCCCTGGTCTCTGGGCAGTAAGATCGGACGCCCATGTGTATTTTTCCCCACGTGAAAAATCTCTCGGCAGTTGGAAATCGAAAAGAGAGCTTAACGCGTTGAACCGGAAAAATTGGGATTTAAAAATCTATCCATAGTATTTCAGGATCCTTGCCGGTCCTACTGAGTTCCGTACACTGCGCTGAGATTCTTCAGACTCAGGCCTGAATCAGAAGTAGAACAGAGCACTTATGGGTTACCACCCTTGTGCCATGACGTGGTTCCATTTTATAAACCATAAACCGATTAATACAGAAAGTAAGCAAAGGACCCTTTTCCACGCCTTCAGATGTACTAGGCATATAGGGCTAGACCTGTATTGTATAGACCAATCGACACTGGGTGAGTGATGTGGTCAGCATCACGCCGGCCATTGTTACATGCCAGAACTGTACCTGGTACACACTCCAGGCTGGGTCGACCCGAACGTCAAGGTCATTTTCGAAAAAGGTCAGGACCCGAACCTCTGGCCTTCCGACCCGCAGACGAGCGTCTAGCCGCTACACCACCAAGGCTGCCTGCTTAGTACAGAAAGAGTTAT